GTGGGGCAGGAGCCCTGGGTGCTGGGGAAAGATAAACCCTTCCAGGGCACATCCCCAGTGACCTACTTCATCCAACTGTGTCCCACTTTCCAGTAGCCCATTCAGTCATCAATGGATTTAATTCACTGATGAAGTCAGGACCCGTGTCACCATCCAATTATTTCATGAAAGTCCTATCTCTGAATACATGAGACTTTGGGAAACTTTCCACATCTAAACCCTAACATCATAAATGTCCTCCAACAGATCTCTCAATACTAAAGCTAATATTTTAATCTCTATCTGCCTAACTCCTTTGGTTCTCAGGATGGGGCTGGACAAGTTGTATTGTGTATTGGACTCCCTAAAACCCCCAGTGGCCAGGATAATTTTTATTTTTCCTATCTGGAGACAATGGGGGACTAAGAGGAAAACAGAAAGCTGGTAGTCAACCTTGCACAGCAGACTAAAGTAAACTAATCACAGATCTACCTGCCTTACCTGACTGTGTAATCAATGATTAACCCATGCTGTGGAAAAGAGCCGAGAGACAGCATGTGAGGACCGTGGCACCAAGCAGCCAATTACTGAATGGAAATAAGTATCCAGTCTCCTACCTCAGACTCCAAGGCAGTTATTGAAATTACCAGGTAAGCAAGGAGGGGTTTAAGATAACTACTTATACCTTTCTTGGGGGGAAAGGCAGGCCAGAATAGAATTGGCCCATTCAACAAGAAACACCATGAAGAAGTAGCAATGTAAGAAAAAGGAGGTCCTACCATAACATGAAAAAGATAAAATACATATTCATGAAAATTGTTCCATGAAATAGAAGGATAAAGAATGGTTCTGCATGCAGATAAATAAAATATAATTCTATACAATAGATAAAAGACAACTAAAAGAAGCAAGAGATAAGAGACAAAACATACTACTGAATTTAAAACAACTACATGCAGAACAGATATTTCATAAGACCAATTTAACATGGAGAATGGGTCTGGGGAAATAATTAAAAAGTGAAGATTACAGACAAAAGGGGTTACATTTGAACGAGCTGGTTAGATAAAACAAGGATGACAAATTTGAAAGGTAAAAAACTGAGATCTAATGTAAGTAACACTCCTGGATTAAGACAGATATTTGGAATAGCAAAATATGCAAAGGTATAGAGCTGAAAATTAGAAGGGCTCATTATGTTAAAAAAAGTCTTCCTTGATTGAGATATATCATGGAATGTTGCTAAATTTTAAGAGAAAAGAAAGAATGCTCTTAATATCTGAGCAGAAACAGGACCATCAGAAAATTAAGTAATTTATGCTGGCATCAGACATTGCCTCAGTTATACTAGGTAGTAAAAGTGAAGGGCTGGGATGTACTCAGTGATAGTGATGGCCTGGGTTCCTCCCCAGCACTACAGAAAAGACAGTGAATGCTATGTATAGTGCTGAGGGAAAAAGAATATGACATGGAATTTACCAATCATGTGGAATACAATTTTAATGGGTATATAACATTATCTTGTGTGGACTGCATAATTTATTTAACTGACTTATCAATGGATATTTAGATTGTTTTCAGACTTGATAGTATTTCAAACCAGGCTACAATGAATAAATATGTATTTATATTATTTAAAATACTTATATTAGATAAACTTCTGAAAGTATAGAAATGGAAACACATGGTATATGCATTTAAAAAATCTTCATTTTGCTGTGTTGACCTGCACAGATATTTTTCCATTCAGCATTATTTTTCCAACAGCATATGCTCACTTAGTGTCTCTGTATCACATATTGGTGATTCTTGCAGTATTTCAAACTTTTTCACTATTATTATATCTGTTATGATGATCTGTGACCAGTGATCTTTGGTGTTATTATTGGTTTTAGGGTGCCAGAAATAGCCATATCCATATAAAACAGTCAACTGTTGTGTTTTTTGACTGCCACACCAGTAACCCCTACCTCTACCCAATGGTCTCACTCTCTTTCCTCAGGCTTCCCTATTCCCTGAGACAGAATAATATTGAAATTAAGACAAACAATAAACCTACAGTAGCTCTAGGATTCAAGTGAAAGGAAGGGTCCGAGGTCTCCCACTTTAGATAAAATGCTAGAAATGATTAACTTAGTGCAGAAGGAAGGTTGGAAGCCAAATAGACTGAAAGCTAGACCTCCAGTAGCCTAGCTGTGAATGCAAAAGAAAAGTTCCTGAAAAACATTAAAAGTGCTACTCTAGTGAACACACAAATGATAAGAAGCAAAATAGCTTATTGCTGAAATTGAGAAAGTTTTAATGGTCCTAGATAGAAGATCAGACCAGCCGCAACACTTCCTTAGCCAAAACTTAACCCAGAGAAAAGCCCTCACTCTCTTCAATTCTATGAAGGTGGAGAGAGGTGAGGAAGCTGCAGGAGAGAATTTTGAAGCTAGCAGAAGTTGGTTCCTGAGGTTTAAGGAAAGACTCCGTCTCCATAACATAAGGTACAAGGTGAAGCAGCAAGTTACCCAGAAGACAACTGATGCAGGGGCTAAACTCAACAACAGATTTTCAATGTAGATGAAACAGCCATCTATTGGAAGAAGGCACCTAGGACTTTCTATTAGATAGAAAGGAGTCAATGCCTGGCTTCAAAACTTCAAAGGACAGTCTGATTTTCTTGGGGGGGGGGGTGAGGGTGGAGGTAATGCAGCTGATGACTTGAAGTTGATGCCAGTGCTTTTTTACCCCTCAGAAAATGCTAGGGCCCTTAAGTATCTTACTAATTTACTTTGCCTGTGCTCTATAAATGGAAAATTAAGCCTGGGTGACAGCACATTGGTTTATAACACAGGTCTTTGGTTGGATCCCCAGAAAAATAATAAATAAAAATTAGAAAAATACTAGAAAGAACTATCACAAAATGGTAACAGTGGCTAATGATGGCTGTTGTAAATATACAGTTACTTGAAGCTTTTTCTATCACAAATAAATTAGAAAAAAAATTAAATTCTAGCATTATTTGCAAATGAGTCAATAATGGCAAAATAAGATATATAGAAGATGACTGAATTTAAGAAGTCTGAAAAGTTTTGTTTCAGGAAAGAAGACAAGACTTAAGGGATGAATGAAAAACAGACAAATTTAATAAGAGATTAAGGATATTATTAAATGACAAAGCCTGGTTCATGTGAGGAAACTTTTCTAGTTCCAGACATATTTGAAAGTCTTTCACACATCCCATCTGTTGTTAAAGAACATTTAAAAAATTAAAGTTTTAAAGGAGGTACAGTGAGTACTGAAACAGGTAAAGTATAAAAGAAAAAATTTATTTATTTATTTATTTTATTTTTAAAGAGAAAGTGAGAGAGAGAGAATTTTTTAATATTTATTTTTTAGTTTTTGGCGGACACAACATCTTTGTTTGTATGTGGTGCTGAGGATGGAACCCCAGCCGCACACATGCCAGGAGAGCGCGCTACCGCTTGAGCCACATTCCCAGCCCAAAAGAAAAAATTTAAATTGTAGAATATACTACACAATAGAACCGCAAAGTATCTGTATAGAAAAAAATAGTACATTATCTATTTATATGTAATATTTAATATTTTGATATATGGTTCCAGTTCATCATTGGTATAAATTTTGTTGTATTGTTTTATGATAAACATTTATAATAAAAATAAGGCTTCCTACTTTTTCCACCAGTCTCATGTTTGCAGTTTTTGCCCTTTAGACTAGCTGATCGATGAGCACCCTCCTAAATCTAAAATCATAATGAGGAGTTGCCTGGAAATTATAATTAATAGTAATTAGAAGAGTGCCAGCACATAGCTGTCTCAATGGCAACATGTGTAATCATTTTGCACTATTAAATCAACATAAAGAGCTCAAAGAATATGTTAGGCACAAATAACAAAAAACTATTTTAAAGCGTGGTCATATAAAAATACATGACATTAAATGTTTATTTAGCTGATAAGTGTATACTTAACTCCTACCAAAGAATGAGGAACCTGTGGCTACCCCATAAATATTGATGGGATGATGATTAAAGCAATATCGCCTTACACAGTACATTGTCGAGTCCAATCAAATAAATCAATACATAATACTTAGAAAAAGAACCCAAACCACGGAGAAACGTTATCTTCCCGACATCTATTTTAGTGACCCACAGTTTATAACAGCTTTTATGCTTTGTGCACTAAGATCATCTATTACATGGAAAATAATCCCACCCCTCTACTGGCAAAGCACAGCATCGCGGGTTAGTTGCGAGCGGGATCTCCCGCCCCCACCCCTTTTCTCCATCTTTCTTAGAGCATCAGGTATCCGACCACTGACATCATGGCCCAGGATACCCGACACAGGAGCTGGATCCGTGCGGTGGGGATGGGTTCTCCTTATGGGACCAGGGGATTAATGCGCGGACCCCTCCGAAGCAGGTGCATTCCGCAGTTCACTCCAAACCGCACATTTGCTTATGTTTTGTTTTACCGATAGATCGCCAATTACTTTCTAAGGAAGACATTCCCATAATAAAATAATAATAAAATAAAAATAAAAAAAACATAAATGTTTTGAACTAATAATAAAAATTAAAAAAATAAAATAAAACAACATACAAACAAGGCCAGCAGTAAAGCACCTGAAGGCTGTGAGCATCTGCCTCTACAGAAGCGCTCTCCACCTTCAGGAGAAACCACCCAACCAAGCCTTAGGCCGCCGTGCTCCTTCTCCACGGGCGAGCGTGGGCAGGCGCCCCGTCCGCCCGAGGGGACCCCGCCCCGCCCTGGGCCACTCGGTGCGGTGCTGCCCCCAGTCGGCCCGGAAGAGCGCGGGTCCGGGCTTCGCCCAGGGGGAAGGCCGCAGGGCCCGGCCCTCGAGGAACCGAGGCGGCCAGCGAGGCCCCGGGGACCGCGTGCGGGTGTCGCCCCTGCCTCCCGGCATCGCCATGGGAACCCAGGATTTGGCCTCCGGGCCGGACCGCAACCCCAGAGGGAGGCGATGGGAGGGAGGCCGCAGACGCTCACCGCGACGCCGGAATCGCGCCGCGCTGGTCCTCCGCCGCCTGGGTCGCGCTCGGCCGCGCGGACGTCCGTCCCGGCACCCGTTCCAGCCGCCGCCCGCGAGCCCGCGACGCTGTCGGGCCGCTCCCTCAGCCCGTGCCCTCCGCACCGGAGCGTGGAGGTGTCGAGCTCCGCTGTGGGAGGCGGGAGATTTAAACCCGGCGGCCGGGCGCGCGCGTGAGCAGCGCCTCCCTCTTCGCCTCGGCCCAGGCGTCCGCCGCCCCTCGGTTCCGCTAACCGCACGGAGGCCGGGCTCGGAGGGCGCCACTGTCCGTCCACTCGTGAGTGAACTTCTGGCTTCTCTCTGTGCCTTCTTTGCCCAAGTCCTCTTACCAACTGGCGAGAACGTCACAAGGAACTGACTGTGAGACCTCTGAGGTGGGGGTAAGTGGAAGGAGTGCTCGGCTTTCTTTCCGAGCCCCGCGCCCTCAGCAGGGTCCTTCCCTGCCTCGCTGAGCCCTCACTGCACCAGCCCGGCCCTCGGCTGCGGGGCCTGCGAGGCTCGAAGCTCGCCTCGTTCATGGCCGAGTCCGGAGGTGCGTTCTCAAAACCAGGGCTATGCAAGCGGGAGAGTTTCATGTGCTGGTTTTTCTTATTTTAAATATTTAAAGAGTTCTAAGTTCACAACTGATAATAATTTAGCTCCAAACGCACATATAGATAACCATAATTTTTGTGTGATTAACGAGTCTTTAAGAGTAAAAGATAAATTCTGAGCCTAAAAGTCTCAAAAAAAAAAATGGAAATAAAATGGAGTTGGAGAATATAATGCCAAGTAAAGTAAGCCAATCCCCCCAAATCAAATGCTGAATGTCTTCTCTGATATAAGGATGCTGATTCATAATGGGGATGGTGGGGAGCATAGGAGGAATAGACAAACTTTAGATAGGGCAAAGGGGAGGAAGGGGAAGCGAGTATGGGGGTAGGAAAGACAGTGGAATGAGGTGGACATCATTACCCTAAGCGCATGTATGAAAACACAAATGGTATGACTCTACTTTTGAGAAATTGTGCTCTTTTTGTGTAATATGAATTGAATTGCACTCGGCTGTCATATATAAACTAATTAGAATAAATAAAATTTAAAAAAAATTTAAAAGGAAATGAGGCAAAAATAAAATTGCATTATTGGTGGAAGAAAATTTAATAAGCTCAAAGTGCTTTCTTTTTAAAGGTGACTAAAATTGTAAAATGTGAATTCATTGTAAGGGGGGGGGAACTAGATGATAACTAAAGGTGTGTAAGATTATTGAAGACATAAAGATGGGGTAAGAAGTGCTCACTTTAACACCAGAAAAAAAAGTAGTTGTGGAATAGAAAAAAGGGAACTAGGGTTGGCTGGGGTTGTGGCTCAAAGGTAAAGTGCTTGCCTCCAATGTTCCTCGGGCCATCAGGAAATAAATAAAATAATAATAATAATAAAAGAATAGAAAAAAGGGCAAACTACTTATAAAGGGTCAGTTTGGAATGAAAATGAATTTAGATTCTTATGCTATTTGAATCTCAAGGAATAGTTGAAATTATATGCAAAATTTTGGTATGTCATTTTTTTTGAGGAAAAAGTCCACAGCTTTTCTTGGATTATTTTTTAAATACTTTTATTGTTTTACATTATAATTACACATTATAGTAGAATTTCTTATTACACATTCTCTTCTACATGGTCAATTTCATTCCCTAGTATCTCCCCTTTCCCTCATTCTGGTCCCCTTCCTCTACTCTATTGGTCTCCTTTATATTTTCATGAGACCCCACCCCACTTTTTTTTTTTTTTCTCTCTTTCTAGTTTCTATATGTGAGAAAACATACCAACCACACTTGACTTTCTGAGTTTGGCTTATTGTGTTAACATAATACTCTCAAGTTCCATCCATTGTCCTGCAAGTGATATAATTTTGTTCTTTATGGCTGAATAAAACTTCATTGTGGGTATATACCACATTATCTTTATCCATTGTGGACAAAATCCAGATTCTTAAAAAAGAGTAAAGAAATTAGCATTTGGCAAACATGCATGATTACTATACTTCTTTGGGATGCTTTTCCTGACTCATAGTTTGGTGTCCTTCCCACGGGTCACATCATGCTTTTCATTCAACACTTACCTGTATTGTACTTATCTACCTGATTTTCTTTCCCATTAGATGCTGAGCTGTTCCAAAGCTGCTCTAAGTTTACACATTTCCACAACCTTATCTCCTAGTACTGTGCCTAATATATACTAGGTACTGAATTTCATCAATGAATAAATTGAAAAATGGTTAATTGACAACTGAAGGATACAGTATAAAAATCTAAAAAGAACTGCACATCTTTCTTCCAAAGGCATAAATGACTAACATAGTAAGCAAAATAACTTAAAATGTTGCCATGCTTATGGTAAATTCCTGGGATATTTTAGGCAATGCTGTTCCAGTGGTCTGCAATTTATTATAAGAGAATGATAAGCTACCATTTTCTGCTTTCATCTGAAACAGAGAAAGGTCCTCCAGGTCCACCAGAAGTCGGGACAGTGGTTGTAAGCCAGGCCTGAAGGTTTTGTTCACTTAATTGGGTAAAATTATAGAAAGATACATGTTTCTAGGATACCATAAAGTGTAGCATTAACACATAATCAGTTTTTCTTAATAAATCACTAAGAGTCCAAGTGGTGACTCAGGATTGGAATGATTTTGGCAAACAATGCAGCTACTGATGCTCCTACTGAGCAGGAATTAGGTCTTACTCATGATGTTCATTGTTTGTGGAATGAATAATAATCTTCCTTTAACTGTTGGATTGATGATGAGATGTTTAAATGATTTGTATTAGTCCCTTAATAAATAAAGTAGGCAGCCCAGTAGTTAAGTTTTAGTGTTTCATTATTATTTTAGAAAATTAAAAGATTAAAATGCTTTTGAAAGGATTTAATTTCATTTAGAAGTACATTTATAGAATTGCCATTTCACTACCAATATATAACATACTTACACTAGCATAAACAGTATTGTCTTCCATCATATACTTCAATAAGCTAACTAGAAAAAATCTTAAGATGAATTGGTATATGGGGCTTCACAAATGGGATCCAAACCATTCAAAGATCTTGAAAGAATAATGATCTTTATTTTTACATTTGCAGTATGAGGCAAACCTCTCCTTAACCTCCCCAATGAAGCCTCAATTGATATTAAGAAATTAAAATTATTCTACCCTTTGTATAGTTTTACATTAATCATCTATGAAGCTGAATATCATAGAAATTGCTTCATTTCTTCAAGATCTTCCATTTTCTTTGCAGTCTGTTGGATCTTACCAAGGAACTTAGCTTTACAGGTTAGTGGCAAGAAGACATGGAGAGCTATCTTCCCATAACAGTAACTACTTTAATGCAAGCTAAACACGTTCTCCCTACCCTACATTTTGTTTTTTTCATGTAAGGCTAGAATTAGACACAACATTACTAAGATGGCTTTTTAAAAAATGTGAATTATTAGAGACACTTTTAAACCGTATTACCTCCCCCTGAAACAACCATTGAATTAGGTATTACTAAGACACAGGCATGTTATTTATATTTAACTGTACATAGGATTGCTTGACGTGTTTCCAAATTTTCTATCAGATTGTATCTAACAAGATCAGTTCTCTGTGGTCTTTATTACTCGAAGGTATGTCTCCTAGCTCCATCATAAATTGGCCATGTACACTCACACCAGGCACTTAACCTGTCTGGACTGTGGCTTCTTTTAATAACATGAATAACATAATTCAATTATATGAATGAATAACAGGGTAATTTCTAATGTTCCTTTTTGCTCACATACAATTATGTAATACAGAAATGGATCTTTATACATTATTACTATAATATGTTTAGTGGTACATTAAAATTTTTCTTTCTTTTTTGGTTGGGCTTGAGATTGAACCTAGGGCCTTGTGCATGCTAGGCAAGTACGCAACTGAACTATATCCCTAGCCCCCCAAATTGGATTAATTTTAAAGACAAAAACACATAAAGCTGAACATTTCTTTATGGTAATTTAGTACCAATAAATGGCATTTAAGTTTATATATAACCATTCTTTTACGTAAGTGAAGACATTTTTACACTTATTTTTTAAAAATATTTTTAGTTGCAGATGGACATAATACATTTATTTTATTTATTTTTATGTGGTGCTGAGGATTGAACCCAGTGTTGCAAACATGCTAGGCAAGCTCTCCACTACTGGGGCACAACACCAACCCCCACACTAATTTTTTATACTTACAAAAACTGCATGATGTAAGAATTGGTTCAGTGGTAGAGTGTTCATCTAGCATACCCAAAGCACCCAGGGTTCAATCCCCAAAAAGAAAAGAAAAAGTAATTGATAATATGTGGACAATCAGCCCTCCAACCAACTTTAGATAGAAAATGTTCAGAAAAAAATTGCATCGGGGCAGGCAAGATGGCACATACCTGTTATCCCAGTGATTCAGAGGCTGAGGCAGGAGGATCTCAAGTTCCAGGGCAGCCTCAGTAATTCAGCAAAGCCTTAAGCAATTTACAGAAACATTGTCTTTAAAAGTGGGTTGGGGGGCTGGAGAAGTAACTCAGTGGTAGAGACATCCTGGCTTCAATCTCCAGTACCAAAAACCAGAACAATGATAACCTTGCATTTGTACAAATTTTCTTTCCTTGTCATTATACCCTAAACAATACAGTACAACAATTATTTACTTAGCATTTACACTATATTAGGTGTTGCACTTGACCCTTGAACAAAATGGATTTGAACTGTGGGGTCCACCTATATGCAGGTTTTTTAATGTTTATTTTTTGAGATTTGTGGCTTAAATTAAAAACAAAACAAAACTGTGTAGTCTAGAAATACACACACACACACACACACACATATGGTAGGTATGTCCTGAATTCATAAGATATACATAGATAATAGCCTATTTTTTAAAATATTTATTTATTTTTTTAGTTTTCGGCAGACAACAACATCTTTGTTTGTATGTGGTGCTGAGGATCGAACCCGGGCGGCACGCATGCCAGGCAAGCGCGCTACCACTTGAGCCACATCCCCAGCCCCCAATAGCCTGTTTTTTTAAACCATTTCCTACCATAAAATACAAATCTAAAACAATTAGCTTATTAAAACTTATGCAAATACACATACATTGTGCCATTGAGTCAAGGGGAATGTAAACACACATAAGGATGCAGTATTAAATAACTGTAAAATTAACTGCAGTACATACTGTATTACTATAATAATTTCAGTCACCTCCTGCTGCTATTGAAGCAAGCTCAAGTATTGTACCTGCTTAAAATCATAGGATGTTAGTAATATTATATCCAGTACACTGTACCTTTCAGTAAAAAGTGATCTCTCATGGTTCTCCTGTAATTTTCACTGTATACAAAACATGATATACAAAATATTTATTAACTGTTTGTTATTGGTAAGGCTTCCAACAACAGCAAGCTGTTAGTAGTTAGGTTTGGGGAAAGTCAAAAGTTATATGTGGATTTTCAGTTGCAACAAAGGAGCTACCCCTTTATTGTTCAAGGGTCAACTATATAAGTAATCTTGAGATGACGTGAATGTGGGAGGACTAATAAGTCATAGGCAAATATACCATTTTATGTAAGGGATTTGTGTATGGGAGAATTTGGATATCTGTTGGAATCCTGGAGCCAATGAAGAGACCAAAGGGCAACTTTTCTGTTTTAGAGTTTGAGCTCTAAATTCAGCTAAATTGGAGTTCAAATCCTGACAGTGGTATTAACTGATGGGATGACTTTTCAATAACTTAACTCTATCTATAAAATAGGTAATTCAGTACCTACATCAGCAGATTGTTAAGATAGTTTTATTGTCATTTTTCTTAGACATGAGAAATAATTTACTTCCTTAAATTTGCAAAATTGATGGAATTGATACTAGAACAAAGATATCCTAATTCTAGTAAACCAACCAACAAAAAAACCACTTTACTGTTAGATATATTTACTTCATAACAAAACATTAACATGATTATGTTTGATAACTGAGGTCACAATCGTCAAAATATTAAAATTGAAATAATTCAAAGGCCCTGCTGATTTTGTACCTGGCAGTTGGATTAGCAAGACTGGAATTTTACTTGCCTCTTGAAACCTGATTCTCATTAGTGACTATTAATATCATTGAAAAGATATAAATTGGATATTCCTTACAGTCGTAAATGTCCCATTTTCTCCTTTAAAAAACACAGTTTCAGTTATATCAATAATTAATATTTTCCTTAAATTTGTTTTATATAAGCAACTGTGACTTTTCAAAACTAAAATACATCAAAAGAATTTCAGGCTGTGGGGACAGATTTCAGTGTTGTTATCAGAAATTCTCAGATGGTATTTGTTTTGTTTTATAGGGATGCTTGTTCAATTATGCAATTATGTATATTTTATATCAATTTAAACATTCATTTGTTCTTTCCCCTGATAATGCTAGAAGGCATTTGGACATATTTTTATGCATTGTTGTTAACAGCTCCAAAATGGAATTCTAAATTCAAGGGAAAAGGATATATAAGGCAAATATTGGTTCTTTACCCAGAAAACTGTTTTTCTACATCCAGTGTAGAATAAAATTTTTTTTTTTAAATTTTTTGTATGGACACAATATCTTTGTTTTATTTATATATATTTTTTATGTGGTGCTGAGGATCGAACCCAGTGCCTCACACATGCTAGGCAAGTGCTCTACCACTGAGCTACAACCTCAGCCCAATAAAAATTTCTAAGGAATAAAAATCTCTAGATAATCATCACAGCGAGATTTTGTTTTCATATTTTCCAATATAAAAAGATCATTCTATGAAAAAGATTTTGAAGGTAGTTTGAGAATAGACTTCCTCAGTACATGAAGAAATGTTATGACCACTTCCTTCCTCATAGTATTTGAACTCAATAGTATTTATTCTGATACTTCTGTCTCTCCTTCTGCTAGAAATAACCTATAGCTTCATTCTGCCCCTCAATTATCTGCCTGACTTGGACTCAATGTCACTCTTCTTAGATGCCCTTCTTTTTTTTTCTTTTCTTTTTTTTTTTTAAAGAGAGAGCGAGAGAGAGAGAGCGGTACAGAGAGAGAGAATTTTTTTAATATTTATTTTTTAGTTTTTGGCGGACACAACATCTTTGTTTTTTTTGTATGTGGTGCTGAGAATCGAACCCGGGCCGCACGCATGCCAGGTGAGCGCGCTACTGCTTGAGCCACATCCCCAGCCCAAGATGCCCTTCTTTTTAAAAAAATTTTTCTTATAGATGGAAAAATGCCTTTATTTTATTCGTTTATTTTTATGTGGTGCTAAGGATCGAACAAAGTGCCTCACACATGCTAAGCAAGCACTCTGCCACTGAGCTGTAGTCTCAGCCCTAAGATGCCCTTCTTAACAGCCAACTTGCTTCCCAGAGCTAATTGCTGCTCCCTTCTCTAAGCCACCTGTCTACCTCATGCACACAGGACATTGTTGTAGCTTCATTTTTAATGATTATCTCCCATGTAAGAGTGTTATTTTTTTTTAAATGTAGTATACAAAACATATCTTATACTCTCGTGCTTTTCCCTTTTCTTGTGCCCCAGCAGAGATTCAGGTGTAGAGTAGTTCAACTTTTTCCCTTGAACTGACTTGTTCAATTAGGTATACTAAGCCTATGTTTTGTTGTTGTTTTTGGTAGGGGTGATGGGTATTGAATCTAGGGCCTCACAAATGCTAAGCAGGCCCTCTACCTCTGAGCTAAATGCCTCTAATCCCTAATTTAATCTCTAATTAAAACCTAATTTTAAATTTAGAAAGTTTACTATTAAGTAGTAAGACTAGTAAGAAAAGGAATTCTTTATGAGATGAGGTAAGAGAGCAGTTATCAACATATTATGAACTACATTGCTGTGGCAAACAGCATAAGTAATCCCCTGTGGTCACCTTCTCCCAGTACTTGGAAAGCAGCTCCAGTCTTTTCTCCAAGTGAATCTTAGGAGCAAATGAGTGTACCCACCTCTGTAACACCAGCCTCAACTGGAAGAAAAGGGACCATTGAAAGGCAGACTCCCAATTTTTGAGGAAAAGGAGGAGCAATATGTTATAAGAGGACTGGACCTTCTAGGCTTCTACTGGCCTCTCATATTCTTCCTGTTTAGGGAATAAGACCTAAATTTTTTAGTTACCCAAGGAGAGAAGTTTAGCAGAGATCAGAGACAATCCTTGTTAAGAAACTTGGTCACTTTCATGTTATATCCATCCCAAGGGGAGAATGCCTTATCTGTGAGTGTATCCTGCTACGGAACCAGAAATGAGAATAGATGAGGGATTGGTTATATAAATGCCACTTCTTTTCCCACTGCATCTGATAAATAGGCCTATTTACCTTTACTTTAACCACTTAGTATATACATATTACATTTGGATGAATTAAGAAAGACATTTAAAATAACTGTCCCTTAAAACTCAAAGACCATCCAAAACAGGACTATGAATTCATTTTTGTCCTCTCACAAAGATTATATATATAAATGTCATGTCTGCAGTCTCTGGGATATATATATATGTCAGCAAAAAATGAGAAAAACAATGACATTGTATGTGAATTTTCTGGCTGACTTTATTCAGTTTTTTTTTTCCTCCATTAAAATACACATTAAGAAATGATGTGATAACTGGAGCTCTAGCTCTTGGTATGTATGAAATGAGGACCATATCCTAAGGGTGAAAGGAGGTGGGGTCCTAAGGAAGGTGGAACAAAACCACTATTCAAGCCCTGCACTGCCTCTGGACTTCTACATACAAGAAATTAAACTCCTAATTGGTTCAATCCACTATTAATTTGGCTCTCAACTGCAGCCAAATATAGATGTTGTTTCCCAGGCTTCAACAGGTACATCATTTGAAATGTACTGAATTACAGTCCAATAATGAGACGAAACTGATTCCCGTATACTAAAAGGTTGTAAGTTTGAGGTCTCTGTCTGAGGAATACCAATCCATTAAAGACTGAAGTCACATTTTAAAAAGACATTTGTATTTGGTATACAACATACATAAAGACAAATGCTAATGTTATAAAATTTGTAGAATGTTTAATATACCAAGCAAAAGATTTTGTCTGGAGAATATATTCTTATCTGTACATGAAGTTAGGTTAGGGAAAGAGGAGATTCCTGGTTATCCTGAAATTTGTATGCAATTTCTAAAGGATCTGACATATCTTTAATATGAAGTTCTTCATCTAAAATAACTCAATGAAGTCTTAATAAATTGGCAACATCTACATTTTTTAATGTTCTAAATATGTACAAAGTCTTATTTTCTTATAAACACTACTTGTTTTACCAAAAGGAAATTAGATTTCCATTTCTTTTCTTGTAACATTTTCTATTAATCTTTCTAAAAAGATGCTAACTAAAGAACCCAAGCTTCTCCAATAGAAATAAAAATATGGCCAATTAAGTACTCTAGTTCTAATAATATTCTTTTATAGTATTTCAAAAGCAAATATTAATTCAAACCAATAACTGTAAAAAGAAGTTTAAAAAATCTCAGTTTAATTTCCACAGTCTGTAGGGTAGAGAATACAGGCCACATTTTATTTTATACACACAAAATAAAAACAATGAGTAATATGTTAGCTTTCATGGGGGGTGAAAACCATAAACCTTAATCTAAAAGGCTGCATCTGCATCAGCGTAATCTGATGATTCTCTACCAATTTCATTTACAGAATGCCTCTATATCAAGTCATTATTCACTTTCATGCCCCCACATGGGAAGTGGTAGGGGAATATTTGTAGGAATACAATTTATTGTCTGCACCTCCACTTAGAAGTAGCTGTATAGAAAGAGAGAAAAATACATAAAAACATAAGTACAGTTATTCCATATAATAGCTAAGCCTAAACAATTATTCCATATAATAGCTAAGCCTAAATAACCACTAATAATTTGCTTAAAAAAACAAAACAAAACAGCTAACTAAAGAACCCAAGCTTCTTCAACAGAAATAAAAATATGGCCAATTAAGTACTCTACTTCTAATAATATTCTTTTATAGTATTTAGAAATTACAGATGAGCAGTTAACTGACATTGAACATTAGCACTTATAGGGACCACTTACAGAAAATTTCACTACTATTTGGGTTGAGTACCCCTAATTCAAAAATCTGCAATTTGGGCTGGGGAGGTAGCTCAGAGAAGAGGGAGGACCTGGGTTCAATCCCCAGTACTAAAACAAATCAAAAGCAGAAATCTATACTTCAGAATACTCCAAAATCCATGTTTTGAGCACAAACATGATGCCACAAGTGGAAAATTCTGCACCTGACCTCATGTGATAGGTCACAGACAAAACAGGCATACCAAAATACATTGTATAAAATTACCTTCAGGATATATATATATGTATATATATATATGAAATAAAAAACGAATTCTGTGTTTAGACTGTGTCCCATTTCCAGGATAACTCATTTATGTGCAGATATTCCAAAATCTGAAAAAAATCTGAACTTTGAAATGCTTTTGGCAGCAGGCATTTCAGATACTCAGCCTGTATGATGATACAGGACACTAAAACATCAAAAATGATCATTTGAATTTGGTTGAGGGACAGTATGCTATTGTACTTTCTACGAAGCTTTTGTCAAGATATGTAATAAAATAGTTTGAAAATTGATACAGTTTTCCTTACTTAAGAAAAACAAAAGGTTTTAAAGGACAGTGCATTAATTGTTTGCAAATGGATATTGCAAATTATTGAAGTTGCCCTGGGACCTGTATTTAGAAAGAATTCTTAGGCAATAAGACATTATGTGTATACATACAAAATTAAATGGTAATTCTTTAAACACGTTTTATAATTCATATTTATTACATAGGATTTTTGTGACTAGTAAATACTTTGATCCAGTTAGTCTGAAATAGTGAATTTATGGACTTAAAATCTCTCATTAAGAATCTCATGAGAAGGGCTGGAGCTGTGGCTCAGTGGTAGAGCGCTTGCCTAGCATGAATGAGGCCCTGGGTTCGATCCTCAGCACCACATAAAAATAAACAAATAAAATAAAGGTATTCTGTCCACCTACAACTACAAAAAAGTTTTTAAAAAAGACTCATGAGAGGAGCTGGGGTTGTAGCTCAGTAGTAAAGTGCTTATCTGGCACATGTGAGGCACTGGGTTCGATCCTCAGCACCACATAAAAATAAATAAATAAAATAAAGGTGTTGTGTCCATTAAAACTAAAAAAAATAAAGATACTCATGAGAGAAAAGAAATTGCTTCAAAATTTCAAATTTTACTATTATCAGAAAACAAAATAGTTCCTTGAGATGTGAGGTTTTTTTATTGTGGAACAAAATTATAAAATGATATACACTGAAACTAATAACTTTATAAACACAAATACCATATTTATTCTAATAATATAGTCTCCTTTTCACCAAGTAACTAATGAATTCTTACCCCTGTGTCTGTCCAGTCCACACTTAGAACCTTATCTTCATGAGCAGCCAGATCATAGAGAGGAGCCTTACAACTAAAAGAGTAAAATATTAACATGCTATATATATTCACAGGATTAAAACAAACATTTATGAATAATCACACTTTCCTGAAAATTTTACAGGATTTACCATCCTTGCCTGAATAACCATTTAATCTGAGTCTTAACTCAACCACCTTTACTATTTTTCCTGTATAATCAGCAGACTACAGAGATTTATTACAACAAATATATTCAGGAAAAATATTATTTAGTTTTAAAGATTATTCATAATTAGGCCCATTTCACACTTCCTTCACTATTTTTCTTTTATACCCAAATCGTGGCTTTGTTGTTTTTTTTTTTAATATTTATTTTTTAGTTATAGGTGGACACAGTGTCTTTATTTTACTTTATATGGTGCTGAGGATCAAATCCAGTGCCTCACACATGCTAAGCGAGCACTTTACCTCTGAGCCACAACCCCAGCCCCAAATCGTGGCTTTGTATACACTTTATCTAGTCATTTCTACCCTGATAACTTCTATATTTATATTTTTAGCCCAAACTTCTCCCTTGAGCTACACATGTATATCCAATTGCCTGACAGTTGGATGGGCACAAAAAATTTAAAACAACAAATCAAAACTTCTGATTTTCCCTCATATATCAATTAATTGTTCTATCCTTTTCCACCATGGTTAAGTGGCACCATCAATCACCTAACTGCTTAGGCAGAAAATGAGAGCATTATCCTGATTCCAATCTTCACATTGAATCCATAAGATAGTAATCCTGCCTGAGCCATCCTCAACATACACCTAGTACCCAGTTATTTATCTGTAATGCTGCCACCACAGTTCAAGTCACAATTATCTGTGTCTTGAATTATGATAGCCTCTCTGCTTTCATTCTTGCTCCCTTGCTCAAAACCCTCCAAAGCATTCCAATCACATTTAAAATAAAATCCAAACTCAATACCATGTTTTAGCAGGTCACCACTAGCTGCTTCATGTCCTGCCACTCTCCTCTTTGCTTACTTTACTCCATCAACACTGGCCTTCTTGCTATTTTGCCAATATGCCAAGATTCTTCCACCTTATCTGTTGTTCCCTCTGCTGTGATATGTGCATGGTTCATTCCTTCCCACTATTAGCTCACTACTGCAATATCAGAGGGATCCTCCCCCAAGAAGTGTTCCTTTACTCAGCTACTTTCTTCATAGAACTTACTACTATCATCAGAAATTATGTTAACTGCAATGTAAAATGTTTAAAATGAATATAATAGCTTCTAGGTGTTAACAGGTCATGTATCATAAAACAGTATTATAATATATTACAAAGCAGATTTAAGGCCAAAAACAACAACACACAAACAGGCATTTAGTTAATGCATCTTTTCTACTTGTAAAGACATGTAAATAAGTTCTGTATGCAGTTTTTTTGGAGTGCGCTCGCTCATGCTCGCTCTCTCTTTCATGCTCGCTGTCTCTCTCTCTCCCTCTCTATTATTATTATTATTATTATCATAGCACTAGCCTATAAGTAAAGAAATATACCTTTAACACATAATTATCTTTATATTTTTAATTTTTCTATTAACATAATTTATATTAAGGTTCAAGACAATCTTTCTAAACTATTTTTTCCTGTTTTATAACAAAGTCAGAAAGATAGATTATAAACTGATTTTTGTATTTTTTGATAAAAGATAAAGCAACATGGCATTAGTTTTTTTCAGAATGCTAAAAAACAACATACTAAAAATCCTTTGATTCTAGCTTTTTTAAATATCAGTATTTTTTAATATTAGGTAGTAAAACCAAGAGCTTTTTTTCCTAACCCTTCCAGGCAGTTTTTTTTCATTTTATAATAGTAACTGATATCTTTGGTTTATCTAGAATAAAAGCACTTACCTTCTTGTATCCCACAGCTTGACAATGTTATCTAAAGAGCCTGAAATCAGCTGCTGTTCATGAGTAGGAGACCACTTTACGGCTGTGACCCAGCCTGTGTGTGAGGTCAGGGATAGTGACACCAAAGAACCATCTGAACAAAGCAAAAAAGATAACAAGTACTAAATTTTAGAACAGAAAAGTAGGCAGAACCTAAAAAATATTTGGAGAAATCCTTTTTTTTTTTTTTTTAACATGCCCTAATATTTATACCACTCACCTTTGGTTCGGGGATCCCACAGTCTTATATGCCTATCTGTGCTTCCAGAAGCTAAACGTTTACAAAGTGGAGAATAGGAAATACAGTTAAACACTTTATTTCCTGTCTGAAAAGGAAAAGAAAAGTACACTTGACTATGATAGACTAAAAGTAAGCATTTCTAGAAGTTTTTGTCACTTAAAATATCAAAGTTAATCAGAGGAGTACCGAAATCCTTACCAAAGTTGACTTAAGACCGCCAGATTCAACATCCCATACTTTAATTGTGTGGTCCCAAGATGCACTGCAGATTTCTTCAGCATCTGACCAGAGTACTGAGGAAATTGCTTCTGTATGGCCAGAGAGGGTCACCATGGGAGTCTAGAAATGGAAGATCACCCCCCAAAAAGGGAATAGCATTTTCATTTCAGAGTAATTAGAACAATAGTAGTAGTTATTAACTTCCAAAGCCATATGCCAGGTATTTTTACCAGGTGTTTTAGTTTTGATATCCTGCTCTATTTCTTCTTTGTAACAATCCTCCAAGGTGGATATATCTGTTCTTATTTTATACATGAAGATACTGAAACTGAAATAATTGCCCAACATGATACAGCTTATAAGTGGCAGACTTGAGTTTAAACCCAAATATATTGTATTCTGACTCTTCCTCATCTGTTCTACTTTTCATTTTAAGCAGTATTAATATTAACACTAATTTAACTCTCTCAATGAATAAACATAATATTAAAGTCCTGTCCCCAAATGGCCCTGAACTGACCCAGTCTTTCCTCTCTTCTCCTATCCTGTAGTTCTCAGAATAACAGTAGAATATGCTGGGAATGTAACATCCTGAGATATGGATGGACTGACCAGAACAGCCTGGGCTCAGTTCCAGCCCCCCCTAGAAACAGGATGTCCTTCAAAGCATTGCCCAGTAGGTCTCATGACCTGTGGATATAAACCCCAAGTGTTGCTGCTTTTTGGGATTCGTCACTGTGGTGAAAGTGGGGCACACTGTTAAGACTCCATCTACCCCGGGCAGCTTTCTTGGGAGATTGACTCACAATGGATCCTAGGCTTCTGTTGGCCCTTGCTGCTTCTTTGTAAGTGATAAAATCTATTTCATGTAACTTGTGGCATGTGAATGTGTTCTGTCTCACTGGACTAAAGCAATCAGTAAAACTGCAGTGGATGGAAGTGTATAAACTCTTACTTCTAGTGGCTAGCATAGTGATGATCTTTACTGTCCTCTATGCAGTGGGGTTGGGGGGGGGGCTTCCTCGGTTGGGATCTGTTATTAATGAACCTGCTTCACAGTTAGTGAAAAAAATTTTCAGGTCAGAAAGACCTAGGTCTGAGTTGAGGTGCTGCCAATTTCTACATGACTCCTCCAGGTAAATTAATCTCAAAACATTCTTGGCACTCCACTTCCTCAGCATCTTTAAATCCTATTTGTTTTGTTTGTTTGATACCAAGCATTGAACTCAAGGTCTGCTTAACCACTAAGCCAAATCCCCATCCCTTTTTATTTTTTATTTTGAGACAGGGTCTCACTAAGTTGCTTAGAACCTTGCTAAATTGCTGAGGCTGGCCTCAAACTTGGGATTCTACTGCCTCAGGCTCCTGAACTGCTGGGATTATAGACATGTGCCATCACACCCAGAAGTTCCATTGTTTAATCTTTAAATGATGTCCATTAATGAGTACTCCAAAATCTCTAATGTCTTTTCCAAATTAAAACCCCCAAATTACGTATAGAGCCTATAAGGAATATGTGAGAAAGACAAAAAGAATTCTGGAGTGGGAGGCAGTCGGTCTCCTTTTGTAACTGTTATAGTTAGATTTCTTAAATATAACCTCGTCTGTAACTGGAAGGGTTATGCTAGATCAGGAAATAGACTTTATTAGTAAAATGCCAGAAAATAAATATTTTAGACTTTGCCAGCTACATGCAGTTTCTGTTGCATATTGTTATTTATTTTTATAATCCCTTAAAAATGTAAAAAACATTTTTATAGCACTATAATATAAAAAGAAGTATACATAATATAAAAAATAAACCCAAAATGGTTGTTGGGCTGTGTTTGTCAATTCCTGGACCAATTATACAAATATTGCTTTTCTGGCTCTAAAATTTTCCTAAAAAAAGTAAAGGAACCTGATAAAGAAGTAGGAATAAGAAAGATAATCAGAAGCTTATAGGATAGAAAATGACAAGGTAGAAAGAAACAACAGGTAAACTATAAATAATAAGCTATCCCATTCTTAGATGGTAAGTCAAAAGAAAGGAAAACTTATGTTCACATAGAAACCTGAACATAAAAAATATTATACTGTTTTATTCATAACTACCTACCTGGAAAACAACCCAACTATCCTTCAACTTACGAATGATTAAACCAACTGTGGTATATCCATATAACAGAATCCTACTCCACATCTAAAAGGGACAAACCAATGATACCCTCAACAATATGAGTGAGTCTCAACTACCTTATATGTTAAACAAAAAGGGCTAATATAAAAGACTATGCACTTTGTTATTCTACTTCTGTGACATTCTAGAAAACTTGTAAAAACAGAGAATAGATCAATGGTAGTGAGGGTATGGAGGTGAAACTACAAAGGGGCAACATGAATTTTGTTGGATGAGAGACCCTTCTGTATCTTGGTTGTATGACTGATCAAAAGCCAAGAGCTGGGTTGGGTAGTAGCTCAGTGGTATAGTGCTTGCCTGCACCTGTAAGGCACCGGGTTTAATCCTCAGCACCACATAAGGAAAAAAAAAAAAAAGCCAAGAGCTATAACCAAAAGAGCATGTTTTATTTTCACTCTGTAATTTTTTTAAAGAAGAAAAGTCAATATTGGTGTTATTACTATAAACAAAGAGAAGCAGAATAGTACCAGAGGGAAAAAAGAATTATAAAGGAAGAAATTTTATGTTAATATATGAAGCAAATGACAACTAAATGATTGACAACATTATTCATATTAATACAATTCAGGTACTGGAACAGAATGCAGAGGTGACTTTCAATATATGTCTTATTTTTTAAAAATCCAAAGTTTTCTATAATTTCTAATTACAGCAACATTTTCACTACAAAAATTAGCACTTTTCTGGCATTATTTCAAACAATAAATTATGAATACATGTATTTAAGCCCTATAGAAAGCTAAATGAAAAACTGAATATACTATTATTTCTCTCAAATGAACAATGGAAGCAATTTTATAAATGCATTCCTCTAAAAATAAAAGGTATTAACACAAGGCAGTGAGTGATATAAAATATCTGTAATTCATACATTCATTAAAGAACATGAGTCTAGAATATATAAAGAACTCTTAAAAATTTAGAAAAAGATAGACAATATACTTCTTTTATTTTTAAATTTTTTTTCTTAGTTGTAGTCAGACACAATACCTTTATTTTATTTATTTTTATGTGGTGCTAAGGATGGAACCCAGGGCCTCGCACGTGCTAGGCAAGCGTTCTACTGCTGAGCCACAATCCCAACCCCAATAAACTTCTTTTAAATGGGCCAAAAGATGAACAAACGTTTCACATTTAAATATCAAAAGGCTAGGGTTTAAATTAAGTTCCACTAAACATCACCAAAAAATGGGTAAAATAATACACTTTTCTTTATTTATTTTATTAGCTACACATGACATTACAATGATCTTGGCAATTCATACATTTGAATAAATTGGGGTATAATTTCTCATTTTTCTGATTAATAATACACTTTTCAAAAAGTAAGTTAATGTGTAGCCAAGTGTAGAGGGTTGCACCTGTAGTCCTAGCTACTAAAGTGAGTTAATATATGTATATGTTACATGGTAAAATAGTCATGGCATTGACCATATCAAGTGCTGGTGGGAATATGGAGTAATTTGAACTTTCATTTACTGTTAAATGAAGTGAAAATTGACATAGCCCATTTTGGAAAACTTTTTGACAGTATCAAACATGCAGAAAGCCAAATATTTGCATACCTTGTGTGACCCAGCAATTCTACTTCTGCACAGTGATCACACACATAATCCCAAAGCCAAGTATAAAAACTTTCTTAGCAGATTTATTCATTGTAGCCTCAAATTGGAAATCAACCAAATGTCCATCAAAAGAAGAATTTAAAAATTGTGGTATATGAAATTTAAAAATAGGTAAAACTAAGATGGTATATGTCAGAGGTGATTATCTTTCAGTGTCTATTGACTGTGAGGTAGACTAGAGGGAATTTTCCGGGTGCTGGTAATTCTCCATATTTTGATGTAAGTAGTGATTACTTGGGTATGTACCTTTGTAAAAATTAATTGAGGTGTACATTTAAGCTGTACACTTTACTACATGAATGTCAAACTTAAAAAGAAAGGGAACAAACCTACCTTTTCAATAAGGAATTTTTATAACTTAAGAAATCTTTTTCTACTCAGATACATTCCTTAGAGATTTGATCAGAGAAATACATCAATAGAAATTACCACTGAATGCACTATTTAATTGGTACAGCACTTCCAGCTTTAATTTGTCCTACAAGAGTAAGGAAAATAAGTACTTGCCAGATCTTTCCTTTTGCAATTCAGCAGTATATTTTTAAATGTATTAAGAAGTTCTTCATTACTACTTTCAGTTGGAACCAGTGAGTGTATTGTTTATTGCATCTTAATGAGTTTGATGAATCATTTATGATCAACTTCATTTCTCATTTTCAACAATATTTGTAAGATATCTTATTGGTGACTACAGAAATAAAGTGCAAATATGTGCTTGATTACTGCACATTCATTATAAATATTAGAAAATAAATGAGAAATGTTTTCCTAAACCTTGCTCAGTATTTTCTTCTCATTAAGTATATAAAAACAAAGTAGATCACATTATGACACATATCTTCATAACAAAATAGAATGAATTAAGGATCTGGATGAAAAGTCAAACTCATGGAAGCAAGAGCAGACCTGTGATTATCAGGGGCTGAAGTATAGGAGAAATTGGGAAAAGTTGGTCAAATGGTAAAAATTTTCACTTATGAGGTGAACAAGTTCTGTGAATCTAGTGTATAGCAAGGGTGATGATATATTACTGTGTGCGCGCGCGCGTGTGTGTGTAACCATTATTTTACACATTCTGAATGTAGTCAACCTTTATTTGTAAATTGAACATTTTTTTAAGTAAAACAAAATCTGGATGAACTGTTCAAAATCTGGATGAACAGTTCAATTTAATGGGATCTAAAAACTAAATGATAGAGGCAATTTCCAAATTAAACTCCTAGTGAATTAGGAGATATGACTTGCATCCTTAGTAGGAATTATATCCTTACTATGTGAAATAAATAATATTGAAGTCAGGTAATTAGTTGCTTCACTTAACTCTAGTGCAAGATTTAAAAACAAAAGATCCTAATTCAGAGTGTACCATGAAATCAATTACAATAGCTCTATAATCCGCCTACCAAGCTGTAAGCCTAACTCAATGCTACAAAATTCCATGATTCAGATAAATGTAGCAATAGTACAAGGTTTATAAGAAAAATTTACAAATTTACTGAAAGAAAGCTTAATGTTTTTCACCTACTGAAAGCAATCATCTTTTTTTTTTTTCTAGTAGGTTTATAAAGTGAAGAAGATAAAACAAAAGAAAATACAAATAGGAAATGCTGTTCAATTACCACATATTTATTAAGACAGATCTAAGAAATTACAGTCAGTTCTACTACTTACCCTTGTTAGCCCCAATTGTTCTGTTTTCTGTTTCTTTCTTGGTCTATTTGTGGATTCCTCCATTTCATCTTCTTCATCTGTGGGGACTGCATCAGAGAGAACAAGATTTAATATTGGAAAAACGTTGTCAATATTAATTACAAACTGTTTGAAAGAATTTTTTGCATCTCTGGGTATACAGTTTTTCAGTATTATCTAAGTTCATTAGGAAAAGGATTTTTTTTTTTTAATCATTTTGGGAAACAGGAAATTATACATTAAAAAAAATACCTGGATTACTAATATCCAAAAATAAGAATAAGATCACCATTATGAAAAGAAATCACTTTACCATAGCTATGAAAAATTACTTACTATTAGTTCTAGGAGTTACAACCAGATTGTACTTACATTACACAGGAAGTACTAAGATAAACAATGTTAAAATGAGATACATTCAACTATAATGCACCAATGAAAAAATGTGGGGAAAAAATGGACATACATTTCAGTCATCTTTATTCTCCTTGAGTATTTCATTTTTTTGAACAAGGAAAAGTGATACATAGTTATTTTTTGTTTTGTTTTATTTTGGTGATACTGGGGTCAAGCCCAGGGACTCACATGTGCTAACTAGGCAAGTGTTCTACCACTTGATAACTATCATTATGACTGGTATGAGAAGAAATCTCACTATAGTTTTGATCTACATTTCCCTAATTGCTAATGAATGTTGAACATTTTTTCATGTATTTGTTGCCATTTGTATTTCTTTTTGAGAAATATCTGTTTAATTAATTTGCCATTTATTAATTGGGGCTTTTTTTGGTATAAAGTTTTTTGAGCTCTTCATATATTCCAGATATTAATCCTCTATCAGAAGAGTAGCTAGCAAAGATTTTCTCCCATTCTGTAGGTTCTTTCTTCACATTCCAAACTGTTTCCTTTGCTTTGCAAAAGCTTTTTAATTTGATGCTGTCACATTTATTAACTATTGGCATTATTTCCTGAATTTTAGGGGTCCTATTGAGAAAGTCAATGCCAGTGCCTAAGAGCTGGAGTGTTGAGCCTACATCTTTTTCTAGGAATTGCACAGATGGTCTAATTCTGAGGTTTTTGATCCATTTTGAGTTGATTTTTGTGCAGGGTAAGAGATAAGGGTCTAGTTTCATTCTTCTACATATGGACAACCACTTGTCCCAGCTCCATTTGTTAAAAAGGCTGTCATTTCTTCAATGTGTTTTTGGCACCTTTGTCAAGTATCAGATGAGTATAGATATGTGGCATCCCACTTATATTGGCATTCTACACAGATTTGTCTCCGTCATCTATTCCGTACCATGCGTCTGTTTCTGACAGTACCATGCAGTTTTTGTTACTACAGCTCTGCAGTATAGTTTGAAGTCAGGTATTATGATGCCTCCAATATTGCTTTTTTCGGCTTAAAATTGCTTTGGCTATTCTGAGTCTTTAGAATTCCAAATGAATTTTAGGAGTTCCTAGTTCTTCGAAGAATGTCAATTGTATTTTAATAGGGAGTGTATTGAATGTGAATATTTTATGGCCATTTTAACAATATTAATTTTGTCTATTCATGAACATGGGAGGTCTTCCCATGTTCTGTGATCTTCTTTAATTTCTTTCTTCAGTGTTCTATACTTGTTGTTGTAGAGGGCTTTCATCTCCTTGGTTAGATTTATTCCTAGTTTTTTTTGTTTTGTTTTTGACGCTATTGTGCATGGAATTGTATTCCCGATTTCCTTCTCAGGACATTGTTGTTGGTATACAGGAAAGCTGTTGATGTTTATATGCTGATTTTTTTTAACCTGCTACTTTGCTGAATTCATTTATTAACTCTAGAAGTCTTTTGGTGGAATGTTTTGGATCTTCTAAATGGTATCATCTGCAGAGAGTGATAATTTGACTTTTTCCTTTCCTATTTTTATCACTTTTATTTCCTTCTGTTGCCTAATTGCTCTGCTAGAATTTCTAGGAATATAGTAAATAGCAGTGGTGAGAGTAAAAATTCTTGTCTTGTCCCAGTTTTAAAGGAAATACTTTCAGTTTACCCCCATTTACTATGAGGTTGGCTTTGAGTTTTTCACACAGAACCTTTCTGATGTTTAGTAGGTTCCTTCTATACCTCGTTTCTTCAGTGTTTTTATCATGAATGGGTGCTGAATTTTGTCAAAGGTCTTCTCTGCATCTATTGTTCTTAATTCTGTTTATGTGATGAGTTACATTTATTGATTTGTATCAAACTATCTTTGCATCTCTGGAATAAAACCAACTTGGTAATAATGTATGAACTTAATATGTTGCTGAACATGATTCGCTAATATGTTAAGGAATTTTTGCATCTAAGTTCATCAGGGATATTGGTTTTCTTTCCTTCATGTGTCCTCATCTGGTTTTGGAATAAGAGTGTTACTGGCTTCATAGAATGAATTGGAAGTATTCCAACCCCTTCTGTTTCATGGAATAATGTGAGGTGTACTGGTATTAGTTCTTTTTTAAAGGCTTGATAGAATTCAGCTGAGAATCCACCTGGTCCCGGGCTTTTCTTTGTTGAACACAGTTGTTTTTTGTTGTGGTGCTGGGGATTCAACCCAGGGCCTTGTGCATGCAAGGCAAACATTCTACCACGTGAGCTATTTCCTCAGCCCCCTGGTTTTTGGTTTTTAAAAATCTTTGTTACATATCATCGGACAGGTAGCACACCCAGATTGAAAACTACAGATTTTAATGTTTTGTAACTCTAATGAATATTAATCTGCTTTCCCTAATGTGATTATAAACCCCTAAAAGTGATAGCTAACATACAATATCTCATTTATACAGCTCTATCAAAAAATACCACAAAAGGAAAAATTTCTAAACTAAACTGCTTTCTTCCTCAAATTTGTTTGCTTTCATCATTTTTATAAAATCTACTAAAATGGATCTTATACATAATTATTTAGAACTGGTTAAGTTTTTCTTGATTCCTCTTAATTCTGCTTTCTGAACGGTATGGAGGGTATTATGCTGTAAAACAGCAGTTCCCTCAGAAGTAATATTCTGGTCTTTTTACCTGTGCAATTAATAGTTCTAGTTACAAGATTTTAAAATACAAATATTTGGATGTGTGCTTTTCCTTTTTTTCTTCCCACCAGTATCTCTTATTATCATCAAGACATCGTCCTCTGAGTCTTTCCTCTCCTCCAACTGCTCCTTTTAATCTGTTTTCCAAGTAAGAATATTAACCTTGATATTACCAATTTCATTGAAAAAATTTTTTGTTAAAAAGTAGGGCTGGGGATGTGGCTCAAGTGGTAGCGCACTCGCCTGGCATGCATGTGGCCAGGGTTCGATCCTCAGCACCACATACAAACAAAGATGTTATGTCTGCCAAAAACTAAAAAAAAATAAATATTATTAAAAAAAAAAAGTAAACCAGAGGCTGGGGTTGTGGCTCAGTGGTATAGCCCTTGCCTGGCATGTGTGAGGCACTGGGCTCAATCCTCAGCACCACATAAAAAAAATAAACAAAATAAAGTTAAAAAAAAAACAAAAACAAAAAAACTACACAGAGATTTCATCTTTTTTTTTTTTTTAAAGTATACCAGCTTAACTAATAAATTCCTCTATCTCAAAAGTCACTATTTTTTTTTCTCTTTTTCTGCAGTTCTGGGATTGAACCTTGCAAATTGTAAGCAAGTGCTCTATCACTGAGCTACATCCCCAGACCATTCTTTTTAAAATGACTTAAAGTGAATAAAGGTTATTCAAAAGATATTTTTGTTTATTTCCATGTTTCTTAATAAGAGAACTGTGTGAGAATTAAAGTGATCATGTTCCACTGCACCACTGTTGATGCTTGGGGCAATTCAATCTTATCCAATAAATAAGGGAGAGATAGGGTAAAAAACAAAGTCTTAAAACACACAAAAATATTCTAATATGTCACTATAATATATTCCTTTATACATATCCTAAAAAACTCTGTTTATGTTTATGGCAAAACATGGTGTAATAAGTCCTCTCAATTGAATTCTTAAAACATTAATAAGTCAAAATAATAGGAATATTTAATTTACCTGTAGACCAGATCTTTAGCATCTTATCCCAGGAACCACTGCAAAACTGAACAGATAGAGATGAAGGGGAAAAACATGTGATAAAACTCATATTTGCCCTGTTTTTTCTGCTATTTGACTTGAAAACTGACTTTGCTTATTTAATCTCGGTGGAACACAGGCTTTGATATCCTTTACTACCATGGTATCATCTGCCCAGCTTCCTAGTCTCGTGGGACCTGCTGTATTCTTAGTCTCCACAGCAGTCAAGGGAGTTGCCATTATTATGTGCTCTGGTCGTGTTTACTTAGATCAGGGTGAGCAACTGACCTACACTGTACTAGTCATTTTTCCCCCATTTAGAAACTTTAAAAACCCCTATGTTCCAAGAACGGAAGTTTGTCTTTCTTCAGAGACAGAGAATATAGGATTATAAGACCTGGGAAATGTTTACTATCATGTGGAGAAAGCCAATTTTGGGCAAGAGAGAATAAAGTTGACTTAAGAAGACAAGAAGGTGAGGGTATGCTAGCCACATTCAGGCTTCCATTCCACTAGCTCCTGAGGCTTAAGTGCATCATCACCTTCCTAATGATATGGTGGTTCACTCTTGTTGGACATCATAGGTCCAATAAGCCTAAACCAGTTTATGATGAGTTTCTGCCTTTTATAGTCAAAAGTCAGTGTATGATTAATTCACCTAAATTTCAAGTCCATAACATGTAAACTTTCTGTATGGCTCAAAATGCAAAATCAAATCTTTACCTTTAAATGTATCAAATGTCCTCTGTTATTCTAACTGGCAAAGAAACATGGAAACACTCTTAAATCCAGAATACTTTTTTCTTTTTAAATATTTTTTTAGTTGTTGATGAACCTTTATTTTATTTATTTATATGTGGTGCTGAGGATTGAACCCAGTGCCTCACACATGCTAGGCAAATGTTCTACCACTGAGCCACAACCCCAGCCCAAATCCATAATACTTTATGTGGCTTAGGAAACTTTCAAATTTTAAAAGGGTTTTTAAAACCTCATAAGTCAATATAGTATTGCTCTTAGGTTTGTGTCCTTTTTAACTAACATTTACCATTTTGTCATGATAAAGAGTACATCAGCATTAATAGTAAAACAAACTTTCTTAACATTATTAATGTATGCTACAGCTCAGATTATTGTTTTAGGTATTTTAAATTGATGACAGCATTTAGTGTAGCTGATTAATTACTATGATTAAAGAAAGAAATTACTTGTTTAACTGACTTCTTAAGTATTTTACAGTTTATTTAAGGTTCTAAACCAGCGCTATCCAGGCTAGGGGAGAAATCTTATCTCTTATTGCATGAGTATTTGCTTAGGGTTTCAAATCATATTCTTTAGCCACTGATTGTTGGGAAAGTATATGAATTACGGGGAATTTATATAGAGAAAAAAAGTTTAGTAAAATGCTTAAATTCTACTTTAACAAAGTACTAATAACTTAGTAGTTACTTACTTTAGTTCCTGAGCTATCAACAGCTATAGAATCCACACTTCCAGCATGACCTCTGCAACAGTGTAGGGCTTTCACTTTGTTTTTCTCTACATTCCACTCCCACAAGAGAATGGTCTGATCCATAGAGGCACTCAGTAGTAAGCAAGACAAACTATCTGAAGAAAAGAGAACACAATAACAAGAAACAAATTAGTACAAAATTTATATAATCATGTTCTTAAACTGAAAAATTCAAAAATTTTTGGTGGATTTAAAATATGAATGCACATAGGAGGGTTTTAAAAGAAAGTTAATGTATACACCTATAATCTTAGAGACTTGGGAGACTAAGGCTGGAGGATCACAAATTTGAGGCCTGCCTCAGCAACTTAGTGAGATCCTGTCTCAAAATAAAAAAATTGAAAGTGTTGGGAATGTAGCTTCAATTTTAGTATTGCAAAAAGATAAAATAATGATAAAAATAAATTTAAAAAAATAAAGAAATCTAACATGGTATAAAAGGAAAGAATCTTTAAAATTAGAAGATATGCATTTAACACACTCAAGAAACTCAAAAATATATACTACCTAATATAATGTTAGAAAAGATTCACTGCCATCAATTTATGGACTTTTTTTTAAAAAATGTCCTTTTCTTCTTGAACCGTGTTTTTTTTTTTTTTTAAAAAAACACTGTGTTTTTGAAAGATCTTACAATAACTATGGCATGAAGCATTTCATACCCATTCTACTCTCCAGTCTTAACCTGCTCTGAAAATGGGATATTTCCAAATTCCTTTCTAGTATTCCTCTTAGTTTCAGCAAAAAGTCCTACCTTTTTTCACCCAGGCCACATCTTTTACAACGTCTGTATGTCCCACAACTGTCATTATTGACTTTCCTTCCAAGGACCAGATTCGAGAAGTCTTATCATAAGAACCAGTCAAGATCCTATAAAGAGGAAAAAAATTCTGTGAACTTAATAAAGAGGCTTTTTCAAGCTCTGAAAATCAGTTATGTTTCTATGGCAACTACAAAATAAATGGTGGAGATTATATTTTTAAATGGTTTTTATTTATTCATTATTTATTTGTTTGTTTATTTTAGTTGTCAATGGACCTTTATTTTATTTATTTACATGTGGTGCTGAGAATCAAACCCAGTGCCTCACACATACTAGGCAAGTGCTCTACCACTGAGCAACAACCCCAGCCCTTAAACGCTTTTTTAATATGAAGATTTTAAAATATATCAGATGTTATATTATATTTTAGAGTTTTCCTGACCTACTAATATAGCAACTGTGAAAACCCTATATTTCACTTTTATTATTATTGAAAATACTAGAAATCCCAGGGAAACTATGCAAATAGTTTATAAAGCCTAATAGTGCTTTGTAATTAACCAGTGAAAAGCATTAAAGAGATAAACAGGGCTGGAGATGTAGCTCAGTGGTAGAACATTTGCCTAGCATGTACAAGGCCCAGGATTCAATCCCAACACCACAAAAAGTAACAAAAGCAAGAAAAAATATTTAAAGTAAAATCAGTAAAAACATGGCTTTGTGTAATAATTCCAGAGACTCATTTTTAAAGGTAAGATCCTCCTATGATTCACTCTTGAGGTAGTCTTCTACAAGTAAGTTCATTACGGATTTACTCTGAGCCATCTATATTTTCTTACTTGACTCAACTGTGCCGACTGTAGCCCTAAATTTTCATGATCTGCATCTTCATGGTAGTAGGCCAGGAGATCTGTGGCTATGAAAGTTACTTTTCTTTTAGGAAATAAATTATATCCCTGGTCGTAAAAGCAACATACTCAAACCCAGTAAATTAAATACTTTAAGACACTTGACTTGTATAAAAAATAAAGGTCACACCTTGAAACAGAAAAGAAACCTACCAATAAATACCAGTTTTCTTTTTGAATACACTGAAGGCAAAGATCTTTCTGTCTGCTGTGATCACTGATACACATATAACAAACTTACTCTGACAAAGAACAGGGAGTTGGAAAAAATATTCATATAGTGGATTTAAAAAGACTTAAGAAAGTAAGAAAAGAGAAGAATATTCATCTATTAGTACCATTCCTCTGCTCCTTTAATTGAACTGATCCAGTCATCATGGAACATGCATTGCTCTGGCTGGGGTGCAGTGTATTTCTCCACATATTCTAGTTCCACAACCTCTTCCTAGTCAGCAAGAAACCAGAAACCAGAAATCAATTGGTGATTTGGTTTTAAAATATTACTATGAAGATAAAGGAACCCCCAACTTAATGTATCTCCTTCATGTTAGTCTTCTTTATAACCCAGAAAATTTGGAGCCACTGAAAGAGTAAAAAACTTTACAAACAGTGTGCTACGAATAATATTAAGAAATATATTTCTTAATATATATGGGGTTGTGGCTCAGCAGTAGAGCACTCACCTTGCACGTGCGAGACACTGGGTTCAATCCTCAGCACCACATAAAAATAAATAAGTGAAATAAAGGTATTGTGTCCACTACAACTAAAAAAATAAATATTAAAAAAAAAAAAGAAATAGCCTTGGAAAAATTATGCTAAATGTGGGTGGAAAAACATGAAAAAACTTCAAAATAAAAAAAGATAAAAGCCTACCATTTAATTGGTAGAGTTCCTATTTAGGATGTTGTAATAGTTCTAGAAATGGGCAGTGATGATGGTTGCATAATATTGTAAATGTACCTGATGCCACTAAATTGTGTACTTATATATTTTACCACAATTTTTCAAACCACAAAAATTGTAAAATCAATTGTAAATTATATATTCAATTATAAAAACAATATCAAGGAGGGACTGGGGTTGTAGCTCAGTGGTATAGCGCTTGCCTTGCACGTGTGAGGCACTGGGTTCAATCCTCAGCACCACATTAAAAGAAAAAATAAACAAACAAAATTATTAAAAAAAAATTCCTAAAAAAAAAAAAATACCAAGTCTGAAAATTAAAAGGGGAGGAAGCACAATAAATCACAATAACCTAACAGCCATAGTTTTTATATGTACAAAATTATTTTGTATTGCTGTATTAGTATAAATATATTTGCTACTCCATTTCTTGGCATTTCTTTCATAAATATGAAGAACAAGAACATGTTAATTCACCTGCATTTTCTTGAATAACATGTTCTTATAAGAGGTTTCAAAATTAAATATATAGAAACTGAAGTTCTGATTTCACAGAAGAAAACAATAATCAAAACAATCTTGGGGATTAGAGATAGATTCAGACTGCTTCTACAAGGAGTTGCAATATCTGATAATGCTTTAAGCAAAATACAGAAGGTAGTACTTGAACTTACTGATGAGATGTTCTCCAGTTCCATGTGTTTGAACAAGGGCATTCGCAAAAACTGGCCCTTGATAAGGAAATCAAACTCCACATGTTTGTGGAACTCTAAAGAAAATACAGAATAAAATTATTTGCATTCTTAAGGTCTGAAGTATTATTAATAGAGATATACAAGAATCCCCGAAATAAAAACATACACATTAACCCACTGTGGCCTGAGTTTCTCTAGAATTTCTTATAGCACATCAGACAAATGTATTTCAGTAAATCATGTGAATTTAAGAACAATAATACTTTGTTCTGTTGGTATAAGATTTTTCTTACTATTGCTGCTGTAATTGTTGTTGTTTTATTATTATGTTATTATTATCATCATTACTGGTATTGGGCACTGAAATTGCATCTTCAAGGTTTTCTTTAATGTGTTACACTATCACCTATGTAGCCAGTAAACTAGCCATACGTAAAGTTTGGTGAGATTTCTAGTTTCATTTTTTTGGCAAGATTATTCGTAGGCATGTATTTCCTCTGCATCATAGGAGGATGCACATAACATTTAGTTCTGTCTCTTTTTAAGATGTTATGATCCACCTTTGGACTCAGATGATGTCAGTTGGATCCAAAGCATCATAATGTGCCCTGTCAGCTATTAACCTACTTAATGGCCATAGCAGCTAATGGTAATCACACTTATATCCCTTGTTTCACTTGGAGTCAGGAACTAGTAATCTAATTCTATCATTCTTTCTATACTTGTTAGCTATAATCCTTCTAAAAGAAAAATTCCCTCATCAACTATTTGGTTTGCTGTGTTTTAAAAAATCTTAAATCTGAATCATTTGTATCTTCAACTCAAGAGCAGTTATTGACAATTATTCAATTTATATCATATAAAATTGTCATTTTATATATAAAAATGACAAATATTTAGTCTGTAAGTTCAGAAGTTTATAAATCAGAATTGTTATGCATTTACAATTAAAGTAAAGAACTGGATCAACTGCAAGTGCTACAAGAGGCCAGGAGTAATAGCACACTCCTGTAACCCCAGTGACTCGGAAAACAAGGCAAAAGGATCACAAGTTTGAGGCCAGCCTCAGCATGTTGTCAAGACCCTGTCTCAAAATAAAAAATAAAAAGGGCTAGGAATGTAGCTCAGTGGTAGAGCATTCCTGAGTTTAATCCCCAATACTGCAAGGAAGTAAACAAAAATGCTACGTGAGTATCTTTGAATCAGAACTGTAACTTGCTAGCAATAAATACATTACAGGCCCTGAATATCCCCAACTTAAAAAAAAGGCTGTTCAAAAACATCTTATCAAACTTCACAAAAAAATTATGGGACTACTTGAAGATGAAGAAGAGGCAAATATCAGGCATAGTTTATAACTCTTATCTACCCATTCTTCCAACTAAGGCATTCCTCTAATAGAAGAGCTGCTTTGCAGCATTGAAAACAACTGAATAAAAACATGCTTGCCTCTACATGGTACTACTTTGACAAATTTTGTTTTTAAAGATTACACTTTATGTGGCACAGTGGTAGTGCATTTGCCTGGCTTGTGTAAGGCACTGGGTTAGATTCTCAGCATCACATTACGAATAAATAAATAAATAAATAAATAAATAAAATAAAGGTTTGTCAACAACTAAGAAAATATTAAAAAAAGAACACTTTATTTTATTTTTCATTTTTTATGTTCAGTTTTCTGTTTTATGTAATGTTCCTTTACTTAAAAAAAAAAAAGAACATACTGAAAATTTCAAATGTATAAAAAAGTAGAGAACAATAAGCCCTTAAAGACTTATCATCCAACTTCAACAATTAACAACTCATAGGCAATCTTATTTCATCCATATTTTAATGCTCATTATGCAGCTTAACAGACAACTTATTAGTTCACATATGCTTAGTATTTATCTTTAAAATGTTTTTACTTGATATTCTTGTATGTAAGATTTTTTTTTTAAGACGGACACCATATCTTGACTTTATTTATTTTATTTATTTGTATGTGGTGCTAAGGATTGAACCCAGTGCCTCACACATGTGCGAGGTAAGCGCTCTACTGCTGAGCTATAACCCAGTCCCTATATCCATTACATTTGTATGACCTCTGAAAACACATACACACACAAATACCAGTATTATACTGGCATTTTATTATAACATAAAACAAATACTCAAATTCAGATACTTTTGTTTTGCTTTGCAGCTAAAGAGATGTGCAGCTTTGAGCTTCACTAGCAAGTGGGACCTAAGCACTGAGACACTTATTTTATGCCTACATAATCCACCCTCCATGTCATGGTGATACTGCCTTGAGTATCTCTGTATCACAACCAGTATACTAAAATCTTTATTCTTAAATTAAAACCACCTTACCTCCATATTGACTTAAAAAGCAAATTAAACAGAAATATTTTTTTTCCTGAGTATTTTTCTTTCAAAGTATCATGTAGCAGGAAAATCTGTATGTTACAATTTATATTACTGTTACAAAATTCATATATTGAGTCAAATAAATAAAAACGTATCTTAATGTAGCTATTAGTACTATGCCCTCTGAACTTCAAAAGCATATATACCTACCATTTTTGGCCTCCAGCAATTTATTGATGATGTTACTAAGGTCAGCAATTTCAGAGGTGGCAGGAATTGAGAAGGGAACATCATCTACCACATATCTATAAAAAGAAAACAATATGTGAAAATCAAGTCAACAAATATTTTAACAAGTGTGTATTTATTCATTCAACAAACATTTATTGGATAACTACCACACTGAGTAAACAAAATGAATGAAAATATGTCTATTCTCTAGTGAGGTTAAAGTCTGGTAATCAAATACAATTAGTTTTGTAAGAACAATGCTATAAATGATAATGGATGCAAAATGAGAGAATAAGAAGTGATAAGTCATTTCAATCCAAGAAAAGGAGTGGTGTTGCAAGGTCTGAAAGGATGCCTCAAAATCATTCTTAAGCCACATCTAGAAAAGTGATTTTTGCCAGAGGAGGGAGGAGTAGGCATGAAAAGTACACAAGAAAGTAGGGAGAAGAGCAAAACAATAGCTAGGAATTGTTTCTATATCAGAAAGTGTGATTTTGCTTTAGGCAGTGACCAAAGATAAGGCTATGCTAGTTTATGAAATAGCTTTTACTGTTTTGAAAACACAGCATCACTGTAGCAGTCCAAGTTACAGAATATCATCAGAATTTTGTTTAGCTAGATCTTTCTGGGTGTGCAGTGGAAACTGGATTAGAGGGGTGGGGATATAGCTCAATTGGGAAAGTGCTTGCCTGGCATGCCTAAGGCCCTGGGTTCAATCCCCAGCACCACAAAAAAATAAAATAAAAAAGAAACTGGATTAGAGGAACAAAGGAGAAGAAGCAGATTAGGAGACTCATAAGAAAGAATGTGGGAAAATATTTGCAAACATATATCTGATAAGAAGCTTGTAGCTAGAACATACTTAAAATTTGCAAATCTGTAATAAAAAGATAATTTAATTTTTTTTAAATTGGCAAAGGATTTGAATAGATGGTTTTCCATAGAATATATAAAAATGGCCAATAGGCTCAGAAAAGATGTTCACAGTTATCAGAGAAATGCAAATCAAACCATGAAGAAATATCACATGATACTAGGGTTGCTGGAGTGCAGCAGTCTGGCTGGGCACAAATAACCCGGAGGTCACGAGCCACTTGTAGATTCAAGCAGGAACGAACTTTATTCAAGAACCCAAGTGAACTCCCCGGGAAATCAACGGGGGAACTCCCCGGGAAATCAACGGGGAACTCTGCGAGAACTCAACGGGAACTCCCGAGGTAGCAGGAGCCGCCCTATTGCCGGACAGCAGAGGTCCATATACACAACTGAAACACAGCCTGCCCCAATCCAGCATCATCCAGTTACAGCAATCAGCCATCATCCCAATAATTATACACAGCTTAACTTAACCATCATCATCCGAATGGCTCGCTGGCGCTACACCTCAACCACTCCTTCTGGCAAAATGCCAGGTGCCATCCTGACTTGGTTGTGGCTCTCAACACTGGAGAAAAAAAAACAGCTAATAAAAGATACTGATAAGGTATGGAGAAACTGGAACCCTCATACATAGATGGTTGTAATGTAAAATAATGTAGCTGCTTTGGAAAACAGTCTGACAGTTTCTCAAAAAGTTAAATGTGGAATTACCAAATGAAAACATATGTTCACACAAAAACTTGTAAGTTAATGTTCGCATAAACACTATTCCTAATAGGTGGAAACAACCTAAATGTTTAACAAATGGACATGAATAAAAAATGTGATATATCAATACAATGGAATATTATTTGGTCCTAAGAAGGAAAACATACTATAGCATAGATGAACCATGAAAACAACATAGTAAGTGAAAGAAACCAGTCACAAAGACCATGTATTAGGTGGGGTGTGTAGCTCAGGGGTAGAGCTCTTGTCTAGCATTCTCTAGGCTTTAAGTTTAATTCCCAACACCTAAATAAATAAGCAAATAAGTAAATAATTCCATTTATAAAAAACATCCAGAATAGACAAATCTACAGAAACAAATAGTAGGTCTGTGTTTACCTAGTGGTTGGGGCTGGGATGGTAGGGCGGGGTGAGGATAGCTAAAGGGTGATGAACGTTGACAGAGGTGATGTGGCACAACTGCGAATATGATACTGCTGGTCCTCAAACTACCCTTGGAATAATAATACCTATATATTTACCATGTCCCAGAAAGCAGTTATTCCAAAAAGTAACAAAACATAGAATTAAAATTTTTGCTTCTTCCTTTTACTATTTTGATCAATAAAACAGGGAGGGAAGAATAATGTGATTCTCTTTTACACACGTGCATACACATATACAGTGAATGTGAATTTTATATGTGTGTGTGCATATACATGTGTGTGTGTGTATATGTATATACACACACACACGATATTTACCCATTTATTTCTTTGTTTAAAATACAGTGATCTATTATTATTTCTTACAACTTTCTGTGAATCAACAATTATCTCAATAAAAATGTCAATTAAAAAATACAATGGCAACTGAGCATGGAGGCGCACCCTGTAATCCCTGTGGCTCGGGAGGCTGAGGCAGGAGGATCATGAGTTCAAAGTCAGCCTCAGCAAAAGGAAAATGCTAAGCAACTCTGTCTCTAAATAAAATACAAAATAAGGCTGGGGATGTGGCTCAGTGGTTGAGTGCCCCTGAGTTCCATCCCTAGTACCCCCCCCAAAAAATAATAATAATGACAGTGGCTATGCTAGTGCATTATCACATTCCTTGAGAAATATTAAGGCTAAGTATATAAATTAATGTTCATTAATGATATGATTTATATATACTGTGAACAATATAAGAGTGAAAATGATTTAAAGGTTAACTCATAAAAGTTATAAACACTAAATCAAAGGTATAATCTTAATTCAAGAGGGAGATTTCTAAATTATGCCTGACATTAGCATAATACAACAAACATATGTATATACATATATATATCATTTATCATTAGCACCAGAAAAATTTGACCAACATTGTTGACTCAGTCAACCCAAGAAGTTTAAGACATGGTTTCTGCATTTAAGGGACTTACAATATTAATAGTGCAACATACACCACAAGGTAGTACATAAGTAGATTTCAAATATGTTCTACAAATCTAGGAATCATTGGTAAAAATCGCTTTGTACACACAGGCGCACACACACAAAAATCAATGGTAAATGTTTGTATATAAATGATATTTACACACACGTAAGTACATTTTATAAAAAGAGTATAGCATACAACACAATATACACTGAATTGACTTCAGTTCTACCAACCCTCTATTCAGAGATCCACTTTCTACCCTGGTTTATAAAAGCATTTTCTATCACCTACTTAAAAAGAAAATAAAAAACAAGGAAGAACAGTAGAAGAAAGAGACCAAGGGGAAGGAGGAGGGGAGAGAAAGGGGAAATAATGGAGAATGATATCGGGCAAATTATATTTTTATATTGTGTGCATGAAGAAATAATGTAACAACGAATCTCACCACTAGGTACCATTATAATACATCAATTAGAAATATAAGGGGAAAAAGGCAGTTATGTTTTCAGAAGCTGTGAAACACCACTAGCAGCCAGCTTGTAACGACACGGCCCTTTTGTTCACTGTTCAAATTATGCATATGGTGTGCATCATTCAGAAAGCAAACCCGAAGCCCTTCAGTTTTCTCCATACACAATTCAAATTATATGGAGCCCAGGAAGCGAGCAGGAAGGAGGTGATCTTGGAGACCCTCTGAGAGGTTCCTGAGAAACCCTTGCAAGGCATCACTTCTGAGGAGACCAGGGGCTCAAGTTAGGAGAACAGCAGGAACAAAGGGAAAAAACGGTGGCGGGGAGTAGCTGACAGCAAAGACAATGACAATCAGGGAAAAACAAGAACACAAGGTCGTGCCTGGGAAAGAGGCTAGTCCCGACGGCTGGGCCGCTTACTTACTTCTTGTTGTCAGTGTAGAAGCGTGTCTGGAGCTGAGCCATGGCGAGAAGACTTGCCCTCGAAAACGTATGAGTTAGCAGTCAAACAAGAGGTGCTCTTTAACCTCTTAATACTACAAAAAGAGATAATTAAAATTAGTCTGCACGGGTAGGCGAGAACTGCGGTTCAAGCCTGATTTCGGCTTTCTTCCCCCGGGTTTCCTCAGCAGAAGGCACCACGAGGTTCACCTTCCACACAGGCCCAGCCCGCAAACATCAAATACCTATTCCTAGATTTAGGAATCACCGATTGATAAAGCACAGTCTTAAAAGCAGAGTGCCCCCTTAATCTTTTTTTAGATTTCTTCCCATACCTGTAGGCTGTGATCGATTAGGAAGCTTGAGAAATTTCCAACTCAAATCTGTATTTTAAAATAAAACACTATCGTTAGACTGGATACTTCAAACGCAATTGTGAGATACTACAATTCCCAGGAAGCAGCGCGTCTGAAACGCTGTGACCACTGGGAACTGTAGTCTTGTTACGCTGTATCAAGATCTCTTATTTGCATTAAATCCTCCTGACTCCAGCCAGATGTTTATTAAACTTCCTCTAGTTGACTAAGGTCTTGCCAAGTTCCTTTTCTTATGTAAGTTCTGAACCACAACCTGACCCACCCATGACTTTTCCCGAGTTCTCACCACTAGCCTCGGGTTCGCCAAGGCGGAAATACGAAAAAAATAACGTTCTGAAAAGAAACCCGCGACGGTGGCCGATAGTGGTCTCACCGCGTGGGACAGCACTGCACCTCCCAGAGAGGTGCGCCTGCGCATTGTGCTGGTCTCCATGGCGGGGCCTCGGAGCCAAGACGAGGTTGAGTAGACTCGTTTTGAATTTTCTCCCCCTCTGCTCCGGCGGACTTCCCTCCTCGCCTTGTGGGGCTTTCGGCGGCGGCAGGGCTGGGGAACTAGAGGTTTGGCAGAGTCATCTGCGCTGACGGACTGGATGCTACCTCCCAACCCCCCTTTCTACCTCCTCGCGTCACCTCCTGACCCGCCCGGGCTGGTAGCAACTGCCGGCCCCCGCCCCTGCCGCAGCCGGGCACTGACGGCGCCCTTCATTCTCTTTCTCGGGGCTTTTTCCGGGCCCTCCTAGCTAGGCCCACTACCACGGGCCCGGGAGGGGGCTCGCGGGCCCCAGGGAGGCAGACTGGAGAAGGAGGAGGTTAGGTGTCTTGAGGGTTGCAAAGCCCCAAAACGAGCCATCACTGCCAAGGACCCGCGCCCCTTTGGCGGGAGCGCCCTGCGCGTGGTCTCCCACGCTCTCTTGCGTCCGGCTTTTAAGCGTCTCCCCTCCCCACTTTCTCAGCCTTTTTGTACCTTGTGTTTAGAAGAAGAAAAGCTTCTGCCCACACCTTCTACCCCTGGCTTTTTTACTTTTTGTTTTGAAGTTACCCAAAGCCTTGACTTGGTCGCAATGATCCCAGTAATTACTCTAGTTCAATATAGTTGTTTCTCTGAGGTAGGCTGGATGGAGATGATACTCTCCAGTTCCCAAAGTCACATTTTAAGGCATTCGCCAGCAAAGCTCCAAGAGGGGGTCTTCAAGAGAGAACAGTTTAGGATCAGGCAGAACTGGATTGCAAAATTTGTGGGCGGAACGGTATGTGTGCTGGTGAAGAAAACTAAAGCTTTCCTCTACGTTACTTAAAGATGTATTAGATTAAGTAGACGCCTAATATTTAAATCAGCTGTAGGAAATTAGAAGTAATTTAAACAGTTGGGAGTGAAATATAATCTTTTATTGGAGAGCAATGGCAATAAAACCACGACTATTTTCAGCTTACTCACGTTTATAAAATATGTACCCTGGAACCAGAATGCCTGGGTTCCATCATGACTGGTACTTAACTAACCTCTCTGTGCCACGTTTTAGTCAACTGAATGAATTAAGATGCCATATAAATTCTCAGTAAATATTAATATCATATTATGCATTCAAGTTTAACTAGAAGCTTTGCCTATGTGAGCAAATGAGAGAGACAGCCACTTGGATGGAGGAATAAAATGAGAAAACCTTTACAGAAGTCCCAGAAAAACACTTGTTATGATTGAGCTTGTAATGATGTGGATTTACACATTAAATAAGTTGAGGTATCTGAAGCTTGAAACACTTTCTTAACTGAAATCTTGTGGTATTTGTTAGTAACATCATTAGTTAAAATATCTTGGAAATTTTAAACTGTCATTAATTTGAAATTCAGCAAATTAAGAATAATAACTGAGCCAAATAATTTGCACTTCGTTTGAATAGAAAAATATGGGGAAGATAAAGAATATCAATATAGAATATTCTTAAGGAAATAAGACTTCGATTTGCAGATTGGAAGTCTTGAAAATTCAGTAAAGTACTTATTTCTATTGAGACTTTAAGGAAAACTTAGCTAATAAGTGTTGCAAAAATAACTGAATACCCCATATGATGTTTTGGGTTTTCTTTCAGCAGTGATTTATGTGTCATGTTTGATGTCACCTCCAAACAGTACCTAACATAGCTAATACTTTTGCTTTGAATGTTTTTCTTAATATCATTTAGTACATTAATGGCAAGCTTTGGGTTCAAAACAATTTCCTATGGAATTAATTTTTTGTAGTCCTCAGACACATTGCTATCTGGAGAACCACAATTTGGAAAATACATGTTTTTCTTTTCTGTCCTATTTGTGTGTGTGGAGGGTCCCCTACTTGGTCGGTTGTAGAATTAAAAGAAATCCTAAGATTTCAAGTGGCTTCATCCTTCAGTCATCCTGTTTGGGAGTTTATTCTCAGATCATTGTTTTTAACAGATGAATTTCATTTTATTTATTTACTTAGTTTTGGTACTAGAGATTGAACCCAAAGGTACTTTACCATTGAACCACATTCACCACCCTTTTTATTTTTTTAATTTTTTTAAAAATTATTTTTTGGGGTTGGGGATGTGGCTCAAGCGGTAGCGCGCTCGCGCCTGGCATGCATGCGGCCCTGGTTGGATCCTCGCACCACATACAAACAAAGATGTTGTGTCCGCCAAATACTAAAAAATAAATATTAAAAAAAAATATTTTTTGGTTGTTGTTGGACCTTTATTTTATTTATTCATATGTGGTGCTGAGAATCAAAACCAGTGCCTCACACATGCTAGGCAAGCGCACTTCCACTAAGCTACAACCTCAGCTCATTTTTTTCAATTTTGAAACAAGTACTCACTAAGTTGCTTAGGGTCTTGCTAAATTGCTGAGGTTGACCTTGAACTTATGATCCTCCTGCCTCAACCTTCAAGGTTGCTGGGATCACAGGTGTGCACCACTGTGCCCAGCATAACCAATACATTTTAATACACAGAAATCTAAGGGGGAAATTCCACAATAATTAAGTGATAAGACAGTTTTTTTGGAAATTACACCTGAAAAATTACAGTTTAGAACAAATAGAATTGCTGTTGAACAAAATGAAAAAAAATGTTAGTATCCTAAGTTCTTTTCATCTACTATGCATTCACTATGTAAACAATAAAAATGCCTTTCTCTCCATAAATAAAAAACTGAAGCACCAATTTTGTTTTGTTTTGTATTTGGTACTGAGGATTTCTACTGACCTAAATCTCCAGCCCTTCTTATTAAGTTGCTTAGGATCTCGCCAAATTGCTGAATCTGGCTTTGAACTTGCAGTCCTCCTGCCTCAGCCTCCTGATTCACTGGGTTACATGCAGTACCACACTAGGCTCTAGTTTTTTGATATAAGATAAAATCTACTTTTGTAATGTGATATGATAGTATTCTAGATAGCAGTTTGCCAGAAAAAAAATGAATACTGTTTTCTGAAGTCTGATCATTAACTGGCTTAACTCCAAATTTAATAATTTTTTCTTTCTTTTTTTCATCCAATCCCAGTGCTTCTTACTTAAGAAGTAAATTTATAGCGCTGGAATGTGGCTTAGTGGTAAATCACTTGCCTACCAGCATATATGAGACTCTGGGTTAAATTCCCAATAACACCAAAAGGAAGGAAGCAAAATGAAAGAAGTTTATCAGTACTAGGGTTGGGAGTAAGAGAGAGAAGAGGTTTTAAAGTTTCTTGTGGCTTGGAAAGATAGTCTGTTAGTAAATGTTTTCCTTGAGGAAATAGATGTAAAATATATAAGTTGCTGCAGAGGTCTGTTTCATTTGTTTCTGTAGAGTGAGAGTTGAAATAAAACCATAGTCTGGATTCTTAATTTTAGATAAGAAGACAGGCACAGAGGGGTTAAATCACCTACTCTAAGACACATGTAATTATCTGTAAAGGCAGCATGGTCTTTAGTTCTCTTCAACTGAGAACTACCAAGTGGTTCTACCAAGTGTGGCTGGTAATAGCTACTTTTTCAATAAAACCTGCATAATGAAATCTAGTAGTTTTATTTATGTATAGAAAAATGAAATATACATTGAATAATTTCTCATTACAGAGAAAATGCTGCTGTGAAGACACAGTTATAACTTTCACATAAATGAAGCTACAACTGTTATTTAGTGACCCCCAAAAGGAAGAACTTTGGTGAACATGAAAGAACATTCTGGGGGTGGCAGAATGCTTGAGGACTGGAATTTAAACTTGAGCCACTGCCTGAAGGTAATCATTTTATTTTTAATTTAAGTGAAAGCAACAGCTTTATAAGTTAACTATTATCTCTTACATATTAATGAAAAAGTCAAATTATACTTTGTTATAGGCAATTGTTCTATTTATGGTTACCAGTTGGAGAAAAACATTTTATACCTAGTTAATGTTGTTAGTATTTCACTTTTCAAAAACTTTACATTGAGTTAATTGGGAATTAGTGATAATAAATTATGCATGTACTGACATCAAGGATAGATGGGGAAATTGGGTATTTTAAATCATTCTGCAGTTGTCAGGACTGAGGAGAGTAGTAGAAATTGTTGGAAGAAATGAGAAGGAATAATACTTTTCACTACAAATTATTTTTCTGAAAGGATGTTCATAAAGTTAGAACTGCTTTTAATCTCTATTTCAACAGTGGATTAGGTATTCATATTTAAACCCATTTTTCTATATGGGAATTGCTTTAAATAGAATTTTCCTTCTATAACCACAGAAAGTTTGTTTAAATTATAATTGCATTTTGCATTCCCATAAGAAAATCAAGTTATTTTTATTTCATTGACAAAATCCAAGTCTGGGCAAAATTTTCAAAAAGTGGTTTGTTTGACAATCTTCCGTTGTCAGTATCACTACCCCTTTACTAGTGTACTTACCTAGGCTATTCATACTTCCTTCAGTCTTCACATTTAGTTCAGGACTGTCAAATCCCTCAAAGTTCTTTCAGTCTATAGTTATAATTGCTTCCTTACCTCCAAATTAAACTCTTCACTCCCTCAGAATAGCTGTTTCCAACTCATCTTAAAAGGAAAAAAAGTTTTTCTTCTATAAATTTATGCAAATTTGAGGCTGGGATTGTGGCTCAGCGGTAGACCCGGGCTCAATCCTCAGCACCACATTAAAAAAAAAAAAAAAAAAAGCATTGTGTTGTGTCCATCTACACCTAAAAACAATAAATATTAAAAAAAATTATGCAAATTTATTAATGGCTAATGCTCTATCTAAAGTATTTTTAATAGAAAATGTGTTTTAATGCCCATACAAGTTTTATTAATGAAATGTCAGTGAAAAGACAAAAAGGACATAAGGTGGAAAACATTTTTGAGGGGCTAGCTGTGGGATGGGGCACCTGGAAAGAAACAGAGTAAGCTTTTGCACTTCTGTTCCCTAAACTGTTTCCAGTTTTTACAATTCCTTCCCAAGTCCACTTCTGAATCTGTTCTACAGAATGTTTTCTCAATGGCTACTGTTAGACCTCTAGCTTTTGGATGAGATCAGACAGATTAGTTTACTGACAGGAGAGCTTTTTTTGTGTTAGGAACTTCCTCTAATAAATTTTTACCAGGAAAAGTTGAAAACAAAAATGAGCAGAGTTTATTTTATTAACCTATCAAAAAAAATGATTTAAAGCTATGGAGTTTTGACTAATAGACGAAGGTGGGTGCTTTGTCTATGACTTCAAAAGATGGGCTTTGGAGTCAACACATATAGTTTGAGTTCTTTGTTACTTCTTAAATATAATCTTGGGAAATTTACTTAACTTGCCTGAATATTATATGCAAATTGGAGCAAGTAACTGAATCAAGAATATTTTAAAGGTTTAAATAAAATGATACAGGTAAAACACTTTTAACATAGTGCCATATTATGGATAATCTTCTAAAATTTGAACAGTGAGCCTCAATAAAAGGATTATAATAATAGGTCTTCCATCATAGGATAGTAGAATGGTAATAATTCTACCTAATAATTATTAAGCATAGAGATATTCAGGTAATATTAAACTATTTTATAGCTATGGTAATTAAATTCATAATTGCTGTTGACCTACCACACTACTGTTTATGTTTAAAAATCAAAATAAAGAGCTCCCTAGAATATTAAGAAATTTTTAATCTTAATGTCATCATGTTTAGACAGTATGTCAATATACTTGATTTATTTTAGAAAAGTTTAATTGTATCCAAATTGTATGCTAGACAATTTACTTTAGAAAGTTGAATTGTATTCTTGACAAATATTTCAGTTTTAATAAGTTCTTCAGTAGAACTTCATTTTCATTTGAATCTAACTTTGTAAAAGTTTTCTCTTAAAATAGAACTCTCTTATTTTTCTGCTCAGTGCACATTAAAAGTCAATCAATAAATAATATTTAGGGTTGGGGTCGTGGCTCAGTGGTAGAGTGCTCACCTAGCATGCACAAGGCACTGGGTGTGATCCTCAGAACCACATAAATGTAAAATAAAGATATTGTGTCCACCTAAAACTAAAAAAATAAATATTTTTTAAATAAATAATATTTAAATAAAATATCAGGATAATCAACTATTAGACACAAAAACCTTAAAACTGGCTGGAATTTTGAAGATCACCCATACTAAATTCTGATTTTAAACTGAAATTGAAGTTCAGAGAAGTTAATAATTTGGATTTTTTTCCCCATTAAATCCAGGTCAATTTTATATTCATTCTCTACTACATTTAATGAGATGTGTGAATTTTTTAAATTAAGCAGTAATAATTCAATAGAACTTATTAGTTATTTAAAAGTGTAAAGTTTTTGCAAGTTTTCAAAGATGATGTAGAAGTATGTTTAGAAGTTCATTTAGAAGCTTCATACTAAGACCATTTTTTTTTGTTTCAGTTTTTCATACTGGGGATTTAACCTTGGGGCACTTTACTAGTGAGCTACATCCCTGGCCCTTTTTATTTTTTAATTTTCAGACAGGGTCTTACTAAGTTGCTTACAAGGCCTTGCTAACTTGTTAAAGCTGGCCTCTAACTTGTGATCCTCCTGTTTTAGCCTCCTGAGCCGCTGGGATTATAGGCAAGTGCCATTAAGTTTTCATTACATCAGTGAAATGATTAGAATTTTTACCTTCAAAAAACAATGGATTTATTTAGTTTAGATAGGTGAATTTACATATGTAATAAAAAAATGAACATTTATTGAATACTGACAATGTGATGGGATTTATGCCAAGGCCTTTCCATACATTATTTTATTTAATGTTCACAACAACCCTATGAAGTGGATATAATATTATTCCTAGTTTGCAGATGAGAAAACTAAAGCTTAGAATGATTGCCCAACTTGATAACTAAGTGTAAAGCTGAAATTCAGGGCTAGATCAAATGACTACAGAATACTCCAACAGATTTGTGCAGTTTTACTAACTGACCCTTTCACTAAACACTTCTGGTTGGTTGGTTTATTTATTTTTAAGATGGAGTCTCTCTGTTTTTCTCAGGCTGTCCTCAAACTTGTGGGCTCTATCAGCTTCCAGGTTAGCTAACTTGATAAAGTTGGCCTCTAACTTGTGATCCTCCTGGAACTATAGGCTTGTGCCTCCATGTCTGGCTTTTTCTGTTTTTATTTCAAGTTTTAGAAAAAAAAAAAAAAAGTAGTTTTGTGTATACTTGAACTCCAAAATTGTTCAGAGTTTGACAACTTAATCAAAAATTTCAAGATAACTTTAGAGTTTATATACTGTGATTTGCTATTGGCTTTATTTCCCAATCACTCTAATTCCTGTTTTTGTTTTTAATTAAAAGCCTTTATATTTTTTTTAACATTGTTTAGGCTTATAGAAAAATTGAGCAAATAATAAGACCCCATCCCCTACCTCACCACAACACACAGCTTCTCTATTATTAACATCTTGCATTAGTGTGACACATTTCTTAATTGTCAAACTAATTCTATTGATACATTATTATGAACGAAAGTCTATAGTTTACATTAAAGTTTACTCTGGGCTGGACAGTTTTGTGTATTTTGATAAATGCATGATATCATGTATAGTATCATAAAGAATTATTTCAATCACCATAGAAGTCTCCTGTGTTTCACCTATTCATCCGTTTTCCTGCCCCATTTATACACCTAACAACCTCTGTCAACCACTGATCTGTTACAGTGTGTATAGTTTTCCCTTTTCTAGAATGTCATATATTTGGAACCATAATGATATGTAGCCTTTCAAATTGGCTTCTTTCATTTAGAAACAAAAATAGGCATTGAAGTATTCTCTGTGTCTTTTTGTGATTTTATATTTCATTTGTTTTTGGCTTTGGTGGTGCTAGGGATGGAACCTAGGGCCTTCCACATGCTAGGCAGGTGCTATACCAGTAGGTACACCCCTAGCCATTTTTTTTTTTTTAAGTCACCAAGAAAACCTCCATGGGCTAGGGATAGAGCTCAGCAGTAAAGTACTTACCTCACATGCACAAGGCCTTGGATTCTATCCCCATCACAGAGACAAAAAAAAAGTTTCATTTATGGATATGCCACAGTTTATTTATTCACTCACCTAGTCAAGGACATCTTGCTTTGAAGTTTTAGTAGTTATGAATAAAGCTGCTGTAAATATCTGTGTATGAGCATTTGTGCAATACAAGTTTTCAATTCCTTTGGGTAAATACCTCGTAGTAGAATAGCTAGATTCTATGTGTAGCTTTATGAGAAACTGCAAATTATCTTCCAAGGGATCTGTACCATTCTGCATTCCAGCAGCAATGAATGAGAATTCCTGTTTTTCTGCATCCCATCCTTGCCAGCATTTGATATTGTCAGTTGTTTTATTTTAACCATTCTAATAAAATATAAATGTTAATAATGGCATCTTATTGTTAAGATTTAGTTTGCCATATGCTGTTGGACATCCTCCCATGTGTTTAATTGCCATATGCGTATCTTCTTTGATGAAGTATTTCTTCAGCTCTTTCAACCATTTTAAAAATTGTATTCTTTTTCTTATTGTTTTTATAATTTGTTGTATATTAGGGATACAAATCTTGTATTCTTTTATAAATACTTTCTCTTAGTCTATGGCTCATCTTCTAATTCCTTTGACTTTTTCCCCACTGAAGTCAGAAATTTTTAATTTTAATGAAGTCCAGCTTATCAGTTATTTCTTTCATACAGCTTATCAATTATTTCTTTTATAAATTGTGCCTTTCATGCTATATTTGAAAGTTATTGCCATGCCCAAGATCATCTGGGTTTTCTCTTATATTTCCTCTAGGAATTTTGTAGTTTTGGACTGTACATTTCTTTTAGTCAGCTTTTTTGCCACTGTGGCCAAAAGACCTGACAAGAATGATTAGAGGAGAAAAAGATTATTTAGTACTCACAAGCTTAGAGGTCTCATTCCATAGACAGCCAACTCAATATCTCTGAGCCTGAGTGATACAGAATATCATGGCAGAGGAAGGCAGCTCAGGACATGGCCGTAAGAAGCAGAGAGAGCTCTGCTCACCAGGAACAGAATATAAACCCCAGGAGCATGAAGTCACACCCTACCTGCCTACAGTTACCACCCAGTTAATCCATATCAGTGGATTAATCCCCTGACTAGATTAAGGTGCTTTTTTAAATTTTTTTTTTAGTTATTTTTGGACACATGCCTTTGTTTTATTTATTTTTTATGTGGTGCTAAGGATCAAACCCAGAGCCTCGCATGTGCTAGGCAAGTGCTCTACTGCTAAGCCACAACCCCAGCCCCTAGATTGTCTTTTATAATCCTGTCATTTCACCTCTGAAAATTCTTGTATTGTATAACATATGAGTTATTGGATAACAGCTCATATCTTTTTTTATTTTTTATTTTTTTGGTACCAGGGGTTGAACCCAGAGGCACTTACCCACTGAGCCTCATCCCCAGCCTTTTTTAAATAGTTTATTTAGAGACAGGTCTCACTAAGTTGCTAGGGCCTTGCTAAGTTGCCAAGGCTAGCTTTAACTTGTGATCCTCCTGCCTTAGCTTCCCGAGTCACTGGTATGACAGGCATGTGCCACTTAACCCAGCTACACCTCATATCTAAACCATAATATTCTTCCCTTACTCCCAAAGCTTATGCCCACCTCACAATGCAAAATGCATTTAGTTCATTTCCAAGAGTTCTTATAGTCTTAACATAAGTTCCAGCATTGCCTGAAAGTCCGAGTCTCCTCTGAGACTCAAGGCAAACTCTCAGCATGAGCCCCTGTAAAAATCAATATCCAATATGTAATAGCACAACAAAGTAAACATTTCCATTCCACAAGGGAGAAATAGGGGCATAGAAAAATGGGACCAAAGTAAGACCAAAATCCAGTTGAGTAAAAAAGTCCTGTGGCCCCACATCCAGAGTCTAGGGCACATGGCATCGTAATGTTCTCTCCAAAGGGCTTATGTTGCCTCACTCCTATGGCCTTGCTGGTTGCAACCTTCATGATCTCTCTTGTGGCTTATTTCTGCTCAATTCCTGCAACATTTCTTGGCAGATATTCTATGATACAGGCATTTCTTCATCTTGGGTGTCTCCACTGCAGCTTTGGCTTCCTTTTCACTTTTTCACATATCACATATTCAACGGCAATCCACAAGGACTCCAACCTGCTGCACTGTGTTTCACAGTGCAGACCTTCCTTTGAAATCTTAGAAAACACTTCATGGTCCCTACCTCCAGCATCCTTCATTCTTGTAAAACCAGCTTCATGTTGTTGACACCAAGGTCTGCTGCCATTTTGAGCAGTAGCCAAGTCAAACTGGGACAATTGCATCAGCAACTTCTGAGTGCCTGCATGTCTAAGTATCATGAAAAAACTTCCCGTTCTCCCATCCCCAGAAATCAGGTGCCCTTATAGTCTTTTCTGAAAGGAATTTTTACTTTTTTTTTTTAGTTATAGTTGGACAATTATACCTTTATTTTATTTATTTTTATGTGGTGCTGCTAGGTAAGTGCTCTGTCCCTGAGTCACAACCCCAGCCTGGAATTTTTACCCTTGGGCCTGAAATGTGCTGATGTCAGCTTCTGGAATGCACATTTTCCACATTTTTACATCTTTGAAATTAATATTATTTATAACTAGTGGTGTATTATAGTCTCTGTTGGCCAAAGAGCAGGTTCTGCTATGTCTTTACCCATACAATAGCACCAGTATCAAAACTTAAAAGGATGAGTCCCAGCCACTTAGTGACAGTGGTGGAATGCTATTTCAACTTTTGAAACCTAACAGCTACAAGGAAGGGTTTTGGAGGGGAAAAGAAGGCAGTTATCAGCCATGTTTCATCAATACTTCCAAAACTGGATTAAAAAAGATTTGTTCTACATAATTGCAAAGCCATCTTAAAAGCTCAGTTTTTAAGTTTTCTTTCTTGCGAGTTTTTTAAAGATAAGATTAAGGGGCTGGGTTTGTGGCTCAGCGGTAGAGTACTCGCCTCGCATGTAAGAGACCCTGGATTCGATCCTCAGCACCACATAAAAATAAATAAGTGAAATAAAGGCATTGTGTCCAACTACAACTAGAAAATAAATATTAAAAAAAGATAAGATTAAGTTCCTTAAGAAAAAATTGAATACCAGTGAGTGAATTGAAGTGATTGCAAGAATTAGATTCTGAATGCAAAAGGATAACTTAGATTTTCCATGTATTTTCCCCTTATGTATTTATATGCACTATTTAGTTAAGATAGTTTTCTATGATAAAAATGTTTAAGTTTAAAAAGACCCTTTCAATAATTATGAAATAAAACTTTCAAGTGATAAGAAAATATGTATCATTGTTTCTCATCTTTTTTTCTTTCTTAGTGGTTCGTAAAATAAGGGTACACTTAAATTCAGTGGCATCTGGGGCTGGGGTTGTCAGCGGTAGAATGCTCACCTAGCATGTGCGGGGGCTTGAGTTTGCTCCTCAGCACCACATAAATAAATAAATAAAGGTATTATGTTCAGCTACAACTAAAAAATAAATATTAAAAAAAAATTCAATGGCATCTTAGATTGGATGTAATACAATATTTTTATTGTACATTGCTGGATTTTGTTTACTGATTATTTTATTTGGATTGTTATATTTATATATTTATGATTGTTTTAAAACAGATTTTGTTTCTATTCAGGTATGGTGAGGCCAACAGAACAGGAGTCGATTGCCTTTGAAAAGATAGTTTATTACTCACAGCTTCCAAGAGGAGAGGGACATGCCATACCACATAGGGCCACACAAAACAACACAAAGGTTGGTAGCAATTAGAAAGTGGGAGACTACAAAAAAAAAAAAAAACCTGAATTGTGGTTTTCAAGAAAAAGAATGGGCGAACAGGGCAAGCAGACCAAGTAGGTTTAATATTGGCTAGTTTTAACCATTTCAATGGACTTAGGTGTATTGGCTGTCCCTTCTTGTCTGATACCTGGCCCTAAAGTAATTAGGACAAGGAAATAGTGTCTCAGAGGGTAAGTGCCCCATAAAGGAAGTTGATCTGGGTGTTTTGTGTCTGGATTAGTTAGTTTGCATAGAAAGGGCAAGTTTATAGGAGAGTCTAGAAATTGGTTATTCCTGGGAGGAGGAGTTCTTCCAGAATTGCAAGGACCTAGTGCATATAGCAATTAAAATTGTTCTATAGATTTTCTTCCTTGTACTGTCTTTGTCAATTTTGTCATGTAGGTTATAAAATAAGTTTCGAGTAATCTCTCTTTACAATATAGAAGAGTATATATAAGATTGGAATTGTTTTTTTAAAAAAAAAAAAAAACATCGTTTTTTAAAACTTTCTTAAAATGTCTTGCCTTGGGTTTTTGTGTGCGTGTGGGTGGGAACATTTTTCACATTCAATTTCTTTAATGTATATAGGACTTTTCAGTTGTTACAATTCTTCTGTAATCTGTTTTGGTAAGTTATTTTTTTTTCTAGGAATTTATCCATAATATCCCTATCTTTTGTAGTTAGTCCCTTTTTTTGTTGTTTTACTGGCATTTTTTGTCTTTCTTTTTTCTCTCTTGCTAAATCTTTTTCTCTTTCTCAGATAATCAACCTGTGGCATTATTGGCTTCTCTTTTTAAAAAAATATCTATTTTTTAGTTATAGGTGGACACAATATCTTTTTATTTATTTTTATGTGGTGCTGAAGATCGAACCCAGTGCCTCACACATGCTAGGCAAGCACTCTACCTCTGAGCCACAACCCCAGCCCCATTGGCTTCTTTATTGTGTCTTTATGGTCTATTTCATTGAATAGATCTCTTTAATATGGACTTTCTTTGTATGTGTCTGCATTTGTATTTCTCACCTTAAAAGTTGATCAATTGGTTCATTTTTTTTTCCCCAAGAAAGTGGATTAAATAAATTTTTATTTTTTAGTTGACAAAAATTATATTTATTTATGGTACAACATCATGTTTTCATATATGTATAAATTGTGGTATGATTAATTTGAGCTGGTTAACATATGCATTATCTTGTATACTTTTCTGTGTGTGTGTGTGTGTGTGTATGTGTGGTTGTTGCGATAGAAACCAGGGCCTTGTGCGTGCTAGGCAATTGCCATACCCACTGAGCCACATCTGTAGCCCTGCTTAACAGGCTAAAATCACCAAGAATCTAGTTTACAGTAACTTTCAAATATTACAATTTATTTTTACTAATTATAGCCATTGTGATGTATAATATAGATCTCTTGAACCTTTTCATCTCATACAATTGAATTTTTTTTCCTAAAATAAAATTTTAAGGCTACAAATTTACCTTGAAATTTTATGTTAGTTGTATCAAACAAGTTTTTAATTATTTTATTTATTTGTTTTTATGTTGTGCTGAGAATTGAACCCAGTGCCTCACACATATTAGGCAAGTGCTCTATCATTGAGCCATAACCCCAGACCCTTCCAACAAGTTTTGTTACATAATATTTTTATTATGTTTCCAATCTAGTATTTGAAGTTCTCTATGAGTTCAGAGAAACACGTCCTTTAATTGTCAGGAATGGAGTTTTAAGTATGTCCAATCAATCAAGCTTGTTCTGTTTATTTTCATGTTTTTTGTTTGCTTAACTTAAGGTAGTTATAATGAACCATTGTACTTTGACAGTGCATTTGTCTATTTGGCCCTAAATTATATTCATTTTTAAAATGTTTTCAAAGGGAAATTTAAAAATATACAGAAGTAGAAACAAACCAATGCCTGTTAGTCATTTATCAATTTTATTTGTTTGTTTTTATGGCACTGGGGATTGAACTCTCAGGGGTGCTTTACTACTGAGCTATATTTCCAACCCTTTTTAATTTTTATTTTTAGGCAGACTCTTACTAAGTATCCCAGGCTGGCCTTGATCTTGGAATCCTTCTTTCTCAGCTTCCAAAATTGCTGGGATTATAGGTGTATGCCACTGTGCCTGGCTCTCATTTACCAGCTTTAACAATTATTACTGTATGGTGGTCTTTTTTCATATTGTACTACTTTATCTGACCTTGATGTTCTTTGAAACAAATCCTGGACATCATAACATATAATTTTATCCATAAATATTAACCTTACTGTATTATCATTCATATACCTTAAAAACACAGCAAAAATTACTTAATATTGTCAAATATCTGTTCACATTCATATTTTCCAGATTGTCACACATACAAACATATTATAATATGTCTAACTCTAACAATATATACCTAAGTATAGATTTTTTTAAATGTGTTAAGTATGTGTATAATATATATATAACTGTTCTAGTGCAAATGAAGTGGTATCTTACTGTTTTGATTTGAATTTTCTTATGACTAATGACACCAATCTTTTTTTTTTTTTCATGTGCTTGTTGGTCATTTCAACATGGTTTTTTTTTTTACCATGTTCCTTAAAGAAATATCTTTGCCCTTTTTATTTATTTATTTATGGTACTGGGGATTAAACCTAGGGGTTTGCTTCCTCTGAGCTACATCTCCAGACCCCTTTTTTTGTTTTCCTTCTTAAATCAGGGTCTCACTAAGTTGCCCAGGCTGGCCTCAAACTTGGGAGTCCTCCTGCCTCAGTCTCTGGAGTGCTAGGATTATTGGCATGTGCCACTGTGCCTGGCCAGCTTCATTGTTTTTCATGTGGATATTCACTTGTCTGCAGCACCATTTATTGAAGAAAGTGTCTTTTTCCATTTAATTCTTTTGGTGTCCTGTCAAAAATCATTTACTCGTCAATATAATAATTTGTTTCTGGACTCTCAGTCCTGTTCTATTGATATATAATTATCCTTATGTCAGCACCATGTTTTTTTTTTTTTAAGTTCTTTTCATTAAACCCAGGACCTCATAGATAATAGGTAAGTGCTGTACCACTGAGCTACTCCCCCAGCTGTAAAATTTTTTCTTCTTTAATTGTGTTCATGAATGTTTTTTAGTTTCAGTGTATAAGTGTTTATAATCTCCTTGGCTAATTTTATTCCTATGTATTTTATTCTTGTTGATTCTCACAGCTTTTGCTTTTCTTTTTTTTGAAAAACGATAGAGTGGACAGCCACACAATATTTTAGGTCAACTTTTTAGTTTTTTTTGTTTGTTTGTTTGTTTGTTTATTTGGTTGGTTGGTTGGTTTTGGTACCAGGGATTGAATCCGGGGGTGGTTTCCATTGAGCCACATCTCCAACCCTTTTAATATTTTATTTTGAGACACGATGTCACTAAGTTGCTTAGGGCCTTACTAGATTGCTGATGCTGGTTTTGTTTCTTAAACCTCTTTGAAAAAATTTTATTCTCAAGTAATATAGTGAACAAAAATTTTTAAGAGTGGAAAACTATTTTTTAAATGCTCTTCTATAACCCAAGAAGTAACTATACGTTGTTTTGGAATTTTTATAATAAATTAGATTAAGATGCAAGTGATTATTTAAAATCCTAAAGGGAGAACTGAGGATGTGACTCAGTGGTAGAACATTTGCCTAGTATGTGTGATGACCTAGGTTCAGTCCCTGGTACCAAAAAAATAAAACAAAATTCTAAAGAAGAAGCAATTTAAAGATATTTATACTTATATATCAAAATAGGACTGATTTTATAACCTTACAAAAATCATCTCAATTGAAAATTACTAGGTCTTAATGATGCAGAAGTATTTTGTATACATATTTCTTCATTTTCCACGTTTTGCCAAGCTAATATTAACTTGTGTGATTATATTGTAATGGTAAGAAATGTATACAGTAATTCTTCCTTACCTGCATGTTCATTTTCCATGGCTTCAGTTACCTACAGTCAACCATGGTCTGAAAATATTAAATGGAAAATTCCAGGAATAAACAGTTCATAAGATTTAAATAACTTGTATTACAGGATATTGTTTGTTTGAAGCAGAGTCTTGATTTGTTGCCTAGGCTAGTCTCAAACTCATGATCTTTTTTTCCTCAGTCTCCCAAGTAGTTGAGATTATAGATGGGGCCACCATACCCAGCTGAGGATGTTGTTAAAATTGTTCTATTTTATTATTAGTTATATTAATGTCTTCCTGTATAAATTATGTTATAATTAAATGTGTATAAATTAAATATTATCCTAAGTGTGTATGAATAGGAAAAAATAGCATATATAGAGTTTGATACTATCTGAGATTATAGGCATCCCCAGGGGTATTTGGAATATATTCCCCATAAATAAGGGAGGCTTTTGTGTACATAATTCCCATCTACACAATCTCTTGAGTAGCTGGGATTACAGACATGTGCCGCCACACCTGGATCAGACATCTTTTCTAAAATTATATAATGTGACAATATGACATACCCAATTTATAAAGTTAAAAACCTTTATTTGCATTAAATCATTCTGAAGTGAATAATTTAAAATTATTTGTAAGGGTGTAGGAACCCTCCTACACAAAAGCAATTTTAATAAGCCAGTATAGGGGTATAATTAAGAATAGGATGAGGAACTACAAAATCCTAATCTTTACTCTTTCTTGAATGTATTCTAGACAGAATTCTTTGCCAAGTCATTTAACAAAAACATTAACTTTATTATTAATAGATAATCGTAATAGAAATGATTTTACCTAAATTGTATAAGGTACCACAGTAGGGAAAATGAGGGATTTGTTTAAGATAAAATATTCCATAAAAATGTTAAATGCTCAGTTGATCATGTATTTAAACTCTTTCAGCTACTAAACAGTAGGAGAAAATGGAATTGAGTATGATGCCAGCATGGAACAGTCTAATGATTCATTAAGAGTCAACTGTAATGATGGTGAAGAGTCAAAAACAGAGGCTCAGGAATTTGAGGTAGAGATTCAGCTGGGAATTTTTTTCCTCTCTGAGATAAAACAAGATTCCATTCATTAAGCAACTTTTTATGCTTAACAAAAGTTATTATATTTAATGGTTTAAGAATCGTAATGTTTAGTTACCCACATATTCTGTCATACATTTAATTTTATGAAATAAATTTATTAAAATAAATTTTATTAAGATAAAATTGACCATGAGAATGTATCCTAAAATGATATATAATTTAACATAGATTTTTCTTGCATACAAACTTTTATGAATATGTTTAAGCATTACTTTAATAAAATTGAGATAAAATGAAAATTAAACATTCACTTGAGAAATACCTTATGTGAATTGAAAACTCTTGCAAAATAAAAATGAATAATTAACTGAAAAAATAAGTTACCATTTTTATTATACACATTCATCTTTTTTAAAAATTGTAACAGTATATTTTACAAAGACTAAATTGTTTTGTTTTCTTTTCTTTTTCTTTACAAAAGCATCTAATCTGTATGGACTCTAGGGATTCTTCTTTTGGACAAAATGATTCTCCTACAGTTTTGCCCATTTCTGATCCTCAAGCAAATAATTCACTCATTTCACAGAATATACAAGGGCCCCTAACTCAGACACAGACGCTTTCTGCAGAGGAGTTCCATCTAGTAGATCAAAATGGACAATCTGTTCCATATGAACTTCATTCACTGGGGGATTCTAATGCACAAATGGTGAGTGTACTTTATAAATAACCACTTTTATGCTATTTAGCAAAATATATTAATTGATGACCTTGTTTTCTTGACACTATTGACTTACATTGTGTTATTGTGTTAATATTGTACTAATGATTTGGGGGGGGGGTACTGGGGATTTAATCCAGGGGGCTTACCACTGAGTATATCTCCAACCCCCCCCTTTTTTTTTAGACAGGGTCTTTCTAAGTTGCTTAGGGCTCCTCTAAATTGCTAAGGCTAATCTTGAATTTGTAATCTTCCTCTCTTAATCTCCTGAGTTGCTGGGATTACTTAAAGATGTGCACCACCTCTCCTGACTGTGACTTTTCATTTTTTATGTAAGGCTTTTAAAAGCTTTTCTTTCAGGACTACAAATAGTATTCAATCAGTCCTTCTCAGCCACTTACATCTGGGCGTACTGATGCTTTGAGATAAATTGGAAATTCAGCATAATCTGTAACTAGAGCTAAGTGCCCATGTTTCCACAAAACTGACATTTTTCACAATATATGCACTAGATTGTACTCAAAGTTATTGGTTTATCAACATCTCACTCATTGATTACATGCAACATGCTGATTTCTCTCTTAAAGAAAAAGAAAGCAATGGAGATACCACTGGTATACTGGAAATTAGACCCACCCTTCCTGATATTTGTAGGTAGATATGTATGTGTTGCATGAATAATAATGCTTACAAATGAAAAAGATAAGAATGTTGATTTAAACCATTAGCTAAAAGTATTTTTGACCAAGTTACATAATTTAAGTAATTGAAATAAAAATTCTTTTTTTAAGGGTGAAAAACCTATACTTATAAACATTCACCCAGTATTTTTTCTTAATAGTCTTATTTTGATTATTTAATTTTGTTTATGTGGTGCTGAGGTTCGAACCCAGTGCCTCACACATGCTAGGCAAGTGCTCTACCACTGAGCCCCAGACCCTGAAATAAAAATTCTTGAGAAAAACTTATAGTTAACTCTGTTTAATAAGAGTATAGGTAGGGGGTGGGGTTAGGCTCAGAAGTAGAGCGCTCAAGTAGCATGCATGAGGCACTGGGTTTGATCCTCAGCACCATATAAAAATAAAATAGATATTGTGTCCACCTATAACTAAAAAATAAATATAATTTTTTTAAGAGTATATATAGGGGCTGGGATTGTAGCTTAGTGGTAGAGTGCTCACCTAGCACACGTGAGGCACTGGGTTTGAACCTCAGCACCACATAAAAATGAAATGACAATATTGTGTCCACCTACAAGTAAAAATTAAATATTTTTTAAAAAAGAATATATACATAAATAGTACTATGAAGAATAATATGTTTCATCTGTTTGCCTAAATTTTCCATATCTTCACCAATGTATATTTGTTACTTTCATAATAAGAATTATTATTTTTTTTAAGAGAGAGAGAGAGAGAGAATATCTTTTTTGTAGATGGACACAACACAATGCCTTTATTTTTATGTGGTGCTGAGAATCGAACCCGGGTCCTGCCCATGCTAGGCGAGCGCTATACCACTGAGCCACAATCTCAGCCCCAAGAATTATTTTTAAAAGCATAATAACTTCAGTTATATATTATACCACAGGGAAACAGCCATGTTACCTAGAACTAATCCTTGTTTCTGTTCCTAGAGTATTTGAGAGTTTATGACATTTTGCTTCTCCCTGAGTCTGCTAAATTGAGTTTAGATTCTTGAGTGGATAGTAATTGATGGGGATGTAGCTAAGTGTAGAGGACACCTTTTTTTTTGTTTGTTTGTTTGTTTTCCCTAGTGCTAGAGATTGAACCCAGGACTTTGTGCATGTTAGGCAGGTGCTTTAGGACTTTAGCACTGGACTTCTCTAAGAAGTCCTTTTTGTTTCTATTTAGACTTGATATATTTCTGAGCCTATGCCAGGACTGGAAGGGATAAGCTCCTAAAACCATACTGAATCACCAGCAGAGGTTAAGATACAACAAATAATTTATATGTGAAATAATGGCATTTTATTTTATTTTTATTTTTTTCTTTTTGGCAAGGGTACCGGGGATTGAACTCAGGGGCACTGAACCACTGAGCCACATCCCAGCCCTATTTCATATTTTATTTAGAGACAGGATCTCACTGAGTGGCTTAGCACCTTGCTTTTGCTGAGGCTGGCTTTGAACTCTTAATCCTCCTGCCTCAGCCTCCTGAGCGTCTGGGATTACAGGCATGTGTCACTGCACCTGGGAAAACAATGGCATTTAATTTTTCATATCCAGAAGATCAGAATGTGATATTCTGGGAAACTTACTGGAGCTTTATGCGTTATTTTGTTTGCTTTAATTAACTATTTTATTTGTTTACTTATTTATTTTTGAGACAGTATCTCACTATATTGCTCAGGTTGGTCTGGAACTACTGGGCTTAAACAGTTCTCCTGCCTCAGTCTCCTGAGTAACTGGGACTACTGCAGTTTTAGGTTCACAGTCAAATTAAGCGGAAGGGACAGATATTACTGCATAAATAGCCCCTGTCCTCACATATGCATAGTCTCTCTCATTATCAACATCTCCCATCAAGTGGAACTTTTTGAAAGCAATAGAATTTTTTCAATATGATTATTTTTATTTAGAAGCTATCATGGAACTAGTAAAGATTCTGTGATGAATAATTATGAAATAGATGAGATTTTGGAGTAAAGTAGTGTTGATATTTTGAGTTTGTTGGAACTATTATACACAAAGAGATCATTAAGTATAAGACTACTCAGCTAAGATTAATATTTTTATTAATTTTATTTATTTTTATGGTCTGCCTCAAATAGATATTGCCACAGATGACTCTTTAAACTTGTTTGTTTTCATAGCAAAAATTAAATTAATTAGTTATTTTTTTAATTAGGAAAATAATGTTATAATCGCCATTGTTAAATTACATGAATTGGAAATAGTTTTTTAGGTACCAGGTGAAATAAGCAAAAGAGAGGGTAAATGAAAGTGACTTTCACTGTGCTTGGGAAGCGGTTTCAAAATTAACACCTGTGGTTGTTCCATAGGTGTTTTAATAAAAAAATTTTCATATGATTAAGTAAATTATGAAAAATTACATGTATTTAATTTGATTTAAAATAATGGAGCACTTTTATTTTCTAAGAGTGAAGGAAGTCATATTTTTTCACAGGTGTTTAATCTTGTAAGGGGAAAAAATTTAAAACAATATTATTGCTCGTGCCTTTTAAGTTCAGCAAGATTTTTTATATTGTTTGTTTTTGCTTCAAATATTGAGAGGCAGTATGGAGTAGTGATTGTTTATAAGGAATCCAATTACTTGGATTTGAAATTTAACTTGCTTCTAAAAGTTTAGTTTACTACTAAATAGTTCTGTGTAATTTTGCATGCATTATATAACCTCTATTTGATAGTTTCCTCATTTATAAAGTATATATAGTTAACATATATGTGATAAGGATTAAAGGAGGTAATTAATATATCTGAAGTCCTGTCACTTAGTATGCACTCAACAAATGTAAGCAGTTGTTATCACCAGAGTTTACAACTGCTTTTTCATGTTGAAGTAGTAAGAGGTATGGCAAGATATTTTTATTTCAAGAAATTTGATAAACACTGGGGGGAAGAATAATTTCTGGGAAAAATTTATGATTTTGTTTAAAGTATTTTGCTGAAGTTTTTCCCTCCTAATTCATTTTTTGTCTAATTTAAATTCACATTTTTTTCAAATGACCCTTTTAAACTTAGGATGCAGTCTCCATCAAACATCAGGAATGTTCTCCTGTTCTACATAATAAGGAGTAAATCTAGGAGAATGGGTTTCAATGATTTAAGAATTATCTGTACCAGAGAGGTCAGAAGACTGAGTAGTACAGTAAAACTGCCAATAGGAAACCAGTATTAGGTAATAAAGTTTATACGTAGTCCAGAAATGTATTTTCAGTAGTATATTAGCTATATTGTCAAATGGTAGACTCCAAATGTTTTTCTTCAATTTCACGTGCCTTTTTAGTTAATACTCCTCTAAATTTGAGACAGTGGGTTCAATTGTTAAACTAAAATAAAAAGTATAATAAATTCCTATGGGGCACTCCATAGTGTTCTTTATGGACCCAGACAGGTATACAAGTGCAGAAATAAAAAATAAATCTCGTTTAGTTAGACATCTAACAAATTCACAGTTTGAAACTAATGAAAATGACTTAAAATATATAACAGGTAATTGCCACACAAATTTGTTAAATGTGTTAAGTCCAATCAGAGCCTTGTTCAGATTACTGGGTAATTGGACCTTATGCATACACTATAATGATTAAGACCATGGGTGGTTAAAAACATAGGCTGTTGGGTCAAATTGCCTGTTTTGAATCCTAGCTTCAATATTTATCACTTGTGAGAACTTGGGAAAGATTTTTTGTCTCAATGTTTCATCTGTAAAATGGGGGAAATAATATTGATCATAGGGGTAGTTATGTGTTTTAATAATTTACTTAAGTAATCATTCTGTTAAACCACTGTAGGCATATGCATTTGTTTTTGTTTGTTTGTTTAATGCTTCCAAGATGATCGTTGCTAGCCCATCAGAAAATGGACAGGTGCTCCGTGTAATTCCATCTACCCAATCAGGAATGGCACAAGTGATTATACCACAGGGGCAGCTTGCAGATATAAATAGTCCTCAGGGTAAGTAATATTGGGATATAAGGGATTTGAGAATGTTTTAAGGCACAAATATATAGTATGAAATCATCTTATGAAAGTCAGTGTTAACATTGATCTCTTTAGGTAAGATTATGAACTGAATAATTAGAAAAAAATTCTTAGCTCAAATAAATTTCAAGTGCATTTTTCAACTCCTGTCTAGGTTAGCTGTCTATTTCATATTGGAATTCTATGAAGCTGGTTGACTCCTGCTTCCTCCCAAATGACCAGTGAGCATAAAATAAATTTTTCTTAATTATAATAACAACAATAATAACAACAACAATAACAAGAATACAGTGTTTAGTTACAGGAAGTTTTTACATTTGCATTTTTATCAATATTTTGTTAGTTATGTGATTCATTACTTTCTTAACTATAATTTTTTTTTTATCCTCTTTTCTTTATTCCTTCAAATTCAGAAAGGAGAATCATGCTCCCCATTTATTTTCACATATTCTTTCTTTACATGTTTGATAATATCCCTATTAGTTCTCTTCCTTTTGTTTCCCTCCCTTTTCTATCTATTTTAATCTCTTTTCTAATATTATAGCTACATTGTTTTGTTGCTCCTTCCTAGTTAATGATGTAAGGTAGATATATTTACCTTCTTTTTATGATTCTTTGTCTTTGTTAGCAGTCATTAAAAGTTAAGGAAAAAACATAGTTTGCAAAAACCATTATAAACACAGTATACAAGAAAGTTTTACATGTTCTTATTATATTGTAAAACTCTTTAATATAACAATTTTTTACCACTTTTATATCCTAGATGTACAATATAAGTTCCAAAAATTCAATTATAAAATTTCAATAGTCAATTTTACAAGTTAAATATAAATAGGAGTATCAGACTCATTCTCAATAAAGCATCTTAAGTTTTGTTATCTTTAGCTTCAGAGCACTTCTTTCTTTTTCCTATTATAAACATTTAAGTTCTACCGTAGGTACAGTCTCATGATATTATTCAAGATACTGATGTCACATTTTTCTTGTTCTTTTTGTTAAGATGTCTCTGAAGAGAAACCCAGTGATAGAAACTTACCAGCTGTAAGAGTGGATGCTCCAGCAGACAACACCAGTAGTTACATTCTTCATCCACAAGCATCTCTCTGTTTGCCCAAAAAATCAGCAACCAGGTGAATCAGTGGGAAAGAGGAGCTCATCTTTTGATATAACCATGGAAATCCTTTTTAAAAAATTATCACATTTAAAACTGGCTGACAATAGAAAAGATCAGAAATTCAGAAAAAAAGAGACTCTCTGTAAATGTTTCTAACTATTCTAATGGCTTCTTGCAAAGAACAAGGCTGCTCTAGATGCCATAAATGTCAAAAATGCTACTCTTCCTCAGTAATACTTGCCTGTTATCTTTCTAAGTAACATGAAAGTGTCTAATAGAGTTTTTAAGACTGAAGATATCCATTGTAGAATCTAAACATCTTTAATGGTTTCATTACACTTTTTTTAAAAAAATTTATAGTTATAGACGGTCAGAATTGCCTTTATTTTATTTATTTTTATGGGATGCCAAGGATTGAACCCAGTGCCTCACACATACTAGGCAAGTACTCTGCCACTGAGCTATAGCCCCAGCCCTCATCACATTTTTATCATGCATTTCCTCTTTGTCAAAGTTTGCAAATCTTTTTACTAACGTTTCTTTTAGTTTTTATTTTTGCCTTAAAATAACACTGCTCATAATGTAGAAAAATATTTAAGGTATATTTTTATGTATCTCTACATTAATTGTTCTATGAAAGTGTTTTTGAAGTAAGACAATATTTATGACACCTAATCTTAGATCTTATATAATATTACTCTTAACATGTCACCTGAAGATATTTTATTAGCTCCTTTTTTTATAAATAGAAAATAATTATATAATAAGAGTACAAAATAAGATTTGGAAGAGATATGAAATAATTAAATTTGAGGAGACTACAGGTACGTGGAAGAACAAACTTTGGCCTTTCGGCTAAAAGAAAATAGCAATTATTAAGGAAAATAATAATTAATAAGTCATCTAATAAGTCTGTAGTTATTGTTATAATTTTTTATTGATGATCTTAATATGTTATTTTTAACACTGGCTAAATAGATGAAGCAATTGAATGTGTTTTGTGTGTAGATATGTTTAGAACTATATGTTTATATATATATATATATATATATATATATATTCCTTCCCAGAATGCTTGAAGAACCTTTGCTGGCTCCTCTTCAACCACTTTCTTCTAACACACCTATATGGGCCTGCCGACTTAGGAGCTGTGAGGTGAGTTAAAAATAATCCTTACCAGGTCTGGGGATGTGGCTTAATGGTAGAGCGCTTGCCTCCCATGTGTGAGGCATTGAATTTGATTCTCAGCACCAAATAAAAATGAATAAGTAAAATAAAGGTATTCTGTCCACCTACAAAAAGAAATAATAATAATCCTTACCCAGAGTTATTTAACTGGTTATTTATCACATTTCATCCGAAAATGCTCACTTTCAGATATAGCTAATAAAGCTGTATCTGTTATCCCTTGTCTATGTTTATATTAAATAAGATATCATCTATTATCCTTTAGAAATTTTAAGCTTTTTTTTACAGGGGGTCAAGTACTGGGGATTGAACTCAGGGGCACTCAACCACTAAACTACATCCCCAGCCCTATTTTGTATTTTATTTAGAGACAGGGTCTCACTGAGTTGCTTAGTGCCTCACTTTTGCTGAGGCTAGCTTTCAAGTTGTGATCCTCCTGCCTCAGCTTCCCGAGCTGCTGAGATTACAGGTGTGCACCACTGTGCTTGAAATTTTAAGCTTTGTAAAGCAAAGGTTATATAAATCCCTTCACACTTCACTATTGTTCCTTCTCTTGCAACTCTCTTCACCTGTCTTCAATGAAATTTCACTATCATTTTCCTCTATTTTAAATTTTTGGACTGTTCCTTCACTTTCTTTGCTTGTACTTACTTCATGTTAGAAATGCTTCAAGGCTCACTTTGGCCTTCTTTTTTTTTTTTAACATTTTATTTCTTGGAGGACTTATCTGTTTTGTTGACTTTTAAGTCTAACATTTATAAAATGATTCCTAAACCTGTCACCAGTTCCTTAATTCTTGCTCTTGTTTCAAATCTCTGGCTTCTTAATTGAACCTATATTTGAATTTTACCTCAAATTCACTGTATCCCAAACTGAAATCATCTACCATACCATTACTAGCTCCTAAATTCTCTGTTTAATGATAAATACCATTTCTTAGACACTCAGGTACGAAGTTTTAGACTAATTTTCTTCCTTTCCCATAGGGTCTCAAATAGATTAATAGGTACCTACTTGGTTATTTTAAAAGTTTTTCCTTTGGGGCTGGGATTCTAGCTCAGAGGGAGAGTGTTCACCTCACATTCTTGAGGCACTGGGTTTGATCTTCAGCACCACATAAAAATTAAAAAATAAAGTTATTGTGTCCACCTATAACTAAAAAAATATTTTTTAAAAAAAGTTTTTCCTTTAAAGATTCTTTCCACCCCACATTCTTCCATAGACATTGCTATTTTGTACTTAGTCACAGTTAGAGACTCCCCCTAGTCTCCTTGACTCTTCCATTTCTAGATCTTAATTTGTATTTTTCTAAAATAACATTATTTTTTATTTTTTTAGTTGTGGATAGACACAATACCTTTATTTTATTTATTTGGTTTTTTAAATGTGTGCTGAGAATCGAACCCAGGGCCTCGCACTTGCTAAGTGAGGACTCTACCACTGAGCCACAACCCCAGCCCTAAAATGACTTATTTTAAAATATTGCTTTCATTGTCTTTTCTCATTACCCAATAAGGTCAAACAGGAATTTATCTCAGAGAAGGATCTTCATAAAAAGAATATTGAAGCTGTTTGAGGATGTAGCTTAGTGGTAGAGCCCTTGCATAGCATGCTTGAGGACCTGGATTTTGATCCTCAGCACCACAAAAAAAAAAAAAAAATTCTTATGTAATGAGAAAATTATTTTGCAGCATTTTTATAGGAGATACAATCACAATTTTCATAGGGTCTCAAATAGATTAACAGGATCATTTCAAAAATAATCTTAGTTAAAAGAAGCCCCACAGGCTGGAGTTGTAGCCAGGGGTGGAGTGCTTGCCTCACACGTGTGAGGCACTGGGTTCAATCTTCAGCACCACAAAAAATAAATTTAAAAAGGTATAGTGTCCTTGTACAACTAAAAAAAAAAAAAAATTTAAGCTCCCCAAGGACTAGTACTTTGTGGCTAGTTTTATGCTTATCTGGATTTCATCCAGTAGAATTTTAAATATATGGAAGAATGGGCACATTACATATTCTTCAAGCTGTTTTCTGTCAATGTTATTTCTCTAAAACAAGACTTTTTAAAGATGCTGTGGCAGTGGATTTGGCATTATATTCCTTAATACTCTACCTGAAGAATATCCATCTTCTATACTGGTTGAATTCAGAGCAGACCCACTAGTCGAATAGTGACAGATTAGTGACCTGAGTGAACAAAAGACATTCTCCTATGAAAGCTGATAAGTCTTTGGTCTTGGACAACCATCTCTATAATTTACCATATTTGCTAATAATTTTGTTATTTAATTTCTTTCTACCACATGCAGAAAATTGGAGATTCATACCGTGGCTACTGTGTAAGTGAAACTGAATTAGAAAGTATCCTAACATTTCACAAGCAGCAAACACAGAGTGTTTGGGGGACCCGCCAGTCTCCAAGCCCAGCCAAGCCTGCTACACGCTTGATGTGGAAATCCCAATATGTTCCATATGATGGAATTCCATTTGTCAACGCAGGTACTTTTTAAAATAATTATTTTAAAAGATTCATTAGCAGCTATAGTCCACTATGATAATGTGATTTTTCTCTGGTGTTAATTTATATTAAATATAACCAACTACTTGGGCTGGGGCTGTAGCTTAGTGGAAGAGCATTTGCCTCACATGTGTGAGGCACTGGGTATGATCCTTCGCACCACATAAAAATAAACAAATAAAATAAAGCATTCTATCCATATATAACTACAAAAAAATTTTTAAAATATATAACCAATTACTTTATGTCATAACAAGTGAAGAGATGCTGCTTCCTTTATATATTATGCTTTTAAATAGAAAATAAAGATATTGATATTGAGTAGACCTTTTTAATAAAATATAAAAAGATATTCAATTATTTTAAATATGCATATCTATTGTGGTTCCCTCCTACAATCCATATAGTCTCTCCTTTTTTTCTTTCTTTTTTTTGGTTCTGGAGATTGAACCCAGGGGTGCTTACTGAACCACATCCCCAGCTCTTTGTATATTTTATTTAGAGATAGGGTCTCACTAAGTTGCTTAGGGCCTCACTGAGTTGCTGAGGCTGGCTTGAACTCAAAATTCTCCTGCCTCAGCCCCCTAAACTGGGATTACAGGCAAGCGCCACTGTGCCTGGCTTTCTTCTTTCTTAATTTGTCTTTTAGTACAAATCTGTATTCATTTTATGTAGCTTATAACCCTGGAGTTACTACATAGGATTTGTATATTGTCTGAATTTAATATATAGAATTCTGATGTTAAAGTTCTCAAGCATTTGGTGTGTTACAGTATTCTTAGATACTGTGTAGTTTACTAAGGTAGTAGAGTTTCAAGCAATCTCTAGATAACTACTGTAGGACTAGTCACACTCCCTGCTCTGTTCTTAGTTGCTCTCATTATATAAGAGAAGACATTTGGCATCTGTTTTTTAGGGATTGACTAGCTTCACTTAGCATAATCTGCTCTAATGCCATCCATTTCCCTGCAAATTCCATGATTTTGTCATTTTTTAGTGCAGAGTAATACTCCATTGTGTATAAATGCCACATTTTTTTTTTATCCATTCATCTATTGAAGGGCATCTGGGTTGGTTCCACAGTCTAGCTATTGTGAATTGTGCTGCTATGAACATCGATGTGGCAGTATCCCTGTAGTATGCTCTTTTAAGGTCTTCAGGGAATAGTCCGAGAAGGGCAATAGCTGGGTCAAATGGTGGTTCCATTCCCAGCTTTCCCAGGAATCTCCATACTGCTTTCCAAATTGGCCACACCAATTTTCAGTCCCACCAGCAATGTACAAGAGTACCCCTTTCCCCACATCCTCGCCAGCACTCGTTGTTGTTTGACTTCATAATGGCTGCTAATCTTACTGGAGTGAGATGGTATCTTAGGGTAGTTTTGATTTGCATTTCTCTGACTGCTAGAGATGGTGAGCATTTTTTCATGTACTTGTTGATTGATTGTATGTCCTCCTCTGAGAAGTGTCTGTTCAGGTCTTTGGCCCATTTGTTGATTGGGTTATTTGTTATCTATTGTTTAATTTTTTGAGTTCTTTGTATACTCTGGATATTAGGGCTCTATCTGAAGCGTGAGGAGTAAAAATTTGTTCCCATGATGTAGGCTCCCTATTTACCTCTCTTATTGTTTCTCTTGCTGAGAAAAAACTTTTTAGTTTGAGTAAGTCCCATTTGTTGATTCTAGTTATTAACTCTGGTGCTATGGGCGTCTTATTAAGGAATTTGGAGCCCGACCCCACAATATGTAGATCGGAGCCAACTTTTTCTTCTATCAGACGCAGAGTCTCTGATTTGATATCAAGCTCTTGATCCATTTTGAGTTAACTTTTGTGCATGGCGAGAGAAAGGGATTCAGTTTCATTTTGTTGCATATGGATTTCCAGTTTTCCCAGCACCATTTGTTGAAGATGCTATCCTCCTCCATTGCATGCTTTTAGCCCCTTTATCAAATATAAGAAAGTTGTAGTTTTGTGTATTGGTCTCTGTGTCCTCTATTCTATACCATTGGTCCACTCGCCTGTTTTGGTACCAGTACCATGCTGTTTTTGTTACTATTGCTCTGTAATATAGTTTGAAATCTGGTATTGCTATACCACCTGATTCACACTTCCTGCTTAGCATTGCTTTTGCTATTCTGGGTCTTTTGTTTTTCCATATGAATTTCATGATTGCTTTATCTATTTCTACAAGAAATGCCGTTGGGATTTTGATTGGCATTGCATTAAACCTATAGAGAACTTTGGGTAATATCGCCATTTTGATGATGTTAGTTCTTCCTATCCATGAACAGGGTAAATCTTTCCATCTTCTAAGGTCTTCTTCTATTTCTCTCTTTAGGGTTCTGTAGTTTTCATTGTATAAATCTTTCACCTCTTTTGTTAGGTTGATTCCCAAGTATTTTATTTATTTTTTTTGAGGATATTGTGAATGGGTTGGTTGTCCTCATTTCCATTTCAGAAGATTTGTCGCTGATATACAGGAATGCCTTTGATTTATGCGTGTTGATTTTATATCCTGCCACTTTGCTGAATTCATTTATTAGCTCTAGTAGTTTCTTTGTAGACCCTTTTGGGTCTGTTAGGTATAGTATCATATCATCCACAGATAGTGATAATTTAAGTTCTTCATTTCCTATTTTTATGCCTTTAATTTCTTTTGACTGTCTAATTGCTCTGGCTAGTATTTCGAGAACTAAATTGAATAGAAGTGGTGAGAGAGGGCATCCCTGTCTTGTTCCAGTTTTTAGAGGGAATGCCTTCAGTTTTTCTCCATTTAGAATGATGCTAGCCTGAGGCTTAGCATATATAGTTTTTACAATCTTGAGGTAAGTTTCTGTTATCCCTAGTTTTTCTAGTGTTGTGAACATAAAGGGATGCTGTACTTTGTCGAATGCTTTTTCTGCATCTAACGAGATTATCATGTGATTCTTATCTTTAAGTCTATTGATGTGATGAATAACATTTATTGATTTCCGTATTTTGAACCAGCCTTGCATCCCAGGGATGAATCCTACTTGATCATGGTGCACAATTTTTTTGATATGCTTTTGTATTTGATTCGCCAGGATTTTACTGAGGATTTTGCATCTAAGTTCATTAGAGATATTGGTCTGTAGTTTTCTTTCTTTGAAGTGTCTTTGTCTGGTTTCGGCATCAGGGTGATGTTGGCCTCATAGAATGAATTTAGAAGAGCTCCTTCTTTTTCTATTTGTTGAAATAACGTGAAAAGTATTGGTATTAATTCTTCTTTGAAGGTTTTGTAAAACTCTTCTGTATATCCATCCGGTCCAGGGCTTTTCTTGGTTGGTGGTCTTTTGATGGCTTCTTCTATTTCCTCCTTTGTTATTGGTCTGTTTAAATTGTGTGTATCTTCCTGACTCAATCTGAGCAAATCATATGACTTAAGAAATTTATAGATATCTTCACTATCTTCTATTTTATTGGAATCTAGGGTTTCAAAATAATTCCTAATTATCTTCTGTATTTCTGTAGTGTCCGTTGTGATATTGCCTTTTTCATCCCGTATGTTAGTAATTTGAGTTCTCTCTCTTCTTCTCTTCGTTAGCATGGCTAAGGGTCTGTCGATCTTATTTATTTTTTCGAAGAACCAACTTTTAGTTTTATCAATTTTTTCAATGGTTTTTTTTTTGTTTGTTTGTTTCGATTTCATTGATTTCCGCTCTGATTTTAATTATTTCTTGCCTTCTACTACCTTTGCTGTTGTTTTGCTCTTCCTTTTCTAGGGTTTTGAGATGAAGTGTGAGTTCATTTATTTGTTGGTTTTTTCTTTTTTTGAGGAATAAACTTCAGGCAATGAATTTCCCTCTTAAAACTGCTTTCATTGTGTCCCATAGATTCCAATATGTTGTGTCTGTATTTTCATTTATCTCTAAGAATTTTTTGATTTCCTCCTTTATGTCTTCTGTAACCCATTGATCATTTAGTAACATATTGTTCATTTTCCAGGTGATGCAGGATTTTTCCTTCCTTCTTTTAACATTGATTTCCAGTTTCATTCTGTTATGATCAGATAAGATGCATGGTATTATCTCCACACCTTTATATTTACTAAGAGTTGCCCTATGGCATAATATATGGTCTATCTTTGAGAAGGATCCATGTGCTGCTGAGAAGAACGTGTATCCACTTGATGATGGTTGATATATTCTATATATGTCGGTTAAGTCTAGGTTATTGATTGTGTTATTGAGTTCTATAGTTTCTTTATTCAGCTTTTGTCTGGAGGATCTGTCCAATGGAGAGAGCGGTGTGTTGAAGTCACCCATAATTATTGTGTTGTGGTCTATTTGACTCTTGAACTTGAAGAGAGTTTGTTTTATGAACGTTGCAGCACCATTGTTTGGTGCATACATATTGATAATTGTTATGTCTTGTTGGTGGATGGTTCCTTTTAACAGTATATAGTGTCCTTCTTTACCCCTTTAGTTTAACTTAGGTTTGAAGTTGATTTTATTCGATATGAGTATGGCCACTCCTGCTTGCTTCCAAGGACCATGTGAGTGGTATGATTTTTCCCAACCTTTCACCTTCAGCCTGTGTATGTCTTTTCCTATCATATGAGTCTCCTGAAGGCAGCATATTGTTGGATTTGTTTTTTTAATCCAGGTTACTAGCCTATGTCTCTTGATTGGTGAATTTAAGTCATTAACGTTTAAGGTTACTATTGATATATGGTTTGTACTTCCAGTCATGCTTATTTATTTATTTATTTTAATATGGCTAGTTTTTCCTTTTTGGTTATTTTTTTTTCTTCCCTTTACTGAGTTACCTCCCACTGTTAGTTTTGGGTGCTGTTTTTCATTCCTCTTCTTGTAGTGTTTTGCTCAAAATGCCTTGCAGTGCTGGTTTTCTGGCTGCGAATTCTTTTAACTTTTGTTTATCGTGAAATATTTTAATATAATTGTCAAATCTGAAGCTTAATTTTGCTGGATACAGTATTCTTGGTTGGAATCCATTATTTTTCAGCGTTTGAAATACGTTGTTCCAGGATCTTCTCACTTTCGACGTCTGTGATGAAAAATCAGCTGTTAACCTAATTGGTTTACCCCTGAATGTAATCTGCCTCCTTTCTCTCGTAGCTTTTAATATTCTCTCCTTGTTCTGTATGTTGGATATCTTCATAATTATGTGTCTTGGAGTTGGTCTATTACGGTTTTGTATGTTTGGGGTCCTGTAGGCTTCCAGGATTTGGCAGTCCATTCCATCTTTCATATCTGGGAAGTTTTCTAAGATTATTTCATTCAATAGATTTTTCATGCCTTTGGTTTGAACCTCTACACCTTCTTCTATCCCAATGACTCTCAAGTTTGGTTTTTTTATGACATCCCGTATCTCTTGGATGGATTGCTTGTGATTTCTTAGGATCCTTTCTGTGTTGACTATATTCTTTTCAAGTTGATGAACTTTGTCTTCATTATCTGATGTTCTGACTTCTATTTGATCTAGTCTATTTGTGATATTCTCGTTTGAGTTTTCAATTTGGTTTGTGGTTTCCTGCATTTCTAGGATTACTGTTTGATTTTTTTTTAAAATCTCTATCTCCTGGTAGAGCTCATTCTTTGCCATTTGAATTTGATTATGTAATTCGTTTTCAAAGTATACTTTCATTTTTTGGACTTGCTGTCTAATGACTTCTCTAAAATTCCGTTCCATCTGAGTTAGGTATGCCTTGAGTTCTTTCTCTGTCCATTTTTCTGATGCCTCTAGGTTCTCCTGTGAATTTAAGTTGTCCTGCATTGTTTGTAATCCTTTTTTCCCCTTTTTTTTTCATGGTGCTCACGTTACTTTCCAACTCTGTTTAAACAGAGTGCTGTGTTCTCCTTTAAATTTTTTTGGTTTTTATAGTTCCAATATCTCTCCTTTGTTTTGGGAGACAATGTTTAGAGATGTTGGATTTAATTGTGATTTAAGGGTAATTCATTAGTTTCATTAAAGGCCTACAGATTTTGATGGCATATAGAGAATTGAGGTTTGAACTTAGGATTTTATGTTGAGGTCGGGCGATTTGATGGTATGGAGGTTAGTATATGTTAGCTTCTTTGGGGGGTTGCTCAAATGCAGGCGGATATTAACAAGAGAATAGACAGGAGTACTTGGGGGTAGTTAAGGGCTTAGGCGGACTATAGACCGATTCGTAGTATTCATCTATTTGCATTTAGTAAGTTGTACGTAATCTGGTTGGTCATGCTTAAGAGGAAAGATGGGGAAAAGGTAAGGAAGCAAACCAAGAAAAAGAGAGGGAGAGAAGAAAGAAAGAGAAAAGAATAGAAAAGAAAAAGAAATGATAAAAAAATAATAAAATGCAGTAAAATAAAAATTACAATTTAAAAATTTAAACAATTAAAAAAAGAAAGAAAAAAAAAAGGCACTGTTAGGCTTCTATTTTCTTCGCTTCCAGTAGGTGGTGCTGTGCCTTCCGGGCCTTCCCCCCCCCCACCCCACCCCCCGCCGTGTCTCTCAAAACCTGTTAGCTTAGGTTTATTCCTATCTCTAGTCACCTAGCTTCTCCTGCCAGCCAGGCCTTTCCCAGTGTGACACCTCTTGGCAGTTCAAGCTACACTCTGGGCCTGCAGTTTCCTGGATGTGGAGCGCAGCTATTCGGAACTGGCCCCTATTGTTTTGATTCCCTCCGCTAGCCCCTCCTCCGAGAGCTGGCGAGACAGGTTTCCTTTTCACTGCTGGTAGGAGGAGGGAGTTGGAGGTCAGGTGCCTTTACCTTTCCCCATGCCTCTATTCACAGTCACTCTGTTAATCACGCCCCCGGAAAGCCGGAGAAAGATTTTATGCGATTTCCCCGCTGTATTGGAGATGTGCTAAATGCCACACACCTGTTCTATCGCTAAACGTGCTGCAATCTGTCAAAAACTGGCGATTGTGATGTCAGCTCTCCAAGATAGTGGCTGCTGGCTTCCTCGGTGGGCTGTCCAGTGTGGAGGACAGAACTGGACCATTTCCTTCCCCGTCTCAAACCCAGAACTCAGCCCGGAGCACAGTGAGGGCACAGCCAGCAGGACCCCACAGAATCTGCAGCACTGTTCCTCTGCATTGCTGGCCTGTCGTTTCCCGGCGCGCTGCAGTCTCTAGCAGCGGGGCGGACCGCCGATCAAACAGGCTGAATCTCCGGGTGCACGGTTCACTCGCGATTGAAACCCAGTAACCGATCCTCGGGCAGTGGAAATCCTTCCTCTAGGTTTTGGTGCACCCCAATTTTGGTGTAAATTCCTAACAAGATAGCTTTTGGCTGTTCTGACTCGTTATTCACCTGCGCAGTGACGCGGTACACGGGGGTGATGCACTCTATTCGCCGCCATCTTCCGTCTCCTTCTACTTTTATTTATATATTATGTTGGTTGAAACGTGTACCTCCAAAGATCAAAGGACTCTGTCAAAAAGCAAATGTTTATGGTGAGGTCTGTAGATAAAACTGCACTCATTTAAGACTAGTGTTTCTTATTTTTTCTTTTTTCTTATTTTTTTTTTTCCTGCCTTGCCGCAGTCTGGCTGGGCACAAAATCACGAGCCACTCAAGCAGGAACAAACTTTATTTCCAAAACTCCCGCGAATCAACAGTATTATTAGTAATAAGATTTAAATTTGACATCAGCTTTATCAGTATTTTTGTTGACTTTTTTATTTTATATTTTGAAAGTCTGCTATATCCTATAGTAGAGTAGGATATTCAACTTAAACTCTTAAGCTATATAGTTTTCATTTATATTTATTTGTATTATAGCTATGTAACAAATTATCCCAAACTTGGTGCCTGAAAACTACAAACATTATCTCAGTTTCTAAGGGTCACGAATCCAAGAGCAACTTAGCAAGATGGTACTGCCTCATGAAGTTAGGGTCTTTTAACTTAATATCAAAAATAACATACTGGGGCTGGGGTTGTGGCTCATCAGTAGAGCACTTGCCTAGGGCGTGTGGGGCTCTGGGTTCGATCCTCAGCACTATGTAATGATAAATAAATAAAATAAAGGTATTGTGTGCAACTACAACTAAAAAATAAATACTTTAAAAAAAAAATAACACCCTGCCCCTTCTGCCACGTTCTCTAGAAGTAAGTTGATAAGTCCAGTCCACGCTGGGTAGAGTGGGTGAATTACACAAGGCAATGAATCCTAGGAGGCAGGAATCCTTGAGGCCATCTTAGAGGCTGCTTACTATAGGATTCTAATAGCCAAATAAAAAGAAGAAAATAAATAATTATAAAAGGAAATAAAAATTTTAAGCGATATCATTATTAACCAAATCTAGCGTTTGCTAATTTCTATTTACATAAAGTGGTTCATTTTATTATTACTAAAAATCATGTGTCTAAGTTATCAGTAGACATTCAGTAAATGTGATGTTTGCCAATTTTCCTTACCATAATTATGGATATTTGCTAAATTTTATAATAAACTTTTTTTTTTTTAGAGAGAATTTTTTTAATGTTTATTTTTTAGTTTTCGGCAGACACAACATCTTTGTTTGTATGTGGTGCTGAGGATCGAACCCGGGCCGCACGCATGCTAGTCGAGCGCGCTATCGCTTGAGCCACATCCCCAGCCCTATAATAAACTTTTTTAAAAATTTTTGTTTTAGTTGTTGATGGACCTTTATTTTGTTTATATGGTGATGAGAATTGAAGCCAATGCCTCACACGTTAGGCAAGCTCTCTACCACTGAGCTGCAGCCCCAGCCCTATAATAATAAACTTTTAAATTTGTGTTTGTATATCTTGATAAAACATACTAATGTTTTCTTTCCATTAATTTGTATAATTAAAAATATAGATTTTAACATTGTCTTTACCTAATTATTTTTAATCTAGTGTATAGAGTAGACACTTGAATTAATATCAATAGTTGGATTTGGCCTACAGGGAGTAGAGCTGTGGTAATGGAGTGTCAGTACGGGCCAAGAAGGAAAGGTTTCCAGTTAAAAAAAATCAGTGAGCAGGAAAGCAGGTCATGTCAGCTCTACAAAGCTACTTGTCCAGCCAGGTAAGCTTAATTTTCTTTTATTTTTCATTAAGTCCTTATTTTTTAATTGAAAATATGGGGATATTTATTAAAATTAAACAAGGCCAAAAGGTATACAGTGAATCCGAAGTTCTCTCTCACTTCTGCTCTGTGTCCCTCTTTAAGGCCAGTTTGTAAAGTCATCTTACAAAGGTATTCTGTGTGTATCTCACCTTTTATCCCCATAAATATTTTCTTCCCTTAAAGTTGGGTGATAGTATATCTTCTTTACTACTATGAATTCACATTAATTTATTTACAATCTGAAAGCCTATAGTTATATCTAGTGCACAGATATTGTGCTACATACCACTGTGAATGTAATGACATGTACAAAAAATATTCTTTCTTTTTAATGCTATGTAATATTTTCATTTGTGGGTGCATTATTTAATTAATTCTCTAATGATGGACATATATGCTATGAAAGATATTCTTTCTTGTTGCATACGAATCTGTAGTTAACAACATCATACATATTTTTGTACTTGTACATGCTTATCAGTAAGATAAATTCCTAGAAATGAAATTACTGGAACAAAGTTATATCATTTTAAAATGTTGACAAGTATTGCAAAATTGTTTTTTAAAGAGATTTTACTAATACATTCATACCAGTAATGTATGAAATTAACATTGTAAGTTTTAGATAGAACATGGATACAAGGTAGTCATTACTCTAGGTGAGAATTAAAAATATGAAGCAATGAAAGATTTTAACTAATATTTTTCTTTTAGATATTATAAGTATTTAAAATTACTAGCAAAGTAAAATTTAAATGATAATATGTATAGTGGCATATGCCTGTAGTCCCGACTACTTGGGAGATTGAAGTGGGAGGATTATTGGAGCCCAGGAGTTCTAGGTCAGCCTGGGCAACATAGCAAGACTCTGTGACTAAAACAGAATAAGACAAATGATAATATATAATGGTTGGCCTTAGTTGATCTTTGAAACATTATTATCATAACATCTTATATTACAAACTTCAGCATTTTCAAGAAGTTTTAAAACACCATTTAGAGGCATTTCATATTTAATTTCATGTTAACTTTATGGAATAATCAAGCATGACTATAAGATAAAAAATGTATTTTAAATATAAGCAATTCAAAAACTTAAGGTTTAACTGGGAAGAAAACCTCTAGATGTAAATAACTAATTTTATTCTCCATCATTCTCTAAGTACTTTTAGGGTACTTCTGGGTACTGTGCCCAGAAACTATTTGGGGTGTCAGAAGAAGGAGGAAATTCAAGATGAATAGATTTTACTTAATCCCACACAACCGAAAGTATTATTGGGGTGGATCAGGAAACAAATTGTTAAGAAAACATGATAGGGGCTGGGATTATAGCTCAGTGGTAAAGTGCTCGCCTAGCATTTGAGAGACACTGAGTTCGACCCTCAACATACATAAAAATAAAATAAAGGTATTGTGTCCACCTACGACATATAAAGATTAAGCAGCTTAAAAAAGAGAGAGAGAACAAGATAATATGAAATGTGTGGTTAGCTACCTGTTGTAGGTTCTCAGAAAAGCAATCTATTCATGCAAACTCATAGCAGGAAAGAAAGTGCATTCTAACCTGGATGCTGAAATTTAGATTGAATTTGGTTAGAAAGTTAGAGGGAAGATATTGCAATCTATGAGAACCATATAAATAAAGATATGGGACAATTGCATATACCATATCAGAGGAGGACAGGACATGGAGAAGATGAACTTCACGGGACAAGAAATTTCATACTTGAAGTAATTGTAAGATTAGGTAAATAAAGTAGAATTATTCAGAATGCCTTCAGTGTTGCCAAGAAATTTATACTTGATTAAAAAACAGGTAGATTCTTCAATAGAGGAATACAAATGTGAAGAATTATTGAGGTACTGATGTATCAAGTGAATATAAATAATGAAAACTGGAGAAACAGCAGTCTACAAGAAGGCCATTAAAGCAGTCCAGGCATAAGGTAATTATGGCTTCCAGGAGAATGAGAAGAGGCAAATCCAAAAAAAAAAAAAAAAAAAAAACCTAAAAATACTTGGTTATTTTTATTCAAGTCTTAATTATTGTTAATTTACTAAGTATCATGCACTTAAAACATGGCCTATCTTTTATAAGCCTCTGGATACTTTCTAGATAAATTGAACTTTCTCTAAATTTAAATGTTTAAACATTGGTTGATAAGTTAGATTTTCTTGTGATTATAATATAATGAAACTGATTTTTCTTTATCTTAAATAAAGGATTTACATTAAAAAGGTACAGAAGTTTCCTGAATATAGAGTACCTACAGACCCCAAAATTGACAAGAAAATAATCAGAATGGAACAGGAGAAAGCTTTTAATATGCTAAAGAAGAACTTGGTAGATGCTGGTGGTGTTCTTAGGTATAACATTTATATAATTCTTTTATTTACTAATTAATTAGCTCCATTTCCAATAATTCTTTTGTAAGATACATTATATTGTTTTTCAATTATTTCACTGAGAAATGGTTTTAGGGCCAGGGGTATAGCTCAGTGGTAGTGCACTTACTTAGAATGCACAAGGCCTAAGGTGTGATCCATAACACTGCAAGAAAAAAGAAAAGAAAAAAAATAAATAAAAAGGAATTGTTTTATAAGGTAGACATCTCATTTTCCTTGCGTAATTTGTAGAGTTTTGTAATATTATAGATAATTGTAGATAATTTGAACCAAAGAATTATACCGTACACCCATATGTAACGCCCCTCGTAAAAGTAACAAATACATATTTAGTAATATGTTTTATTATATATTTAGTATTTTGTTTCAGATACTTATTAAGAGTAGAATTTGTAACCAATGTAGCCACCCATCTTTGATTACTCTGGCAGCCAGAAATGAATTCTAAGCCCTAAATATAGAAATTCTATTTTATCCTTCAGATTTTAATTAGGAAGAAATAATAGCTTTCTTGCTTACTTTCCTTTGTGTCAATGTAGGTAACACATTATGAGATCAAGTGTAGGGAAAATAGTTTTTGCGTGACCTTAGTTTTTCTTTTTTTCCTTCCTGCAATGCTAGAGATCAAACCCAATGCCTCATGCATGCTAGGCAGGTGCTCTATTGCTGAGCTACACTTCTAAACCCTTGTGTGATCTTTAATAAAAACTTTTAGGTGTATGGAAGTGAATTGAGTTAGTTAGATCCTTCAAGTTGGAGAACATTGTATGTAACTTAAAGTAGACTTCATTTTATTGAATATCAGAATATAAGAATTTTGTGCCAAAATATTTATTAAAACAGTATCCTACCAGATCAGTTTATTTCCTAGTAACTATTTTTATACTGATGTTCAGTAGACTTATATTCACCTTTTAGTTCATTTTCTTGCTCATGGAGCAGGAGGAGCTGGGAATGTTGTAGCCACAGTATATTGAGCTCCTGTGGGGAAAGATCTTCCCATACAGTTCAGTCTTGATAGACTCTGAATTAAAATCCACTCTGGTTGATTGATGGGTGGTAGGGAAATGACAGAAATGTAATATGGAACAAATGTTTGATAAATGGGAAAACACATAGTTTAAAGACTGATGACTTACAATGTTGTCTCTGTATTTGGGAGTAAAATTTGCTTAATATGAAATTTATAGGCTGGGGTTGTAGCTCAGTGGTAGAGTGCTTGCCTCGCATGTGTAAGGCACTGGGTTCGATTCTCAGTACCACATATAAGTAAATGAATAAAATAAAGGTTCATCAACATCTAAAAAAAATTTTAAAATTTATAATATCCTTTTCGTGTATTTTTTAAATCCATGCATCATCCTGCCATAGTGAAAGTCTATAAAGATTTATAAAGATTTTTATTTAATTGGGTCTAAAGGTAATCTTATTAAGCAGAATTCATTTTAAATTATATTCAATATAAGACAAGCACAGTGACACATGCCTATAATTCCAGTCATTCAGGAGACTAAAGCAGGCGGATGGCAAGTTGAAGGCCAACCTCAGCAATTTCAAGGCCCTAAGCACTTTGTGAGACCGTTTAAAATCAAATCTTTTTTTAAAAGGGTTGGGGATATAACTCAGTGGTAAAGTGCCCGTGGGTTCAACCCCCAGTCTCCCCAAAATAACTTTATTCATTATGGCATAATCATATATAATTTTTCTTAAAAGAGTATTCCTTCTCTTGATGAGTTTTTGTTTTCTTCTTGGTGAATGTTTTAGCCAGCTTTTTTGCTTCTATGACTAAAGGACCCAACAATTTTAGGAGAGGAAAATTTTATTTGAAGGCTCATGGTTTCAGAGGTCTTAGTCCATAGAAGGCCGGCTCCATTCTTTGGGGCTCACAATGAGGCTGAACATCATGGCAGGATAGTGCAGCAGAGGGAAACAGCTCACATCATGATCAGTAAGCACAGAGACTGACTCCACTCTCCAGACAAATTATATATTCCAAACATATGCCCCAGTTCCTACCTCCTCCAGCTACACCCTGTCACTTCAATTACCACACAGTTAATCCCTACCAGGAATTAATTCACTGATTAGGTTAAGATTATAACCCAATCATTTCTCCTCCAAACCTTGCACTGTCTCACACATGAACTTTTGGGGGACACCATATCTAAACCATAATGATTAACCTAATTATGATTCCTGCATTTATCTAATAATATTAAATAATTTTAAAATTTAAATTTAATAATTTAAATACTTTCTTGTCAGGTGGTATGTACAGTTACCTACACAGCAAGCTCATCAGTATCACGAATTAGAGACTTCCTGCCTCCCTTTGTCACCTTCCCCTTTTCCTGTGTCTTCTCTTGAAGAAGAGGAAACTACAGTTAGAGATGAGAATTGTGCATTGCCATCACGTCTGCATCCTCAAGTAGCCCATAAAATTCAAGAATTAGTATCACAGGGAATAGAACAAGTATATGCAGTAAGGAAACAGCTAAGGTATAGTAGATGCAAATTGTTCTTTTGACATTTTTCATTTTTGCTTGTTGTTTTAAATAATATACTTCAGATTACAGATATTTTCAAGGATATCTGCTATTTGAGTAAATAAGTAATAGAGCTTATTAGCTTATTAAAATACTCTTAATTAGGAACTTATAATTTTCCATTGTTGTCAAGCCATAGTTAATATGGCTTATTATAATTCTTTATAACTTTTGAGATACTTCATATTGGGCAGATTGGACTATTTTTAAATGATACATGAATTGAATTATATATTTAGAAAAAAAAACTTTTGTAGAACCAAAGATTTTAAATCCTAGGCCAGGATATTTATTTCAAACTATTTAAAATGCAGTTATATCTTATTATAATAAAAAATTTGGATAGTTCTTTAGCTAACGAAATTTTATTTGTAGTACTCTGGTCTAATTTTATTGCTACTTTATTGATACTCTGGCCTAATTTTATTGATAATTATCATTATGTTAATACTGTTATTATAGTGAACATTTTAATTTACTTAGTTATTATCTTGAATATAGGAATCTTTGGAACAAAGCCAAATTTGGTAAAATCACCCACTGTTTACCAAACCTAGGCAATAGTATTTCAGACTATTTGAAATGAGGTTCATTAAGAACAGTAGAATAACCAGGCACCACTGTACACGGTTATAATGTGACTCAGTAGGCTTAGGATCATGAGTTCAAAGCCAGTCTCAGCAAAAGCAAGGCACTAAGCAACTCAGTGAGACCCTGTCTCTAAATAAAATACAAAGTAGGGCTAGGGATGTGATTGAGTGTCCTTGAGTTCAATCCCTGGTACATACACACACAAAATAAAGAACATTTGAAACAGGGCCAGGGTTGTAGCTCAGTGATAGAGTGCTTGCCTAGTAAGTATAAGGCACTAGGTTTGATCCTCAGCACCACATAAAAATAAACAAAGTAAATGCATTGTGTCCATCAACAACTAAAAACATTTTTAAAAAAAGAACAGTCAGATAATACAACCCTGCAGTTTGACCCATTGCATATAATGCTCAAAGCATATGTATGATTTTTTTTGTGTATTATGATTTTTTTGTGTACTTATTTTTTATATAATTACATAGCAATGTTGCCTTCCATTTCCATCTTCTCTTTTGTCTACTTGTAAAATTTGAGCACATGATACTTCATATATTAGTTGATGCCTTTGAAAGCAGTATAACATGATCTTTATGCATATAATTTGGATTTGGCCCAAGCTCTTTTACTTACTAGGTAGGGGCATCACTTTGGGCAAATTATTTAACTTCTGCATTCTTCAGTTCCCTCATCTGTGAAGTGGGAATTAAACTGTACCTATGACATAGGATTATAGTAAAAGTTAAAGGAAATGCTTGCTTAATACTGTGCCTGACACAATAAGCATTTAAAAATATTAAACTTAATTTGAAAATAATGGTTCCTTTAAATTAAATTTATAAAATTGTTAAAGCTCACTCTGATGTGTATAGGTATTTAACCAATGAAAATTTAACTTGCATGAATTTTATGATTTAATGTATGGAAAAATTTAAAGTAGGAAAATATAAATGGTTATAGAACTTTGAATTATACTTTACAGAAATTTATGCTAAAAGAGAACTTTTCTCTTTTGATCTACAAGTATATTACTAAATAGTTTATATTCTTGTTCTATTTTATATTCTCCACAGGAAATTTGTGGAAAGAGAACTGTTCAAACCTGATGAGGTACCTGAAAGACATAATTTATCTTTTTTTCCAACTGTAAATGATATAAAAAATCACATCCATGAGGTACAGAAATCCTTGAGAAATGGAGATATGGTATATAACTCAGAGATTATTCCAGCAACGGTATGATCACAACCACAATTCTTTGTTTTATGAGAGAATCTTTCTCAGTTTCTCTAGTATTAGTCCTAATAAAAATGGCTACTATTAGACCATCTGAATAACTATGACTTGGGAAACAGTAGTGACTTTTTTTTCTTAAAATGTAAACCATAAATTATCAGGTGGTAACTGCAATTTTGTTTAAATTATTGTCACAAAGAGAAGAAACAGTAGATTTCCAAATCTGAGTATGCTAAAAATAGTAATCTTCACTTTAAAATCAATATTTTTTTCTCTATGGAAATTATTTTATACCTATTTAGTAGGCTTTTATTGAGTACATTCTCCCCCATTTTGTATTTATTCATTTATTTATTTTGAGACAAGTCTCACTAAATTTACCCTAGCTGGTCTAGAACTCCTAAGCTGCAATGATCCTTCTACCTCAGCCTCCCAGTGCTGGGACTGCAGGTGTACAAAACCACAGTTGGTGCCCCCATTTTTTTAAAAAAAAAAAAGGGCAAAATTAAATAGTTCAGACTTGAATGCATAAAGTGATAAATGTTAGTTCCATATGCCAAATATGAATATCAATTGTACTTCATAGTTTAAAACTGTATTTTCCCCAAATACTAGTCATTTCCAAGAAAATTTTACTACAATTACCTAAAAACTACTAATTACATTGCAGGCAGTGACTATGGCATTAAAATTTGAGTGGCATCCTTTGTTCTCCTAACTTTCCAAATTCAGCAACTGAACATATTCAGAATTTTTTTTAATTATTGATGGACTTTTACTTTATTTATTAATTTATTTATATGTAGTGCTGAGAATCGAATCCAGTGCCTCACACATGCTCTACCACAGAGCTACAACCCCAGCCCAATAGTCAGAATGTTTTAAAGCTAGAACTGCTATTTTTTTTAAAATCTTTATTTTATTTATTTATTTTTTATGTGGTTCATGAGGATCGATCCCAGGGCCTCACACATGCGAGGTGATCACTCTACCACTGAGCCACAATCGTAGCCCCAAGAACTGCTATTTTCTTGCTATCCATACTTTCAATTTTCCTTTCCAAAACTCAAGAAATAAAACAGATTTTCTATACAAATAATTGCTGTCCAAACTCAGGAACCTAATATATTTGTATAGTAAAGTATACTTGTGCTTTGAGAATATGAACAAGTAGAGAGAGTAATAGAATAAAACACAAATATAGTTTGACAATAAAATATGACAGTTGTATGAATGATTTAAGTTTTTTTCATTATTACTGCTTTATTTTCATTTAAATAAATATTCCTATTTCAGCTTCAGTGGACTACAGATAGTGGGAATATTCTCAGAGAGACTGTGACAGTTACATTTGCAGAAGGTATGTTATCTTGAATGCCTTTAAAATATAAAATTAAATGATGTAAAAACTGGAAGAAACTTAAAATATTATATGATCAAATTTTATAGATAAGGAAATCATTACCCAAAAGAGCAAAAAGCAACTGTGAGATTTTTCAAAATATTTCTGGCTATTTAAATTTCTCTGATATTTAACACTTAGGCTTCTTTTTTTTAATTTTTTTTTGTTGTTGTTGATGGACCTCTGTTTTATTTATTTATTTGTTTATGTGGTGCTGGGGATTGAACCCAGTACCTCACACATGCTAGGCAAGTGCTTTACCACTGAGCTACAACTCCACCCCTAACATTTATACTTCTTTATGACTGAAAATTAAGGCTGATTACCAGCATAGTAAACTATAATGCTATATAATTCCAATAGTAATAACCATAAGATACCTCGATCTTGGAACTATTGTTTATTTTGAATGTTTTGCTTTTTCTCATATGTTCTTATTCCTTTTGTCTTTCAGTAGTCTAAACCTATTTCAACCCTTTTTTGCATGTGTTCTATCTTCTGCATGGCCAACTCCCTTTATTACTCAAATAACAATCTCCAGTTTTAAGTGCTTCCTTAACTTCACCTTCAGGGAACTACTCATTCTTTTTTATATTTACCTCTGCATTTAACATAGAAAGCTATTGTTTACATAATTATATTCTTGTAATTTGAGCCTTTCAGAGAGAAGGATTATATTTTATTAAAATTAACATAACTATTGCCTAGGAATAATGCCTGCTAAACAGTTAGTACCTAAATAAATGCTTTAGAATCAATTAATGAATAACCATATATAGTATAGTGTTTTTTATTCTTTTACTTATTAATCTTTGCCTACAGAATGGCTTTGAAGTTTTTTAGCATTATTCATTTATTCTATATATATTTAAGTCATTGTGCTAAATGCTAGACATAAAAAATATTGGGTAAGTTTTCTACTTTATGAAACTTAAAGTTTAGCAAGAGAAAAAGAACATTAAACAAATATATTCTAATTAATTACTGTTTTGAAAAGTACCATGGAAGAATTGTGCAAAATTATGTGGGACTAGACTAGTGATATAGACAGAGCAAAAAGTTGGGGATTGACACTTAAAAGTGTCACTTTTAAGAACTGAAGAATGACTAGAAGTTTGCCAATCAAAGGAATTACATTTGTGAAAACCAAGCAAGAAGAGCTTTGTCACATTTAAGAAACACATTTAAGAAGGCTGGTGTGGGTTTAGCATAGACAGTGCTTAGAGTTAAAACTATATAAGCAAAACAGATTTAGAAGGCCATTTTACTAAACTGATGAAAATGTGTAGTAAAATGTATAGACTGCAGCTGGTTGTATATATACTCGGAGGAAACAAATTGGAGAGTTATTTTAAAAGTAGAATTTAAAGACCATGGTTATTGATTGAATAATTGGGGATAGGGGACAAAAGAGTTGGAATGATCTAAGATGACTTCTGAATTTGTACTTTGAGCAGTTGACTAATGATAGGATTTACTGAGCTTAGGCAGAAGAATAGAGTATTGGTGAAGGAAAGGGAGAGGAAAAGGTATCAGATTTAGAAACTTGAGTATCAAAGCCATTTCAATAGAGTGGATTAGGAGGAAGCCATATTAGAGTTATTGAAGAATGAATGGAAGATAAGTGAAGGAGTAGAGATAATGTGAACCACTTTTTCAAGAATTGTCTATAAAGAGAGTATGGGTTGAGAGAAGGTGTTTTTAAGATAATGGAGACTTGCAGACATAGTAAAAGTGGTAGAATGGGAAGTTGAGATTTCTCTCTTTTGGCTTCTCTTTTTAAGTACAAGTGAGGGTAAGAATTAGGAAAGATCTTAGGAAGGGTGGTATGAATTTGAGGGACATGGAGATAAGAAATTATTCTGAATAGAGTAAAAGAATTGCTGAACATTCTAGGTGAAGTTCTAGTTGAGGTTGGTATCAGCACTGGTAGTGAGGTTTTTTTCAGTGGCACTGACTTTTCGTTCAGAGTTGAGTTTCAGCAGCAGAATATAACCAAAGGCAAAGGAGTTTATGATACTTGTAAGTGAAACTAAAATTATAGACCATGGAATCTAAGCCGGATGGGGAAAGAATCTTATTAAGGAAAAGTAATGGATCTGAAGAAAATTCAGGGATCAGTTGACTACAGTCACATGAGGGTGAAGAATTATTGTAGCAAAGTACTTGTGTAAAATGCCTGGAAGAATTAAGATATTGTTTAGAGAATGGAATGTTTAAATATGAGATTTTAAAGGTAGAATAGTCTAGAATATTCTAGAGGTACTAGTAGAGGTAGAGTAGTATCATACTAATGGGCAGCTGTAACAGAGTCAAGTAAAAGGACTTTAGAAATGAAGAAGCCAAGAAATATGAGAGAACTGAGCATTCCTCTGAAGAAGGATTGATTACACTGATTCTGTAGATGAGGAAACTGAAATTTACAAACTGAGTTTTATAGTATGTTGATGGTAATCCAGAAAAGCCAGAACTTAATCTGGCTTAAAAGTCCATCCTTATCTGACACAAGGACCAGTTTTTAAATTTCTCAGTTCTAGATGGGTCTGGCAATGCACATCCATAATCATAAAGAATCAGGAGGCTAAGGCAGGAGGATCAAAGTTCAAGGCCCTCTCTCAAAAAATAAATAGGGCTAGGATGTAGCCCAGTGATAAAGTACCCCTGGATTTAATCCCCAGTATCACCAAGAAAAATAAAATCTATTATGGAAGCCCTAAAATTGTAGGGTTTTTATTATTGTTATTTCCATTTGTTGAGACAGGGTTTTGGTAAGTTGCACAGGCTGACCTCATACTTGCTATCTGCCTGCCTCAGCTTCCTGGTACCTGAGGTTACAGGTGTAAAATTGTTTTTTGATATTAAGGACATTAATATATTTGAGTTAACATAATAAGAGCTACATTAAAGGGCTAGGGCTGCAGCTCATTGATAGAGTGCTTACCTACATGTACCAGGCCCTGAATTCAATCCCAGCATATAAATGAATGAATGAATGAAAGAAATGAGAATGACTCAAATTCCATAAGGACAATTACTTTTAAAACTAATAAGACAAGTTTTTACTTTTATTCATTTATCCCAAAATGAGTTATGGATTAAGAAATTTAATAGTATTATTATTGAGGACCTATTTGTGCCAGGCATTGTCCTAAGTTTTAGGACTACAGAAGATGAATTAAGTTTGGTCCTTGTAATTGAGAATCTCAATAGGCTTTACATATCTAGAAAACTTAGGGTGTAGACTAGCATTATAGTGTGAAGAATGGACTATATTAGAGTTCCAGATGCAGAGTCTTTCCAGGAAAAAATATATTTCTAGATCCCAGATCAGATCTACTGAAATGAAATTTATGAAGGTTAAGGTCTGGGGGTGTAAGGCCCTGTGTTCAAACCCCACCACTAGAAAAATAAATGGAGATTGAACCTAGGCATTTTTGACAGTTTTTTCATAGCTGTGACCAAAAGACCTAAGACAGTTTTAGAGGGGGAAAAATTTATTTGGCACTCAATATTTCGGAAATCTCAATCTATAGATAGCCAGCTTGGTTGCTCTGGGTCTGAGATGAGGTGTAAGAGTGTGGAGGAGGAAAGCAGCTCAGAACAGGGCAATCAGTAGCAGAGAGAGCTCCACTCAAAAGGGACAAAATATAAACCCCAAAGGCATGTCCTCCATAGACCTTCCTCCTCTAGCTATACCCTACCAGTCTTTGGTTATTACCCAGTAATAATATTACCCAGTATAATGTACCCAGTACATTATAATGTACTGATTAGTTTAAGGCTCTCATAACCCAATCATTATACCTCTAAATTTTCTTGCATTGTCTCACACAGGAGCTTTTGGGGTCCACATTATACTATACCATAATACTAGGAATATATACTTTCTAAATTTTCCTTAGAGATTCTGATGATCTATCTGCCTGGTTCTGGAAATAATGGGCTAGCTGACTTTATTTTTCTTTCTTTTTCTGATGATAATGATTTCTTGAAGTCTTTTGCAAATCTTTGATCTTGTTTGCTATTCACTTCTGATAGAAAGGGTTGTAATAAAGCATAGAATCCTAGAAGCAATAAAAAATTTTTGTTTTAATAGTTTGTATTTTATATAATTTAGGAAATTCACCAGGAGAATCAGTTACCACCAAAGTGGAAGCAAATCAGGCTGAGTCTTCTTTGTCTCCAGAACCAACCCACTTACTCTCCTCACTTTCCTCATTTCAGCCCAAAATATTTACACAATTACAGGTAAGATAGCCAAATTTGGGGCTCTTTTTTCTCCATGTCTCTTCTTCTAGTGATTTTAGAAAACTGTTATAGCATTATAATGATCAGATATTTCTTCATTATTAATTTCTTGACTTCTTTGTATTAAGATAATAATTCAAATAGTCTTTTTTGAAAAAGTTTGAAGTGAACTATGCATGCAGTCAAATTTAGTTATATTATTTTTCTCTTGGTTCTTGTTTCTGTCCTCTTAATATTTATTAGCAACTATTCACTTATATTTTATCTGTGTCAGTTTTTTGTCAAAAGAGTAGTATCATATGAAAATATTATACATTATAAATCCAAATATTTTGATATAAATTTTTTCTATTTAAAAGGGTTTGCAGTTACAACCACGATTTACCTCTCCTGATGGATCACCAGCTTTGGTATCAGTAAATAACCACCCCTCTTCCAGTCCATCAAGACTTCTGGATTCGGTAGAAAATGATGTAATGAATAGTAATTCTCTACTTCTTGGTCAAAGTCATAGCCTTCAAACAGATACATGCCTAACCCAAAATAATAGTACTGCCTCTACCATGGGTAATCTCCCAGAACCAGATCAAAATCTAGTTGCAGTGGATCAGCTGGTGGAAGTTGAAGATATTGAGGAGACGGAGAATCTGGAAGGAAGTATCCAAAGGATTCTCTTGCGAGATGTGCAGACCATTCCAATACGGATTATAGATAACCACCCAGCTCTTAGTAAGTTAAAATCAACTTATGATGTAACTTTTTTTTAATCTTTATGAACTACCATTATTATATCACACTACAGGAAAAAAAATACTATCATTTCTACCCACCAGGTCTATAAAATTATATAACTGAAGTAAAATTATGAGAGAGAAGGGGGATATTTCATTAGCATGAGTTTAAGAGCTTTTAAACTTACAACTTCATATTTCTCCTTATTTCTAGTTATTTAATCCCTTTGAAGTTATTGTTCCCTAATTAACTTTTTTTCCATGGGAAAAAAAAAATCTCTTGATGTGAAATCAAAAGATTGTTCTAGAATGCTTTAAAAAATTGATAAAAACATAAAATATGGAAAACTGTTTTAGTGCAAAAAATGATATATGTATACACAAGTAAAAATAAAATGAAGTGGACAGATACAAAGGGTAAAATGAAAATTTTGAGTTATAAAGTTACATGTTCTGAGTTCTATGGAAGGTGAAAGGGAACTAATAAAACTTGGGCACTTGGTTTAGTCCAGGACCTTGTTATCTTCACTTTATTACTAACCAAGTTGATTTTTTTAAATATTTTTTTAGATGTTGATGAATCTTTAATTTTATTCATTTATTTATATGTGGTGCTGAGAATCGAACCCAGTGCCTCACACATGCTAGGCAAGCACTTTGCCACTGAGCCACAACCCCAACCCAGTAGTAAACTCTTTTAACTTCTACTTGACCTGTGTCACTTCACTTCATACAAATTGTTCTGGACCAGTCACTTTTGTGGTCAAAGACTTGCAGTTTACTTTGAAGAGCAAAAATCTTCACAGAAGTTATTCTTAGAACATGTATTTTCCCTCCATCTCAATTCTTATTCTTCTGGGTAAAGAAAACAGTGACATAGTTCCTTTCAGAAAAAGTCATTATCTTTTAGATTTGTTGAAAGCATTACTTTTAAAGAAAATTTATCCAGAGGGCTGTGGCAGTTATAACTGCTGAGTAACTTAAGTAAATGTGAAGAAAAAGAAATATATGTGAATTCTTCATGAGAAGAATTATACAGATGAGTGCTCAGGTAAGTGAAGTAATTGCCTAAAGTGCACATCTAGTAAGTGACAGAGCAAGGATTTGAACCCAGATCAGTCTTGCCTTTCAAAGTTTTCTTCCATTCAAATGTTTCCTTCCTCTGTGTTGTGCCACAATATTTCTGGGAGTACTGATCTAGATTGTTTTAAAGAAGACCCTGTTTGGAGCCAAATTTGCATGATTTATCAAGTTAGATAACAATCTTGAGGGACTATATCACCTAGATATGAGTTCTTAGAGTCACTCAAATTCATCCTATGCTAGTTCTCTGTGTCTCTGGCTAAACTCTTATACACCTGCATGTGCAGACAAAAATTAGATATGTTGAGCATGCTTCTATGAGAAAATATGGTCCCCTTAACATGTTACCTAATAGCAACTGAAAAACCAATATTCTTGAGAAAGAGAGAAGAAAATTTGATGTTAGACATTCCATCAACACTTATCAGTAGTGCTGTTTGTATGCTACCGTTAGATTAACTTGGTTATAAGTGCTTTCAAATCAGAATGGTAAATGGATTCTGAAATGTTTCAGATAAACATATAGTTCACACACCTAAATCAGAGCTATCATCCAAGATGTGGCACTGAGTTTTCAAATATACTGTTTTTTCTGAATTGCAGCTTGGTTCTTTTTCCAAACTGTTGTAGCTTTTTGCTTTTCTTCTAATTCATATAATTCTAAAGATTCCAGTGTCAAAGTATATTAACCCTTTGGATTTTTCTTTTATGTTTGGTTTTAAAGTTGAAGAAAACCCAGAAGGTACTATTTCTATGAACCAAGTTAAACAAGAACCCAAAGAACCAACATTGTCCTTGGAAGCAAAAAAAATTGGACTGTAAGAAATTATCTGCTACATAAATTATTGAAGCTTTTCAGAATTTACAACTCTGGTGACTTCTGATGTTTTAGAAAAGAAGGTGAATATTATTAAAGCACAGCATTGTGATAACTGGACTGAAGACTGATGAGCAGCTTTGATTTAAAACTGGTATTTTTGTTGCCAAGTTCATATTTTAACCTGTATTAAGAAATATTTTGCCCTTCTTATTTTGTGTAATTGTTATGCTTTTTGGTTATCTAATAAGTCGGTATTTCAAAAGATTGTTTGAATTTACCCATAGTAATTTAGTCCAAACATGAACACTTATCTAACATTTCTGGAAATATCCAGTTTGGTTCATGTAACACAAAAAAGAATAACAAAAATAATAGATGAGTGTATGTTTATGTTACGAATTTTAAAGTTGTAAAGAAATTTAATTAACAGACAGGTGAGAGAATATTTGTAGTCTGTATTATTTGGAAAGATAAAGCAATAGATTTTATATAATAACACAAAACCCAGCAATCAAGTCTGTGAAAACCATACAGTTACATTTTAGCCTCTTCCCTTTTAATTTTGTATTTTTAACTACAAACCAATAGCATATTAATGGTCATCTAATAGAAATTTAAATGACTTGGTAAGTACTGAGAATTTTAACTAGAATTAATCAGATAAACAACAGAAATCAGTATATGTTGCATAAACTTATACTATGCTGCAGGTAAAACAGTATTAATGGGTAGAAAGATGAAGAAATTGAGAGAATTTGGAAATAATAATAGAACTTCTTGGGGTTTAAAAATAATTTGAGAAACTTTTTGTTGTTAGTAGAGGTTTTGTTTTTGTTTTTGTTTTTTTTCCCCTTTAGTTTGAAGATTCAGTTTAGATTAGAAAAGAATTTAAGTAATATTTAGATTGTTCTAATGCTGGAGTTCTTACTGAATCAATAGTATTAGAATTCAAAGTATTTCAGGACAAGTATTTATAGTTTAAAATTTAGTTCATATTTAAAACTTTAAAATATCTGATCTGGTGTATTTGTTAAGTATATTTACTTCAAATACCAAATAAGTACTAATCAGTATATTCATTATAAGCAACTGTTTTCTGAAAGATTGGCAAAATAGAAACATCACCCATAGCTGTCAAGAAATAATCTCTAGTCAGGCATGTTGGCACATGCCTGTAATCCCAGCAACTTGGGCGGCTGAGGCAGGAGGATTGCAAGTTTGAAGCTACCTAGCCTCAGCAAGTTAGCAAGGCCCTAAGCAACTGAGAACCGGTCTCAAAATTACAAATTTTAAAAAGGACTAGCGATTTGGCTCAATAGTTAAGTGCCCCTGTGTTCAATTCCTGATACCAAAAAAAAAAAAAAAAAGATATCAACCTCCAAAGGCTTGTTTTTCCAAAGACCATATGTAGGCATAATTTTATTTTTTAAAAACATAAGAATTTCAAGTAGATATTAATGTTTCATATTCAAAGCATGCAGAGTATAATATGAAAGTTAACCTTAATACTTTACGTGATTATAAGTCACTTTTGGCTTTTCTAAGTCCAGTCTCTCATTCTTGATTTACTTCGTTTGAGGTACATGACATGTATCTAAATGTAAAGCACTGATATTTTAGAAATAAGTGGAATTCTAAAATTGCTTACTTTTTAGATTTATATCCTATTCAATATAAATTTTATTATTTATATCCTATTTAATGCAAAGTAATATTTAGTTATATGTACAATTTTAGTAAGAATTGCTTTTCTTTTTCTTAAGAAATGAAAATATTTGTCAGCATTTGTAGAAGTAGGCTGCTAAATTTGATTCTATTATGCAGAGTTAAACAATTCTTAGTTACCTCAAACCCACATTTCTGTTAGTGTATGTGTATTTAAAAGGAATAAGTTTGAATTTATTTACAGTTTAGAGTTGCACAGTAGGTAATACTGTTTTTGTTTGTTATTTCTACTTTTTATGGAAACTTTTTCAAGATTTTGAATAATATATCTTTATCTTTCAATAATGATAAATGTGTATTATTTAATATTTCACCCTTTAAACTATATTGTATTCTTTTGGAGACATTCCTTTCTTTTTTGATGTTGAGTTGCTAAGGAGAAATGCGTGTTAAGACACAAACTCTGATCAGTTACCTGTGAGGATGAGAGAGATGTCAGAGGATTCCAACTTTGGTCCTTGATCAAGAACAAAACATAGTTAAAATATATTTCTCTTACTTCATTCTGTGTGATTATCTCTTCTGATAATGTTTTTTATGAGAACAGAAAGTTACAGTGCATCCTTCTGACAAACAAAAAACAAAACAACCTATAAAAACTAAGAGAGTGAAGAAATGTTTAAATTCCTTATTGTATACTCTTTTGGGTTTTAGGTAGAAACTGGAACTATGAGTATTTTCATGTAAGTACTTTAATGAGTAGCTCTTTAAAAATCATTTCTGGGAGATTTTAAAAATTCATTTATCCTCTAAATGCATGATTAGCCACAACATGTCAGTATTTTGTTCAAAGGTGCTTAGCATCACGTTTTGAAAACAGTTTACATATTTTAAATGTCTAATTATTTTTTAATTCACAGGGTATTAAGTACAAATATGTAAAATTTTTCATTATTTGTATTTGGCATTCTCCTAACAGCTCTACAGCAAAGTTTGATATATGTTCTTTCCTGTCATATTTTTCAAGGTGTAATATCTGTGTAAGGAGTCAGACATTCAAATTAAGCAGTTAGAATTTCAGTTACAGCTCACTTGTTTCTTCATTGTAGTTTTCATGTTCCAAGCCTCCAACTGAACTTTATATATACTCCAATGAATTATAGATAAATACAACCATGATAGATGTTTCCCTCAATAGCAATTTTCTGTGTAAGCAATTAGTATAATTAAAAGGAACAGTTTAAACATCTTATGCAAGTCAATATTTTCCTACAAGTCACAAAACTGATGGAAGACAGGTTTTGGGGATCCAGTTCTGAATTATTAGAGTTTCTAATTTTGAGGCCCACCAGCTTGTGTTTCATCTTCTTTATATCCTGTCAAAAATATATACTTAATCATGTGGGTATGAAAAAAATGTTGTTTACTTTATGCCTGGTTTTAAAAGAGGTTAAAATGTGTGTGTATATATTGTAACGATGTATAATGTCCTTGTTATAATGTAATTTTTTCATTAAAAAAGTCCCTTGATGTTTTTCTTACACTTGTTATTGTTTTTTTTAATATGCATTTTTATGGTAGTTTTTTTCATCTTAAATAAGATGCTGAGTGAACACTTTAATACCTGAGAATTTTGGCTAGAGATTTATGTATGGTTTGGAACCTAAAAGTTTTTAAGCATAACTACCAATATCTTCTATTTACATTTGGGGGTATACATGCATTTAGTGATCTGTTAGCCAGGCATCAACATTTTTAAATGATTTGCATAACATGGTGTGATACCTCTACCATTGAAATCATGGTGCCAAAATACATACAGCTTTGTGCATTGCAAAAGATAATAGAATTATATGATTTTTAGCGAAGGGATCATTAATTATCCTCCCTTTGCTCCCCACCCCCTTTATTCCACTCCTTTCCTGTTTTTCAGGAACATAGAAAATCTTTTTTTTTTTTTAATTTATTTTTTATTGGTTGTTCAAAACATTATAAAGCTATTGACATATCATATTTCATACAATAGATTCAAGTTGGTTATGAACTCCCAATTTTACCCCAAATACAGATTGCAGAATCACATCGGTTACACATCCACATTTTTACATAATGCCCTATTAGTAACTGTCGTATTCTGCTACCTTTCCTATAACATAGAAAATCTTAATCTCTCCAGAGAGAAACTGAATTGGCTCTTGCCCATATGGCAGCTAGTTTAGGCTTCAGACATCTTAAATGGTATACTGTTTTGATATCTGAACAGCTGTAACTCAACTTAACTATAAACCCAAAGCCTTAGTATACTTCTACCAGATACATGTTAGCTGTGAATTCCGTTGTTATACAGTACAAGTTTTCACTGCTGATCAAATCCTTAAAACTTTTAGAAATAAAATTGTAATTTAAGAAAAAACTCAACTTGTTAATGGATGTTAACGGGACTCCAAAGAAAAGCAAGGAAATTGTGTGTGGTTAATATGGAAAACCTTTCAGAATGTGATCTAGTTATAAGAGTAATAAAACCAGAGGACAGAATAGAAATGATGTTGCAGGTGGGATTTTATTCTTAAATATATTTATTATAGTATAATTAATAACAACAAATTGTATATATTTAAAATACATAACTTGTTAAGTTTTCATATGTTTACAGCTGTGAATTGATCACCATAATCAATCATAATGAACATAGGTTGGGCATAGTGGCACACATATAATCCCAGTGGCTCAGGAGGCTGAGGCAAGAGGATCTTGAATTCAAAGCCAGCTTCAGCAACTTATCAAGGTGCTAAGCAACTCAGTGAGTCCCTGTCTTTAAATAAAATGTAAAATGTGACTGGGGTTGTCACTCAGTGGTTGAGTGCCCCTGAGTTCAATCCCTGGTACCCCACCCCCCAAAAAGGATAATGAACATATCCACCATCCCCTAAAGTTTTTTGATACCTCTTGAAATTGTAGTATGAAGCCTTTTTGGTCTAGATTTTCTCACTTAGTGAAGTTATTTTGTGACTCATCTACATTGTAGAGTGTATAAATAGTTCATTCATTTCACTGCAAAAAAAAAGTTGTATTACATTGTATAACTATACCATAATTCATTTAAAGTTGCTGTGAATATTTGTGTACAAGTTTTTATATGTACTTATGCTTTCATTTCTCTCACATAAATACCTGGTGTAATGACTGGATCATATAGTAGGTATTTATCTAACTTTTTAAGAAACTTCCAACTAGCCAGGTACAGTGGTGCACACAGTGATTCAGGAGGATGAGGCAGGAGGATTGCAAGTTTGGGGTTAATCTCAACAACTTAGTGAAGTCCTAAGCAACTTATCAAGACCCTGTCTCAAAATAAAAACCACTGTAGTTTTATTTTGTTAAGCACCCCTGGGTTCAATCCTTGGCAGGAAGAAAGGAAAGGGAAGAATACTGCCAATTGGTTTTAATTTTAGTGGGTTGGAAATCTCCATATCTTATCCAATATTTCATATGCTATGGTTAGTTTTTTAGGCTTTAGAGATGCTAAATGTGATTTTGATTCTATTTCTCTAGTGACTAATACAATTGAGCATCTTTTTGTTTTATTTGCCATCTGTATCTTTACCTCTTCCTTAGTGAAATATCTGAATCTTTTATCCATTTTTAAATTGGATTATTTGTGTGTGTGTGTGTGTGTGTGTTGCTGATGATCAAACCCAAGGCCTCATGTATGCCAGGCTAACACTGAACCACTGAGCCACATCCACAGCCATGCTTCTTTTACTGAATTTTTTTTTAAAGAGAGCGAGAGAGAATTTTAATATTTATTTTTTAATTTTCGGCGGACACAACATCTTTGTTTGTATGTGGTGCTGAAGATCGAACCCAGGCCGCACACGTGCCAGGCGAGCGCGCTACCGCTTGAGCCACATCCCCAGCCCTCTTTTACTGAATTTTGAAAGTTTAAAAAAACATAAGTCAGGCTAAATGGCACACACCTGTAATCCTGGCAACTCAAGAGGCTGAGGCAGGAGAATTGCAAGTTGAAAACCAACCTCTACAATATAGAGACCCTGTTTCAAAAAATAAAAAGGGCTTGAAATGTAGCTCAGTGGTAGAGTACCCCTGGGTTCAATTCTCAGTACCAGGTGGGGGGTGATAAATATGAGTCCACTATCAGATAATGTGATTTATAAGTGTTTCACTCTTAGTAGCATCTTTGTTTATGCTGGAAAGACTATACTTTCCCCACTGAATTGCATTTGTACCTTTCACAAAAATTCATTAATTCTTATTATGTGAGTCAGTTTCTGTACTCTGTTTCTCTTTCATTGATCTATTTACCTATTTCAGTGGTTTTCAATTATTTGACCCTAAGAACATTTGAGAGTCTGGAGACAGATTAATTTATTGTAGCTGGGAAGATACTCCTGACTTCTGGTAGATAGAGTCAGACATACTGCTGAACATCCTACAATGTACAGAACAGCCCCCACAATAAAGAATTGTCTGGCTCCAAATGTCAATAGTATTGACATTGAGAAACTACTTTGATGCAAAGGCTTCATTCTCTAAATTACTGTAACTTTATAATGAGTCTTGAAGTAAGGTTGTACTACTCCTAAATCTTTATTCTTCATTTTCAACTTTGTTTTGGCTATTCTAACTACTTTGTATTTACCTGTAAATTTTAGAATCATGCTGTCAATTAAAAAAAAAAGTGAACCACGGATGTAGCTCAGAGGTAGAGTGCTTGCTAGCATGGACAAGGCCCTAGATTTGGTTGCTAGCACTGCAAACAAAAAGCATGATGGAATTTTAACTGGGATTATGTAGAATGAATATATATGTGCGTGTGTATATATATATGAGATAATTGAAATCTTAATAATATTCTTTGATTTTTCCCCGCAATGTTTTATATAGTTTTCTGTATGTGTTTTATATATCTTGTCAGATTTTTCTTTTTTTTAAATTTTTTAGTTGTTGATAGACCTTTATTTTATTCATTTATTTATACACAGTGCTGAGAATCAAACCTAGTGCCTCACACATGTGATGCAAGCATTCTACCACTGAGCCACAACCCCAGCCCCTTGTCAGATTTATTTCTAAGAACTTATAGGTAATGTTTTTAATTTCAATTTCTGATTGTTAATTACTTTAGTATGTAGAAATGCAATGATTTTGCATGTTAATCTTATATTGTGCAAGTTTGTTAAACCCAATTATTTCTAATAGCTTTCATTTTCCACATGAAGAATCTATTAATTTGGGGGCTGGATTCATGGCTCAGTGGTAGATCGCTCGCCTAGCAGGTGTGAGGCCCTGCATTTGATCCTCAGCACCACATAAAATAAATAAATAAATAGAGGTATTGTATCCAAATACAACTAAAAAAGAATAATTTTTTTAAAAAAAGAATCTATTAATTTTACATCTTTTTTTCCCATTTGGATCCCTTTATTTCTTTTTCTCAATTACTGCACTGGTTGGAACCTAAAATACAGTTTTGATTACAAATGGTAAGAGTAGGAGGCATTCTTGCCTTGGGGGAAAAGTATTCATTCTTTCACTGTTAAGTATGATATTAACCATAGGATTTGCATTTGTCTTTTATGCCTAAGGGAGATTCCATCTATTCTTAGTTTGCTGAGAATTTTTATTAGGAATGGATGTTTAATTTTTGTGAAGTCTTTTTTCTGGATATATTGAGATGGTCATTTAGTTTTGTTTTTTTAGCTGTTCAATATGGTAAGATACTCTGATTTAATTTCAAAGAGTCAAACAACTTTGCTTCCTTGCCTTCTATTCCTGGAATAAATCATTCATATATATTCATATATATATATATATATATATATATATACACACACACACACACGTATATATATTCACACAAACACTCATTTACATACACATTTGTGCATTTGTAATAGTATATATACATAGTGGGGAGTGTTGAGTTCCAGTTTCATTTAATGTTATGATTGATACAATTGGGATTTAACTCTACTATCTTATTTCTGTTTTCCCATTTTCTCTTTATTCTGCTTTCTTCTTTTTCTACCTTCTTTTGGCGTTATTGAATTTTGTTTTGTTTTTAGATTTGGAATTGAACCCATAGACACTTTACCAGTAAGTTACGTCCCCAGTCCTTTTTATTTTTATTTTGAGACAGGTTCTCACTAGGTTGCTAAGGGTATTGTTAAATTGCTGAGGCTGGACTCAAACTTGTGATTCTCTTGCCTTAGCCTCCTGAGTCAGTTTGCACTTGGTTTATTGAGTTTTTAATGATTTATTTTTACCTCCTTTGTTGATATAGTAGCTATAACTTGTTTTGATTTTTTAATGCTTAAATGTCTGTAGTATACATTTTGACTTGTCATAGCATACTGTCAAGTACTATTGCACTGTTGCACACACAGTGTAAGAATCTTTCAATAGTGTACTTTCATTTTCCCTCTTCTTAACCTTTGTGCTCTTGTTGCCATAGATTTTATTTCTACATCTCTTATAAACCTCACAATACATTGCTATACTTAATGCTTTAACAGTCAATTA